AGATGCTAAGAAAATTGATTGAACGATCCACACATGCTCGTCGACAAGACTTTACTATAGTTGCGATAGGTATGATGGTTTAAGATGTGAGGAGAAAGGGTAATAGGGGACATCTTCAATTCTACTCCTGATTCAATTGATTAAACAAAATCCTGTTATTACCTGCCAGGAGGTCTAAGAAATCCTACATTTTACAATTTCCCATGCCATACTATACCGCACACTTCAAGAATCGGGATATAGCAAATGACGGGCTCAGAAGCATCTTAAATTGACGCCATATGTGGCCAGTCTGTGTTATAATTGGGTTCTGGCCACCGTCATCAATACGTGTTTCGACTCAATCTGCATGATGAAACATGGAAAAAGGAGTATGTTCAACCACATACGGAAGTAAAAGCTATCCGTATAATGGTCTGGGCAGCTATTTGGAGTAATCATCGCAATGATCTCATGAATCCTATCCGCCTGGAGCGTGATTTTAAAGCTAAAACATAGAGCTACACTGCTCCTATCTTACAGCTTTGGTGGCAAAAGGGTGGTATACCAAATAGTAAGCTATTTCTCTACTTTCTTGGTACATCTTCCCAAATTTAGGCTTTTTATGCTATATCATAGTATATGATATACTGAGTTTAATCTAAACCTTCTTGTACTGTGACACATTATGTCATATTGAGGTTCGAACCATGGTGCACGGCTATTAAACTGTGAACATTGTGGGGCACTGACTCACTGGATGTATATGTATGCATTCCCTTGCCGTTTGCGTCGAATCATTTCAGTTGCGAATATGTTATAGACTTGCTTTCATCTTGTGACATCTACTTATGATTCGCTCTTGTAAATTCATTTAACTTTATCTCTTCTGTGGTTATCTTTCTCCATAGTCTGTCATATACAATAAACTTTACATCATGATCTTATGCATCAAAGACACATTGGGACACATCACAAGAGGCCCTGCCGGGTTCGATGAATCTAGTCCCAATATCTCATTGAACCTTGTACTTACCATGGATCAAGAGTCAAATAAGTTGTATCTGTATGTTACATGGCCATGTTGCAATGCAGCATCCGACAGATGAACCGCCGTCTTAATTCGAGATCTCGAGGGATCACCGGACTCGGGAATCTTGGGATGTAAGTATAAGTAAGCAAAAGTTCCAATAGTTACCCGAAGAGCCCTGTCATTATTCCATGCGTTAAACTCCTCGTGTTCAAAAGAACATTAAATTCTTCGCTTGCTCTCTCTTGCTTGATTTTACTATCCTAAGATGGGGAACTGGAAATATGGCGGCATCACGGCGCAAATGCCGGAACATGATATCAAAAATACCTTAGACAATGGTCCAAAGCGTGAATTCAACGACTCTACCAAAGCGCCTTTCTTCCACCCTGGCTTCGAATCTAAGCTACAGAGCGTGATCAAAGAAAGCTACGAAGCAGGAGCAGGTGGACAGCCTTCGGCTGCCATTATCAATGAGGTGTCCGACATTGTGGTTAAAAGCCTCGCCGCATACGTAATGGACCAGTCCGCATATAATATTTTCGACATCGAGGCCCGCCTCTCGCTGTCCCGTGAGCAAGCGCACTCACTGACGGACGTCCTGGCTGAGAAGGTTAGAAAAACTCTTGTTGCAAAACACATTAACTATCCGCAATTTCCCTAGGACATCACTGACAAGTTCCCTCAGCTGCCTGTTGAGGAAGCTATTGCACGCCTCCTGAAGGATTATGCCGAGCATCTTGCTCGGGAAGCAAAGCACAATGAATTCTCGAATTTCCTTGCGGCTCAACAGGAAGAGGAAGCTCGCAGAGTATTTGCTTCTCTACTCCAAGTCACAACCGAGGAGAAGATCAAAGAGTTTGGAAATTCCTTCGCTGAGTCGTCGCACAAAGCCCGAAATAACGCCATAGTTCATCTGAACAAGCTCAGAGACAATGGCACTTTTGACGAAAAGTTAGTGATGGACTTTCGAAAGGTCTTGAAAAGTGACAAGGAGACTTTTCTGTTCGCTGATTACTTTGGCAAGATTGACCTAGCCACGGTTGCCAGCGCCGGTAGCGGTCCTAACCTTCAGACTATTCTTGAGACGATAGGAGACGCAAGTGTTGTGCGTGACATACTTTTCCGTGCTCTGAGGCCAGATTTGCGATAGCTTCTATATATGCCGTGTAGCTCGTGTCGTTTAGACCTGGGGGCATTCAGAGCTTCTTTACCCAGTTGAAATGCAGGCTACACAAGCATACATGTATATAGTTAACTAGAGTACACTGTTCTCAATTGTCTGAATAGCACTAGGGGCCTTGTTTAATTGCCTAATATGTAGAATCTAAACAGACTCTTTTTTGTTTATATGTCGCTCTCATTACCACATACGAACAGCTGCTTAGCTATACCCCCGCCATATATTCATGGTCTATTTACCATCCTTAGGGTCTAGTCTGAAGATCGAACGTACTAGTTCAGGATTTAATGCTGAATGAATTCCCCAAAACGCTCCCAGATATTTTGTCAAAGCAGTGGGATGAACTATTTTGGCCACCTCTTTCGGCTCAAATGCGTCCAATCCCTAGAAGACCAAAAACTTTCTCTTTCCTGGATACCTGTCACCAATAGAAAGAGCTGAGCCTAAATGAAACATGTAATAGATAAATTTCCGTGTAGCATTGTATTTAAGAAGCCTTTGGCAGGTGTCATTTTATCAGAGATAGGCCGTGTACTTTTATCGTTCACGATTCTCTGGATAGAACTTGTAGCTTCTAGTTATCACTTGTAGTCTTCTATGTATTACTTGTAATCTGAGTCATATTCGCAAACCAAACAAACAGAGGGTATTCCAGATCACACCCGCCAGAGTAATTCCCCTGGCGGTCATAGCCGCGATCGTTGACCATGTGAAATCATCGACTCCATGAGCGATACCACTTCCTTCACATCCGTTGGTGAGCGAGGAATATTATGGATGGTGCTATGCCTGTAAAGCTTTCGCCACCTGGGGTCGCAAAAAGCCGCGTTAAATATACATGCTTCCTTCAGTGATACCGGATCATCCTTTCCGTAAATATGGAGCGTCGGGATGGAAAGACGCGGCTTATACTGATCAGGAAGAACCACACCTGGGATCTCAGAAAAGGGACGATTGAGAAAGTACGAGAGTGAATCACCATGGACGGGTGCCATGGCAGCTAATCCCTTCACTAGCACGTCTGCCGCAGGCCGGACTGAGTCTGGAAGTTGAGCTATTTGATCACCCTCGCCTGAGCGGAGGCGTCGGATATCCTCATCAGACAGCGTGCCATATAGATTGTAAATATAGTCTGGATCTGCCGTGAGGATTGGCGTTGAACAACAGAAGATCCCAAACCGGACTGGCAAAGGTCTGTCCGGATATAAATCCGCTTGCTCAAGGAGATAGGCGGCTATTATGGCGGCCCCTTGGCTGAACCCGAAGACCCCATCGAAAGGGCCTTCACTCTGAAAAGTTTCATGAATTAGATCAAGGGCTGCTCGGATGCTGAGTGGACCATAGTCTGAACTCCAGCAGAGATAGGGCCCAGGAAAGGCCTCAACGCCTGTGGAAATTTACTAAGGATCAGATTCATGCTCAGGTAGATACTACCGACACGGTATATTTGACTAACCTGGCGCTCCTGGGCATTCTACATTGCCTGCCAGGAAGTCAAATTGCCATCTAGGGTCGCAGTGCTTGATCAGTGCCGACATCTGGCGTTTCATGATACCTGGGTTTGTCCCGAAGCCATGGAGACAGAGTATTTTCATTTTGTCTTGTCGACGTTGTCAAAGATATTCACGGGATTCAACCAAGAGTGAAGGCTGGCCGAGATGAATTGAAAATCTTGGGAAATAACAGCGACACAAATAACAGCGAGATGTGGAATTTAGAGGCTTCCCTGGTCCCTTGCGGTGTCTTGCGGGGCTTTTCTTTTTCTTAGGGTAATGCTTTCGCAATGTAGTATCCCGCGAAATGAGGGTCCACTGAAGCAGCTAACAAGCTGTATGCTGGTCTGGCAGGAACCACGGCCGTGACTATGCAGCCCGGAGAGGTACCAAAAATTAGCAATGTCCAATATGCATGATTATGTACGGAATACTCCGTTGATCGCTCTTAATCGCTAGCGTATGACAGTATAGTCCTTTGTCGAATATATTTTATATGACAGTGAAACAGCATTGAGAACCTCACGTGTCGAAGCCAACCCTTGAATGCGGAAATGACGCTTGCCGCCTGTAAAATTCTGCTGAATAAATAGACCGATAGATGGTCCGGTTGGGATGGCATCCCCAGCGAGAGATATTGCACCATAATTCTGTATTTAAATGATAGTTTTACGTAACGAATTTCCTTTTATCGTTTGTGGTATATCCAATGAAGGATGTAGCTGAGATCCCAAAGTCACATTCATGTTCCGCAGATCTCAATCAGCACGATCTGATGGATGAAGACCGACAGATTGATTGGAGCAGGCTTGCCCTATCAGCACAGGATAGCTGTGATGGCCTTGGCAACTAACTAATAGAAACAACCACATGCATTATCACACGTACTAAGATCGGACTATTTACTCAAAGCTCGAGTCTGTCGACGGACTGACAAGGGGCTAACCAGGGTCCAGTGCCTCAAGGGGTTGTCAGCTCAGCCTCCTTGATATGCAGCCGAGCGGGGTCTTATCACATTTGGTCTTTAGTAATGATAAAAATAGAACTCGGTCGCAGGAAGAATCGAATAGACCCGCGGAGTTCATGAGGCTCATATTCCCTCCAAGGAACCTGGTGTATCTGACGCACTGGACTTTCTTTCTTTCTTTCTTTAGTGGTGTGATAAACTGCCTTTTATCAAGTGCATGTGGCGAATGCGTAAAGGTCGGTGTCCATATTCCATGCAGCACCAAAGCTGGCGACCTGGATTTTCGAATCTCTTCAGTCATGTGAAATGCTGATCAGAGGGTATATAACAGTCTCGCAAAGCATACGTATGTTGTCATTTTTGTGTGTTGTCGCTTCCGCGACACTAGCAGCGGCCACGTCCCTGCATATCGAAGGCCACCGCAATGGACCTCTTATCTTACAAGATGCGGGCGACTTCTTCGTCGGCGGTCGCGAAGTGAAGGCTTTAGTGAATATTGGAGATCCCTCAGACCCGTTAAATGATTATCCTCGGGAAGACTGGATCTCCGTGGAACAAATGTATGTGGAATACCAAATTCCGATGAGCGGCGACGGCCTCCCATACATTCTTGTCCACGGCTGCTGCCTCAGCGGGAAATCATACAAGGATACGCCCGACGGTCGCATGGGCTGGGCCGAATATCTGGTGCGAAAAGGCCACCCCGTCTATGTACCTGATCAGACGTCTCGTGCTCGCTCTGGTTTTGACCCGACCATTTTCAACAAAGTGAAGATTGGAGAGGCAGCCCCATCGGCTCTGCCGAGGCTTGAGAGCGCCGGCCGTGAGCGCGCCTGGGATCTCTTCCGCTTCGGATACTCCTACCCCCAGGTTTTTCCAGGCCAGCAATTTCCCCTGGAGGCCATGGAACAACTCTCCAAGCAAGTGATCCCGGATTTGAACGTCATCCTGCCGGATCCGAATCCCGTATTCGCCAATCTGGCGACCTTGGCTAAACAGGTACACGGTGCGGTGTTGGTTGGACACTCCGAATCAGCGTTCTTCCCCTTCCGTGCAGCCCTGAATGACCCTTCGGCTGTCAAGGGTATTGTTTCGATCGAGGGACAGTGCTCCATGCCAACGGACGAGGAGATAGCTGTGCTGGCGACAATTCCTACATTGTTTGTTTATGGCGACTACCTTGATCAAGCTAAGGTTTCGCGCAGACTCTGGCCACAGTCACTTCAGGGCTGTCAGGCTCTCGTGGACCGACTCACTGCTGCCGGGGGAAAAGCGTTTGTGGCGGAGCTGCCTAGATTGGGCATATATGGGAATAGTCATATGCTGATGCAGGATAAGAATAATCTCCAGATTGCGGATTTGATCATGGATTGGATGGAGAAGAATATATCTAACTAGACTTGGACTTTGTTATGTTTAAACTGTTGAATATACTGAGGTGCAAGATATGGTCATCTGCCGACTGGCTTTTGGTCGAGTGATCGTCGCACGACTACACAATCTCCATGAATCGTATTCAGATTCTCATCGACACCACCAATCTAGAAAAAGTGATAACATTGCACTCTGTACCTGCTCCAAGAATCTCAGATCCTATCCATCAAAGTAGCCCTCCCATCCATTCTCAATATAAACATATATTCGTCTCCATTGTTCCCCTGTTGAGAAAGAGGGATTTTCATCTGTTATGGTGAATTATCGATTTTCCCAAACGGCATATACTTGGCTGTACGAACCGATGCAAGTCTGAGATTGTTCACACATTGCACACCTGGTAACCCGCAATAAATCAAAGAAGTAAGGCCTGAGCATATGCTGTGTGCTCAGCTGTAACAACACAAGGCCAGCTACCAATCTTACTGTATCGGGTATTATAGATCTGCACAGTCTGCCTGCTTGAGAGCAATTGTAAGACATAGCTTTGTAGCAAGAGCCATTTATACTCTATCTCAACTCTACTACGATATGAGGTAGTAGGTACGAGTATATCTATCTCAATAGTATTTCCAGTTCATGCTGATATTGTTAGCCTTGGTTGGAGACACAGGTATGCTTATGACAGGAATGGATGGCTATTGTTCGGCATTGAGTTTGCCATACGTTGTAGTACTGATGGCGTACTATCATATCTCATGATAGTTTAGGGATTATATAGGAGAGGAGAGAGACAAAGTAAGAGAACGCCAAGGCAATGCAGATAGTTGGAAAATAACAAGGGAGGTAGACATGAATAGAAACGCCAGTTTGCTCAATATAACAAGGCGCAAGTGAACTTTTCTAGGCTAATGCTCGGATACATATGTATAACTGTAAAGAGAAAATATCCCGAAAGTATGAATCAAGAAAACATCAGCGCGCAAAGCACAAAAAGGCAAGAATGTAGGTCAGAGATGATCCAGAAGCCTAATCATCATGTGATATCTGATGAACCTTAAGCATGTGCTCTTTCAGATTATCTGCTCGATTGAAGGACTTCAAGCAATTCAGAATAGCACATTTATGAGATCCAGGAGAGATATGAATAGTCCTAATATGTCGTATAAGGTCTGCCTCACGGTTGAAGTGTCGTCTATAGGTGCAGCCCTCCCATCTGCATTGGAGGATAGGTTGCGCATTCATGTCACTATATCCGGTTAGGCATACCGCCATAGACATTGGGTACAGAGCTAGGATAGTGGTACCTTTTATTCATGTCTGTACGAACATTGTGTTGTCCATCTCTGGGTTGGAGCTGGATTGACAGCATGTTGGGACCAACTATGGGATTGCTTGCTAGATGCTCTTGTTGGTCTGAAGCGGCATTGCCTTCGAACGTGGTATTACCTTGCGTATTGCTGAGACCAAAATTGAAGTTATCATTGGAAATCTCGGCATGGTTCCCTGGGGTAGTAATAACCTCGTTGAATTGTGAATCAGTCAGTGGGTGCATATTAACGCCCACCCCTGGCCCACATTGCACAGTAGAGCCTGGGTCTATAAAACCCTTGTCCAATAAATGGCTGACCGGCGATTGGGGGTAAGGTGTGAACAAGGTGGACGGCATACACGCTGCACTGAGAGATGACAGATCCATGTTACAACCTCCGGTCAGAGGCCCAACGTTTCCACACCCCGGACATAGGGCTACATTGTGGATAGGAATAGGAGAAGGCTCAATATAGAGAGGAAAAGCAGTTGAAGAGGCTGGAGGATCGGCCATATTGGTAAGAAGGAATTATTTGTACGAAAGGCTCAGTAGCTTCGTGGTAAAAGGCCGTCGCTAAAGGGAGAAGATGGCGACGAAACAACTTAAAACATGTATTCAATGGGGATGAGCAATAATATCCCAAGTTCGTACACAAGGCTGGAGCAAGATACTCAAAGGAAATAGTATATATAGGATCTAAGGGAAAGAAACATAGGAAGAGGGAGAAGCGGCATGCCCCTGCCTTAAGAACACCTGGATCTCGAGCTATAGTTTAACGAAGAAATATATATTGGTGATGATATTGTATTGGGGGAATGGCTCATAAGACACTGACCGACTTATTCAGCAGAAAGGCTCTCGCAGATCGTACACAATGATCTACATGTCTCCAATGGCCGACGTTCACTGTATGTACAAAACCCCACTTATTTGCGAAAGTATGGCGGATAAGGTTTCGTGCCGGGCGAATTATCTTTTGTTCTCGAACCTTGCGCTCCTGCGCCTGGAGCATACGATGGACCGCCGAAGTTGGGTGCTGCAGTAAAACCGCCCAAGTTGGGTGCTGCAGTAAAACTCCCGGTTTCAGCATGGTATTTAATGTAAACCGGGCGGAAATTCAGGTCAATCTGAGAATTCAAGCCAATAATTGGTCACTAGGCCTGCAAGATGGCCGTGTTCGAACGGTCCAGTGGCTCAGACATCTTGGATCCTGGGTAGTTACGCTCTATTCTGACAGTGGTCGTTCGGTTCCATCTGGATCGTAAGGCCCTGAATAGGCCTAGCGCTCCCCAGGAGCTAGGAGCTTTCGACATGCTGACTATTATCTTTCCCGTACAAAGTCCATTTATCTAGTCCAGTTTTACGCATAATCAGATTTGGTCGATCGAAGAACATCGATTTCACAAATATTTTATCTGTCTTGGCACCGAAATAGCCATCATATAGTTAACTTCCGGGCTTAAGGGCACAAAGTCAGTGTCCACTTCCGATGCACATAGAGCTCGCATACAAGATATTATCGCATGAAAGCTACTCGATTTTTACTATCTTCTTAATCGATATGCCGAGTGAATGGATGCGCATCCAAGGCCTACCAGGCCTGGAGATAGGAGTCGAGTTGTGGGCTTTTTCTAAGGAATATCCTTGCTCAGAAGAATCTCTAGACAGGCGGGCTGTTCCATGAACATTTCTTTTAAACAGGGGTACCAGCACCCCCCGTTTATCTAGTCATCTTGAAATAGGTGCCGTTGCCGATTATGTGAGTCCAGTGTTCCATTTTGCATGCCCCCCTACTACCTTTTACATATCTGGGCATAAGTTGATAGAAACTATCAGTAGTAGATTTATAAAATCTAGTATTATACCTAGTAAAGTAGATAGTAGCAAACTGCCCTAGTTATGCGAAGACTAAGCCAGGCATTCAGTCAACAAGCCAACAAGGCTGGGACAGTGGCTCAGAGCCCTAGCGCTTTATGCATAAAGTAAATCAATAATTGTGTATTGCCACTCACAGGTAACAACCATTAAAATCAAAATGAACAAAAGGCTAGAAGCTTCGTGGTCCAATCTAAGGCACTTCTCGGGTAACATCATCATAACATCATTCGGTACGCCGATTGAGAAACTCCACATCAACACCTTCCTTCTTGCTCTAACTGAATCTTCAAGTTCGGATCTTCAAAGTTTCAATCTTAACAGCTGCCCCAAATTTGAAGATATTGTCACTTCGGGAACCACCAGCTATGAACGCCGTGGGAGTCGAACAGTACGGTCCTATTGAGAATCTCATATGCCGGAAGATTCCAAAGCCGGATAAGCCACAAGGAAAGGAATTGCTTATCAAGTAACATTCTTTTACCTAGCCTACTAATTTATAGTGAACAAAGCCAGCTCACGAAAGCGATAGAGTGGAAGCTACCGCTGTCAATCCGATCGACACTAAAGTCAGGAATGGAACATATGATGATGCACCAGGTACTAACAGGTCAGAAGCAGAACAGTAATAAGACTAATTCAATGTGTACAGATTATTATAAATTTGTGCCTCGTCCATTCCATATCATGGGATATGACGGCGCCGGCATAGTTCAAGAAGTTGGCCCAGAATGTACCAGATTCAAACCCGGTGACGAAGTATTCTATGTATCATCTCCGACAAAACAAGGAGCCTATTGTGAATACCAATTAGTTCCAGAGGTCACTGTCGGACATAAACCAAAATCACTGGATTTCGTTGAAGCTGCCGCGATGCCACTAACATACGGAACTGCCTGCGAGTCCTTATTGGATCGGCTGGAGATCAAAAAGGGAGAAAAGGTCGGTATTCTGATCATCAATGGCGCCGGTGGTGTAGGGGCCATGGCATCGCAAATCGCGCGATGGGTACTCGAGTTACCTGTCGTGATTACCACGGCATCGCGACCTGAGACGATCGACTTCACTAAGAAGATGGGAGCGACTCACGTTATCAATCATCGGGAAGATTTGAAGAAGCAGATCGATGAGCTCCATCTTGATGTGCCTATCAAGTGAGCAGTGATTCGTCGTTCCAAATGGATGTATGCTAATTCTCGAGACAGGTATGTCTACATCACCTATTCCACGTCGCAGTACCTTAGTGTTTGTTCGGATGTCATTGCTCCGCTGGGTAAGGTTTGCTCAATCGTTCAATCCGCCGATATGAACATGTATGGTACTCAGTTTATGTCCAAGTCTCTAGCATTCATCTGGTGCTGGCTTGGATCGAGGATGTACCATGGCGTTGACACTAATCAATGGGAAATGTTGGAAGAGCTCTCAGCTCTTATTGACGCAGGCAAGATCAAATGCCACCTGACGAGGCGACTGCAATTGAATCTTGAAGGAATTAAAGAGGCACATAGGATCCTTGAATCTGGCAAGGCCATTGGAAAGGTCGGGCTTGGCTTATCGGAAGGTGGATGGTGTTAAGTCTTCTTCGATCAGAGTAACTGCATCGCTTCTTGCCGAGTGACATTTTATTTCTGTGCACTCCAATCTGTCATCTAAAATTCGTATGCCTTTCATATGACAGATCTCTAAATGAATATGAGAACTAACACATGCCCCTTAAAGTATTCAACGCGGGAATCTGTTAATTCTAAATAAAACGCACTGTGAACACAGTTATAATAAATCCCTGGATACGACTTTCTATCATTCTGGTATTTATCCTACTGTATAACTCCAGCTCGAGTATTTAGACATGCAATATTAAAGACCTAGCCGACGATGATGTCATCAGCATAGCTTTCCCGCAAGACAGAAGCATCCCAATTCATGAACCCCGCTACACGTAATTTCCACTACACAAATGAAGCAATAAGCACTACCTAAATACAATCCTGATAAAAAAGAATTAAACAGAGCAATGCGCCGGTTTGTCAGTCACAATCCATTCCATTCAACAAAAACTGACTATACTAATGCCTAACAGACGATCCTAATCCGCTACGACTCCCTAGAGGTATATCAGCAATACGGGAGCATCATCGAGCAAATGTAATGCTGACCATCGATTGCGCTTTCAATCTACCCTTCGATATGCCCTTCTAATCCATAATACAGGACCAAGGACAAATTCGCAGAAAAGGGAGCCACGGAGCAGACTTTGTTCATCTCTATGAGGAGCATGCCTCCTATACATACCACTTCGTATGGTTATAGTCTCGTTTTTAGGTCTGGTTATAGTTACTAATGATACGTAGATTTGTCGCCCCGGAGAATGTTACCGTGGATGATCTGAAGGGGGTTCAGTTTCCTGAAGGTGTACATGTTGATATTCACCAGGAGGCATGATCGTTATCCTTTGTTCGAATGGAGATTTTCATGGATCTAGAACTACGATTGTGGGCCAGAATTATAAAGAAGTGTGCTGGACAATAGGAAACCCTGGATCTGAAAACCAGATACAGAGTACCCGTTGTAATGAGTAGATAACTATTATCAGTAGAAAAACATGCCCGAAAACTGCAAGGTGCTCGGACGTAATTCACTCTGGTAGTGTTTCCAATGCCATCCAGCCCGAGAAGAATAAACCTTATGTACCATCTCATCCGAATCGTTTCTCCTACCATGGCAAATAATAACTATTACATTTAACTTCGTAGTGAGGTAGAAAGAAGAATAGTCCGACGACATCCATTAGCATCAACCGTCGGATATTGCGTGTAACTAATGCCCAGCAGTAGCAACATCGCTCGATAGATTAGCAGGGGGGTAGAAGAACGCAGCAACACTGTACTAAATGTTAGTCCTGAATGGAAAAGCATGCGGTCCCAGACCCGTGACATACCCAATAATCACATAGGCCGCAATCAGAAGAGCTCCTTCCAGATAATTACTGCGACCATCTAACACCAGGAAGTTCACCACGAATGCAGTGACGAAGAGAGAAATAGTCTCGAATAGAGTGAAGTACAAGGACATGTCTTTGTCCATGCACCAGCCGAGAATGACCACCAGAGGAGTGACGAAAATGGCTGTTAAACGTCAGTTATACATGTCTGGTGAAAGAGGTTTGTTCCAACTCACCAATTTGAATACTGCTACCAACGGAGACACCAATCGACAAGTCCATTTTGTTCTTGGTGGCCACACTAACAGCGGTAACGTGTTCCGCTGCATTTCCAACAATAGGGAGAATGATTAGACCGATAAAGGCCTCACTGACGGATGAGCTTTCGATCATCTCGGGAATTGCGTCCACTAGAAACTCAGCGCAAACAGCGACCAAACCAGTAGAGAGAAGCAACATGACAACTGCAGCCGTGCGTGACATTTCCGGTTCTTGATGTTCCGGTGCTGGTTGGAGGGTCTGCGGGTTGACAGCGGTGGGCATTCGGGCTGCGCCACGGGCGAATTGAACCGCATTCCCAACAGGTGGAGGGCGGTTCATTCGAGACGGGAGGGAATTTGTGCGTCGGAGGCCGTTGAGATTTCCAGATGGATCACCCCGTACGTTGTATGGGGCTTGAGAGTTAGAGAAAACAGTGTTTGACAACAGGGAGGGGATAGCAGGACGGAATGCACTGCGTCTCTTGGGAGAATCCAGGTCCTGTGGGCCCTTCTCCAATCCGCTCAGCTCCAAGGGAGGTTCCGACAAGTGAGTCTTGAAGGATGGTCGAGTATTGGTGGCACTGTCCGTAGCGGCCTTTTCATTTGCCTTTTCTGCAAGCTTCTGTTGCTTCCGCATCTCACGTCGCTTGGCTTTAAGCTCTTTCTTGGAAAGCTTCACTTTACTGGATTCCTGACCGAAGTCTCGGAAGTGGGGTTCGAATTGGTTCGCATCATTGTCTGCATCGTAGCGAGGGTCATCACCGATTTCAATCGCACAGGATGCGGGATCGTCTGTGGGGATCGATGTTGAGCGATGAACAGAGTCGGGCGTCTCGCTGCTTCCCGTGGATGGCATTTCCGACAGAACCTGCTTGCGGAATGATGGAGTAGAAGCGGTGCCCTTGGAGCTAGTGCTCGATTTTCGATGTCTGCGGTACTTCATCGCTTTCTTAATACGTTTTGCAGTGCTCCATGACGTTGTCGTGTCGTCGGATTCATCCGACGAACTGCTGGAGGAATCTGATGAATGGTTCATGAAATCGGCCAGAACACCAGGGTGGGATTCCTCATCGATGATCTGCTGGGGGATACTGGCGTAAAGGTAGGAGTGGGACTTGAGCTGGAAGACGATGTACAGGATGTACACCAGAAGCAAGACCTGTTCAACAAGCATTAATAGGGATGTTTGAAGAGCACCAAGAATATTCGCTGCTTACCACACTAGTTCCGCGGCTGACTTTCAGAGTATACTTATCAGCCGCTGCATTGTTTGACCATGAGGCATGGAAAGCGGTCGGCAAAAGCAAGCTCATGACACTCAAGCTGAGAAGACATGCACTCATTTGAGTGACAGTGCTGTTGTAGATTTGTTCCTGGAAACGAAGACCTCCCAGGAGGAAGGCCATTCCCATGATGAGCAGCAGATTTGCTAATATGGAGCCTAACAAGGAGGCTTGAACCACTCGGATTTCATTCTTGACCAGTGCAATAATGAAGATAATGAGCTCGACCGCATTTCCGAAGGTGACGTTAATAAGAGCACCGATGGTGTCTCCCAAACGACTAGCGACACATTCGGTGGCATGGCTCAATAAACCGGCGAGTGGAATGATGGCGATGGCATTCATGGCAAAGACAAGGCCCGGGCTTAAGCCGACAGCCTCAACGGCAATGCCAACGGGCACGAATACGAGCAGAACATTGACCCAGCTGTGACAAAGGGCATGCTTCGTATGGCTGAGGAAACGGATGCTGCCATCCTTCATACGGACCAAAAGTCCTCGGTTGGGGGCAGACGGTTGCTCCCCATCGGGTTTTTCAGGATCCGACCCTGGTGTTGCCAGGGTCCCAACGGGATCAGTCACTTGTCCATTTTGCTGGGAGGTTGCGGTCACTCCTACAGCGGGTTGAGGACCGAGAGTGCTGGAGGGAGTTTGAGTCTCAGGAGCAGAACCACGAGAGGACGCGTGAGCTTTCGCCCACGAATGAATACGGTCTGGAGGGCGCATCAAATCGTCAGTCAAGAAAGCACAAAACTTGATATTCGACCCAGTTGGGGGTAACGAGGGCAAATTCACTTCTTAGCAGCTGGCGGCCAGCTCTTATCCAGAACGGGAAAGCAGATAAGGGTGGAGAGGAATGGAGTGGAGCAGAGGGCAACTTACGCATGTATTTCAGAGCCAGAGATCGGAGGTCACAGGGGCAGGGGACTAGGTCGAATCCCTAGGCAGTAATTGCAGATATTGCAGAAACCGAAAAAGAAAAAGAGAGGAATGGAAGGAATAGGACAAGCTTCAGGGGATTCCCCGGAGATTTGCCTCAGTTTTTAAGAGGCCCTTGGCGGCAAGTTGCTTAGTAGCTAATGATGTTTGCCAAGACGGAATGATCATCGCAATGCGAAACCCATTGGATCCGTGGACCAGAACGACGTTAAAAATAATTACATGGTTGAAATGTACACTTGGTTGGGACACTGCGCCACGTCTATGGGTTCTAGTCGGCCCTATGGACATCCATCTTGCACGATCGGGTACTCTGTCATAGCCATTGGCTTATCTCCGAGATGTCTTTCTAAGTTGTAGTTTTCTCTTCCATGGTTGCAGCCATGCATTCATCCGGATCTGCCCTGACGCTGTACCACTGGAATGAATGACCAACTTTGAGGAGTTCAAAGTTACGCACGATGACGGGAGGTGTTTTATTTTTATTTTTATTTTTATTTTCTAGTGACTATGTAAGGGGGCGTTCATTGTTGTCATCCATGGCTCTCCCTGTAGGGAGAAGCTAAGATCCAAATAATAGTTAAATGAATTAATTAAGTTCCAAAGAGGAAGAAAAAGAAAAAGAAAAAGTAGGGCAAGCGAGGTCAGTGGGGAATGACGCCTCACTCTGCCATGTCGATCTCCAGCCGTGATTGGCGGGATTGATGTCAGGGGCTGAGAGTCTGGTCCTCGGAGAAGATTCGCCGAAGCCCCGATTGCTCCCGTCGTATCGCCCATTACGCAGTGCGACCGTCCTTGCCCACCCATTATGTCATAGGTACCGGTATGGTATGGTAAGTGAGCAGAGTTCCCGTTATCTGCGGTGTCATGCTGATCCTTCTTGCGTTATCATTCTCCCTGTTCTGTCCAGACTATCCCAGGCAGTCACTCCCATCTTGAAAGGTAGTATTCCGTCACCTTTCAGGAATGTTGAGAAACTATCCGATACTAGGCATCCATTTCTGCCCATGGCAATCAAGCGTGCAGGACTCTGTACGTTACTCAAGTTGGGATCGCAATTATGGTTGTTCTCGACCGGTGCGATCTTCAACCCTCTCCACCAACTCCACCGCTGTGGCTGATGGGATCCCACTCGATGAATCATTATGGAGTCGTGGTTCGATAAGATGAAAGACGCTAAACTTTTCTCCTTATTGGCCCTATTGATTGATAGTCTGCACTAGATCATTTCTGTTGTATTCCGTCGATACTTCACAATGCAGAGTGCGCTGAATTAATTCAACAATTCGCATGAAATCACATTCCATCCCTTACTCGGGAGAAGCCGCTAGAATAGTTGTCATGCGTTACACAACATCCTCTCCAGCTAAACTGACGTAGGATTGCGTATGATGAAGTGATGCTGGAGTATTCCCTTTCAATATATGTAGTCAGTCGTCGAAGGCTATTTTAGTCAAATTAGGGCTCCTTCGTGTCGTCATGTGAACACTTCCCTAGAACGGGAAAAACTTCACCCGCCAAGAGTTTGGATGACAATCATGGCTATTCTTGAGAACGTCGGCTACACAGGAGTATTGTTTTCATTTACTATAATCTCGGTTATCTTCCACTTCTCAGTTCTTATTTTTGACCTTCCGCTAATTTTCGCCTCCATAATTCAAAGCGATCCCACAGCCAATCGATTTGTCACGTGTACATGCCCTTGTTGTGATAGCGCGAATCAACAACTTGTATTATCTTCCTCCTATTGAGTACACGTCCGTGGTATATTGGGGACCCGGAAATATATCCCGAGATATTGAGGAGGCGGAATCTTGATCTATAACTTGCTCTAAGTAGAAGACAATCCCCAAGTGCAAAGCTTTCAGCCTTATGTCGGCATTTGGCTCGGCACGCGTCATGGATCGTAGGTACGGCAATCCGAGCCGCTTGCAGCCACCAATTTTAATGCGAGTTGTTTAGAGTTCATGATACTGGTAGCTAAATCTAGAATTGAAAACTTTTCTTCTCATCACATCTAAACCTCTATGTAACAGATACAACGACGGTGGCTGCATACCAGAGCGAATGTGTTAGCAGTCCGCTGTACCTAGCATGGCTCCTCAAACAGACAGTAATAACTCTAAATCAACTAAACTACTAAGGTAAGCACTGTTTTCCTTCACTTGACACCAATTAGAGCAACGCTGAGTATCACAAGTATATTAAATCCGTCAACATGGAGATCACGGCTGGGGCTGGACTCCCGGACCTTCCTCATGATGTTGAAAGGTGCTTTGCCACCAACGATCGTAATCGCAATGTTCGTATACAGCTTCCACTGGGCATGGAACACAATAATTGATTTGCCCCAGAAACCAGAGCGATGCTGTCGCGGACATCACGTTGACCATCGGATATCTATCCGCCCTCATCTCGGTATTGTCGCAAGCGTTGACGCCGCGCGCCAAGTTCATGAAGATCATGTTCTTCGATCTACTATCAACCTGTGTGTCCGCTTCGCTTTGCTGTCTGACAATCTACTGTGCTGTCAAGGCAAGAGAGCATAATACCCCGTCGGATGCCAGTGAGAGCGTCAAGAATGGCTACAGTAGTGACGCCTGTGCCGTATCTGCCATTTGGCTGATCTTCATGATATGGTTCGTTGCGCCCTCCAGTCGTGTGCGCCACTAATTATTGATGAGCCTTTCGTTTTCCTTGAAGTATTATACTAATACCAGAGCAGGGTAGCGAACACCATCCGTGCATGGCACCCTATGGAATTACAGGATCCGATGGTGGCCTTTTCGATCTTTGCATCTGTCACTATCACGCGAGCCGGGACCTTCGTGACGGTATCCGAGGGATTGGCATTCGTCTCGAGACTACTGAAAGGCTTTATGATCGGTTTCGCCATTGCGACGGGCGTATCTTTATTGATCTTGCCTATTACCAGTCGACGTAACGTTTTCCACGACATCAAGGGCTATGTGGCGCAGATTGACGCAGTCCTGCAGTCGCAGATCGCATTCGTGGAGCATAGCCCTCAGTTACTAACCGGGGGTCAAGGACTGTTGAATAGGACGCGCACGGCTCAGACGGTTCGCGATGCTAAGGATAATCCTGGGTCTGATCTGGAGTCACGGCAGAAACAGCTAACGACGTCGATCACGAAGTTGAACGCCCTTCATGGCAAACTCCAGTCCGATCTGTTTTATGCTAACGATGAGTTTGCATGGGGAAAGCTGTCTGCGAGTGATTTAAACCGTATCGGCGGATTATTGCGAAGCATTTTATTGCCTCTGGCCGGAATGGCTCAGCTGCCGGAAGTTCTGGATATGATCGTCAAGAACGAAGGGCTACGGGAGACAGGAAGGGGGTCGGATCGTGAACCTGGGGATGAGCTACTGAAACAGTCAGAGATGGAGAAGGTTTCGGAGACTCTTCGTGGCCGTTTGGCTGATGCGACCCGTCTAACAGCAGCAGGACTGCAATATGTTTTGTTGGCACTTGAGCTAGCCAAGCCCAAGCAGCTAGAGAGAAAGCGCAACGAAGCCGGTGATGAGGAATCCAAAGGCGAGGCAATCAGTCCACTTGATCCAGATTTTACGTCTCGATTTGAACAACAAACGATCAAGTACTTTGAACGGCGCAAGGATCTCCCACGATCTTTGGCGAGTCTTGGAGCATTCTCGGCATCCGAAAAGGTTGACGACATATCTACTGACTCCAGAGATGTCGTGCCTGACTCCGATGTCAGACAGGAATTTTTCTTAATTCTGTACATGGGCCATCTACAGGAGAGTCTCCTCAACGGGGTGCTCGATCTGATTAAATTCGCGGATAGCAAAACTACCGACGGAACAATGACGAAGAGCAGACCGATCTTCCCCATGCAAAGCTCCGTACGGGAATGGTTATCGTTAAAGTCTGAGAAGAATGAATCGAGTCGCTCGGACAGCAGGCAGTCTTCCCAGTCCAATCCGGCCCCTGAGGATGAGCCCGACCGGTTCCCTGATCCAGAGCATCTACCCCCAGCTAACCTCCTGGAGAAAGCGAGCACTATCATTCGCTTTATATCACACGTTATCAAGTCGGAGCAAAGTATTTTCGGGTTTCGCGTTGCGGCCGCAGCATTCTCTGTCGGCATATTGGCGTTTTTACACCAGACACAGAACTTCTTCGTTCGCCAGAGGTGCATCTGGGCTATGATTGTCATTGTGATTGGGATGAATCCAACAAGTGGGCAGTCTATGTTCGGCTTCGTGACCCGTATTGTAGCCACCGCTGTCTCGCTAGTCTTGAGCCTGGTTGTCTGGTACATTGTCGATCAGAAAACCCCTGGTGTCATTGTGTTTCTATATCTGGCTAATGTATTCGAGGTAAGACCTCATCCACTCTCAACTCACTCTATATCTGACGTGTACTCGGTAGTATTACTTCTACGTGAACGTCCCTCAATACTTCGGCGCTTCCGTCATCTCGATCGTCACTCTGAATGTCATCATTGGATATGAACTACAGGTAAGTCTATCAATTCACGCGTACAACGCAGCATCACTAACCAACGTAGGTCCGCAAACTAGGAATAGAGGTCGCAACCTCCAACGGCCAGCCATACTACCCCATCTACCTCTTCGGACCCTACAAGCTGGCCGCCGTCGCCGCCGGATGCGCCATATCCTTCTTCTGGGTCATCTTCCCCTACCCGATCACCGCGAAATCCACACTGAGAAAATCCGTCGGTCGAGCACTATTCGTGCTCGCCAAATTCTACAGCTGCATGCACACAACCGTCGAGCTATGGCTGAACGGCGAACTCGGCAATGGCCAAGACACGCTCTCAGCATCATACAAGTTAGAAACATCACGACACAAAATCTTCAAAGAAGAAATGATGCTCTTAAACCAGCTCCGCACACACAGCCACTTCAGCACATACGAGCCTCCCATTGGCGGCAAATTCCCCAAAGCAACATACGACCACATCATCTCCGAGATCCAGCGCATGCTCACCAGCATGGCGCTGATGGCACACACCACTCAGCACCTGAACGTCTCGTCCAGGGAATCGGAAAGCGTTCGTGGCTCAGACGAAAGATGGGTCTCACAGCTAGCCTCGATTGCGTTACAGTCTGCCGACTTCCATTCCCATTCTGTTACCTCGCTGCTTTGCCATTTGTCGGCTTCGTTGGCGAATGCCCAGCCGTTGCCCCCCTACCTGTCTGCCGGTGACTCTTTCCCACTGGCCCGGCATTTGCAAAGGATTGACGGTGAGTTGCTGAGCATTCGCCATGTGCAGGATCCGGCCTTTTCGGCGTTTGTAACACTGGAGGTGTTGAGGTCCGTGGTGGGTTTTACGTTGAGGGATTTACTGAGGTAGGGTCTTTCGTGATTACTCTTTCGCATGTACTGACGTATTCCAGTAATGTGAAAACACTCGTCGGGGAACTTAAATTCGACAACTATACTCGGGGCACGTTGGAAGACGCCGAGTCAGCGAGATTATTATCGACGACCACTGAACCATGATTGACTCTTACACATGATTCTTCGTTTGTACGTAACTCTAGATATAATAATCAGCTAGCGCCCCTTATGTCCAGATCTACATCTCTTCATATGTTCAACCATAACCCACCACCGACGAACCCTATATATAAACACAACCCAACATGGCCACAATTAAAGACATCTACATTATCCCAGAGAACAATCAATCACTCTTAGCCCACCAAATCTTCTCCCCCAACGCCGCCATAGCTCCATCCGCCTCGATCCCCAGCCGTTCAACCAACCCGTCCGGTCCAACCTTGATCTCGACTTTCGTCGACGTCGCAATCCCATCATACTCAGATCCGAAGATCCAGTCATCCCCAGAGACATGCACGATCTCCATGATGAGCGACTCCGGGAGTTCTGCAGGGTTCACGAAAAACATGCAAAGTCTAGGGGCCGTTGTGGCATTGGTTAGGGGCGGGATGATGGATTTCTGCGAGCAGCTTTCTGTGAAGTTGAGGGTTGGGTAGGCCGGGTGGGTGTATAGGCCCGTGATGCTAGCTACAGGTAGAGGCGGGGGGAGAGGCGGATTGGGGATTGTTGGGTAGAGGGATCGTGGATCGGGGGTGATTGTCACGTTGAGGACTTTCTCGGCTCTGTGGTTTTGTTGTCAGTAACGTTCTGGGCGGGATTGCAAGGCATGACTGGACTGGGGATCGGGGGGTAGATACTCTTTAGCCCAATCGAATCTATCTTCCTCTGGAATGCCCAGAACTTCGTCGATGATGTGGTAGGCCAACACGCTCGCAACCGCGTTCGTGGATATCAGGTTATTTCCCATGATCGTGATCCCCAGGTGCACGTCTGGGAGGAAGATCACCATGGATCCGAAGCCATATATGGCGCCGGTGTGTTGCACCACCGCGTGGCCTTTATACGACTGCAGGATCCAGCCGAATCCGTACAAACTGGGTGCTGAAAAGGGCGGAACACTGTCGGGAGAATAATACTATGTGCGCTTGTGACTGCGGCATGTCCGGCTGCAGATAGGGGTGGTCTGCGATGGATCATGGCGCGGAGCCATTTGGCGTAGTCGGTCGCGGAAGAGAGCACCCCCGACGCCCCGCGGAGAATCTTCGGGGATGGGTAGCCTGCATCTTTGAATTGGTGGTCTGAATCGACGTAATAGCCCTTGGCGATGTCTTCGTTTGCCGCCTGGGCATCGGTCGGAGTGAAATACGTCTCGGTCATGTTGAGGGGTTCCCAGATTCGGCTGCGCAGGAACTCTTTCAGTGGCTGGCCGGTCTGTGTCTCGATAAGATAGCCAGCTGTCATATACAAGAGGTTGGTGTATTGCCATTGTGTGCGAATGGGTGCTGTTAAGGGCGCGTAGCGCAGTTTGGAGATAACTTCCTGGATGGTGATGTTTGCGTTGGCGATCCAGTCGTGGCGTGGTAAGCCCGAGCGATGAGATAGAATATCCTCGAGCGTGACGTGGGTCGTGGTCCACGGGTCTTCAAGAACAAACTCCGGTAGGAGATCATGCACTGGTGTCGCCCATTGGATATCGGGGTAGTTCTCGTTGTCGTCTACCAGAAGGGACATTGCTGCTGCCGTGAATGCTTTGGTTGTGCTGGCTCCTTCAAACAGGGTATGTTCGGTAACCGGTTTGGATGTCTCTGTATTAGATATACCGTAGCCCTACGTTTCTGTGAGAGGCGGCGGCTGATATTGGCGTCGTTATGTGTATACTAACCTTGGCGAAGATGTCTTCTCCGCGGACTACGGATACTGCGAGCCCAGGGATGCTGAAATGGTCTAGGGCCCAGTTGACTTTCTTTTCGAAGGCCTCGTTTAGGGGGGATGAAGCGTGGTCATCGCGTGGGATTCGACGAGCAATGCAACTGGGGAGAGCCCACCAGTATAGTAGAGTAGAAAACCAGTACATAATGAATCTAAATTTATATGGGCTCACATTTATTCAATGCGAAGTGCCTGGGAACAAAGTGCAAAAGACTAGATAAGTGATTAGAAGGTAGAGAGAGAGATGCGTGGATAATAAAACAGCGGGAAGGGGTGTTAGGCTAGAGCAAAGGCGATGAAGTCGTAATCGCTTAACTTCCCAAAGGTGCATTCCGAAAAGGAAAACCTGATTCTTATACCCCATAAAACGGTGCCATGCCGTTTATGCAGCCAAGCGGATCAATTGCTGACATGCTTATTGTGATTTGGTCGCGGCCCAAGGATGTCAAGCAGGCCAAGACCTTGGTCTCCAACGTAAGCCTCGTCTCCAAGAGAAATACGAGCTACGCGCACGCGACAACTTAGCATCAGACTAAACTAGTGTCGGGCAAACAAAACTATACGAGGCTGCTCTCGAGTCATGTATCTTCAATCCACTGTGTCCATGCACACCGAATACATATTAGTCCTGAAATTCTTAATCTGACGCCCGATGTCCAAGTCATCTGAGAAACGGCCAGACTCGCTATTGTTCTGGAAGGTAGGGGGTTTCCATTAATCTATACGGGGAAGGGGACTAATCAAAACTAGCATGATAGAGCTATCAATCGACTAATCCAGGATACACATTATACAAAAGGTTCATTAAATTGGCGACGTCCACCATTGTCGTTCGAACACCGGCATGCATTTCACCATGGGTGGAGGGGTGCTCTGCCATTTCACCAGCTCCGCTTCTGTGTTGTATTGCGTGTGGTTGACAGTCTTGTGGACGTATCCGCGCATTTCCTTCGCCTCCTGTGCTTCGTTGTATTCGTATGCAACATTCACGGAAGGCACGGCGAGGATCTTGGCCCGATCCAGCTTCCAGAGATCTTTGGCGAGTGTCATTGGCTCACCCATGTAGCATTCGTCCTTTTCTGAGCTGCGGAATGCAATGCTTCGCTGCAGAAACGGATCCGCGTCGAGCGTGACCATTCCGCCCCAGCAGGAATAAACCTGTATCGGGAGGGATTGATCCCATCGAGCTGCACTGTCGGGATGGTCGAAGAACATGTCGTCGTGCAGCCAATGCTTGGCATCGTGAGTCACTTCGAAGAACAGATTGCCCGACATCGAGCGTGACACCCAGGAGTCGTAGAATTTGCGTCCGTGAGTGTTCCAGTCAAAAGCGCAGGTCATGGATGCGGACTGCAGGGCATGCTGATGTACTAGTTCAAGAATATCTTCGGGACAGAGCACGATGTCATTCACGAAGATAATGGTAGGCTTGGAGGCAAGCCGGCTATGTTTAGTCCTGCTCTCTTCTAGTAACGGTTCGAGGGCGAGGTTGCGGAGGTGCGATAATGCCGTGATGCGATTTTCCCCTCCCGCTTTGGGGTCCAGGTAGCTTCGGGTGAGGAAGTAGGGCACGCCCATGGCAGCGAGCTCAGACTTTAATCCAGCCAGGATAGCGTATGTACCGTCCGTCGATCGGCCCTCCACGATCGATAACGCACAGTACTCGGGTCCCAGATAGCGTATTGCCTCCATTATAGCGCCCATGAGCGGAAGAATGATGTGGGCAGCTTGGTAGAGATCCAATGCAAAGTAGTATTGAATCCGGGCGGGCCCGGATGGCGAGGGCCGCAGATGTTCATATCGGGAGTCAACGGACACGGCGCAGTCAAGCTTGGCAGTCAGACTCATATTATGCTTAATGATACTGCACACAAAGTCCGAAATCTCAGCGTTATTGTACGTGTGTTCCTTCAGCCCTATGGTTGAATGCAGCTTCTCGGATACGATTGCAGGGTCGAAGTCTATGCAGGACTGCGTTTTATTATTTACTCGGATGGCGTCAACCATTATTGATGATTCCACATTAGAATTGACGTAGAGGAATGCCAACGAAAGGAGGGCCGCCGTGGCTACGGCAAGGCGTAAGACATGGCGCTGAGCGAATTTCCAGTCCAATTTAGATGCATGAGAGCCCATAGCGGGCGCGATTTGATGCTCAAGCCTCGAATGCTGAGATCTGAATTTGCGGAGCAATTTGCTACCGGGGGGAATATGGATTCGGAGTCTCCGTGGGTTATGATATTGGGAGTACAGGGGAGCTGACAAGGAGTTTCGGTAGACAAAGAAGTTCGGGCAAAAATTTAACTCTAGCAAGGGAATCCACCCATATGGCCCCTGTCCAATACCAGTAGACAGGAAATTCTAATCGGGGAGTTGGAATGTTTCTTTCTAATCACTGGCGAGGTGGTTGGTATGGAGACCCACCAAAGCCCACATCGTCGATTGAGAGGCAACACACTAACTTACTCTGGAGGATTTATGCATGAAGCTGAGCAGCTTGATCAAATCACGTTGCCTATTCCGTAGGCTGTGCTTGTCTCTCGGTACATTCACTGTGTGTACGACCCACTATGGACCCTCCACTCAGCTTGCTTGTCTTCAGCCTCATCGTCCAACAAGGTCTTCAAAAAGCAGTAAGTATGCTCTCCAGAAGCGGAACATAACCTCTATGTGCCTGACCGCATGACAGGTATAGCCTGTGGTAACAAATTGACATGCCCTAATGGTCAATTCAAGTACTGGACTCGGGACACGATTCGGACCCGTAAAGGGGCCGGGCATCTCCGCTCCGACCCGAACTTCCATGCGGAACAACAAACCATTGCATTTTTATACAAATTCTATCGGATAAGTGCGCTATGACAATCAGTAGTCAATTTACTAGTATTTACACATAGCTATTCTTTCCCTGGCAATATCTGGGTTGTCACATCATGACCGTCACAAAGGAAATTCTAGCCAAAAGGCTTCGAGCTAGCGACCGCGACCGAGTAGGTATAGAGGATGGAAATACATGCGCAAGGTCAGAGATTATTTTACAAGATTAGTGATTATCCGGGAATCTATTAGATTGGTCTCCATCAGTGTTGTTTCTCGCTGGTTCGGGTTGTTTCGTCTATAAGGAAGGAAATCAGTTATGGAAACTGGCGTGAAACAGATATATATATTCACCCATCTGGAACTCAACTCAAGCCCGATCTATAACTCATTAAATATCTATCTCAAAAACAAAAAAAAGAAGGTACTTGCAGAGAATGAAACCGCTAAAGTATTATATATTCACCGTCTACAGCGTAGTTGGTTCAATATGTACCCAAAAAATGATGTTCGTTGTTAGATAAGTGAGATTTCAAAAGCAAAAAAGAAAAGCCGAACGCGGGGGTCGAACCCGCAACCTTGAGATACCGTGAAGACTAAGAGTCTCACGCTCTACCGATTGAGCTAGCCCGGCTGGTGTTGAAATATGCTTGCTAATTTTGCCATCTTATTCCGGAGGTCTACAGAATCGGAACTCTCCGTTTTGTCAGAAGAGCGCGAGTAAAGTGATTACAAGGAAAACATGTCAATCAGCAAATATAATCCATTACTAGACTATAGCGAATTTCCAACGCGGTATATACAGGCAGTGCCCGTTACATTAATCGGTAAGACAGAATAAAATATACAGAACAAGCCCACACTGCTTTCCTAATCGTTCCAATCGGTCATGGCGCTTGTCTTCATCACCATCGTCAAAAGTCGTTGAAGGACGATGGGATCATCCCATGGGTACTCATCGCTTAGACAGCGACGGCAATGGCGGCCATGGCGACGGCACCAAGGGAGTAGCCGATGGTGGCCTTGTTGGCAGCTCCGGTGGCCAAGGGAGGAGAGGTGGCGGAGGCAGAGCCGGAGCCAGTGGGGGTGCTGGAGCCGGAGGGGACAGCGGAGGAGCTGGCACCGCTGGAGGAGGTGGGATCACAGGGCCGGAGGAGGTGGCAGAGGCAGAGCCAGTAGCGGAGGAGCTGCCGGTCTCAGTAGCGCTGGCGCTGTCGGTGGCAGAGGCGGACTCGGTGGGAGCAGCGCTGGAAGAGGGGGCAGAGTCGGAAACATCCTTGTACTCATCGATACCCTTCTGGATGGCCTTGCTGATACCAGCGGAGAGGTTCTTGGCAATGTCCTTGAGAGCCTCAGGGACCTTGGAGGTGATGGCATCGGCGAGACCATCGGCAGCAGACTTCTGCTGGTTGAGGGACTCCTTGACCTTGCCGCCGGCACCAGCCTTGACGAACTGGTCCTTCTTGGCGATAATGTCATCGACGGCCTGCTCGACCTTCTTGGTCAAGTCCTGGACGGGGCCAGGCAGACCAAGAGCATCGCTGGTGCTGATCTCGTCACCGCCCTTGATGGTCTCGGTGCCCTTGGTGATGGTGGAGACCAGGTCAGCCGAGGCGGACTCGACCTTGGAGGGATCACCGCCGCTGTAGCCCTTGATGGCGGAGTCGAGGGCATCGGTCTTGGAGCTGATCTCGGCGATGATGTCAGCGGGAGAAGAAGCACGCTCAACGAGAGGGGTGGCCAGGGCGGCGCCGGCGAGACCCAGGGTGAAGATGGCGGAGAATCTCATCTTGACGGGAAAGACTGGTAAGTTGAATTAAGATTATAAGGTGATCTATATAATTGGGAAGACCAAACGAGTGCCCGAGTGCAGAGAAGCTAAGAACGTTGCCAAAAGAATGGAGAGCTCTGATCTGATCTTTCTTCCATCGAGGCGCTTCGAACCGTCTCTATATATACACGACGGACCACAATGAAGCTCACATGCGTGATCAGGTCCGGCCTCGGCCAGAATGGGTCAGGGGAATGGAGTCAGTGGGTTATTCTTAGCAGGATTTGGTTTAGGTTGCAGAGACCCAGCATTTGCCCCATGGGATTGGTCTCGGGGTGTATGAAGCTACCAGGATGAGTTTAATTAATATTTGGGTATGTCGTAGGGATCGTCGTCGCGACGGTTGGTCTGGACTTCTCTGACTGGTGCCGCTGAGATTTGGGGCGGCTTGGATCGTCGCTGTTGGAATAATCGCATGTCATTGTGACATTCTTAGGGCTCCCAAGCAAGGACGGACTACAACGTGACGGTCACCCTCCAGCAAAAGCTTGGGGATGTTAGGGCATGTTTCTCACGACCACCCTCACCTTTCGTTGTACAAACATGCGGCCGGCCCAAAACCATGAGTAATGGGAACCCCGGAGAGCGAATTGTTTCCCTGAAAACCAATCAATTAGGATTCAATGGCGGGGGCGCTATGGCATTAGCGTTGTAACATTGGGGTCAGAACTCCGGGCCGCCCCCAGATTCTCATTTGTCCTCTTCTCAGGTCTGGGGGAGATTCGCCTAAACGGCACTTGGCCCGAGTCTTAGTCTCTGCTTCGACCCCCTGTGAACTGAGACATTGCACCATTGATTCCCAGATTACCCCGCACAGTTGGCTCAATGTACAGGCGAGGCCATTGGGTTCTCTCGTTCGGGCGTCCGGCGTGCGGATCCAAAGGCTGAATTCTTGGCATCATATCGTCCCCAAACGGGGTCCTCCGTAGTCCCTCCGACGAAAAATTCCCACTTTTGGGTACGGATGTGGCAAGAACCCTTCCGACTGCTCCGCTGATTGGTAATAGCGAACAGTCAACCTCTCAGCCTATCGCAGGCAAATATCCAGGGAAGCGAGATTACCTCTGTCCCGTTTATTGTGATTTTTCCAAGCCACTTACTTCGCTGGATCGCTTTGTTTCCATGCACATTCAGCTGTCTACCTCGGTCTCAACAAGCGGGATCTGTTGCTTAACCCTCGTGCCTTGTGTTGGAACCGTGGCCACGGCTCTCTCACCCACACTACATGAGATTTTCTTGGTGAAAAAAGGTTGAGACCCCGTGGCGCCTCCTTCTTGCTCGATCGCGTTAGATGGCGACATGCGCCAATACCGTCCCTGGCATACCAGGTGGTCCTTGCAGTTTTTGACAAAAGTCCTAGTTTGTAGTTGTGACTCCAACTTTTGAGGTCACATCCGCCGGACCCATACACGAGGCGATCCCCCCCCGTGTGGAACCTACTGTTGCTGAATACTTTGGCAATTTCGCCCGGCTCGAACTGGGCCGAATTCGAGTTTATGATTTTTGTTATGAATGGAAGTTTCCGGAAATAACAGGAGTGGACTTTTGTTCGAAATTATCCGATTATAGCGGCATTTTGCTCCAATAAGCGCCCCGCTTGGTATGGAGGGATTTGGCGGCAAGAGCCAACATCCCACTGCTCGTCGTGATCTTATTTGCCGGAGGTTACATCGCCCTAGTAGGTAAGTACGTGGTGCTCTGATCCCATGCATAAATGGCTCACATGAATCCTAGACTAGTCGCTATACAGCCATGAGTAGTTAGCATGGACCCCGAAGCTACTGTAGCGCGAAATCGGTGGCGATTCAGTTAGGGTCGGGACTTCGGAAGGCCTGGAGCTCTACCCTGAAGCTGTGCGGTTTGGTCTGGAGCAATTCGATGGCAATATTTGCGTTAGCGCCATATTCTTGTCTAATATGGAAAGCATTGCGATCGCTCAGACATCCTGTCAAAGATACCTATATCACTAGTGCCATTCCCTGGTCATAATATTGACGCACGACGCTCGGTGACTGAAATCCGTCCAATTCGAGGAAAATCCAACGATCCCAATTTTAGATTATCTATGCTTTCACTCACGCGAAGATTGACTTTGTGGCAGCACTTTATTTGAAGCCAGTACGGAATGATGATTTTCGCGTGACTGTGTTGACATTGCCCTTGAATTTTGGAAGTCGCCGAGGTCTCAACCATACCTCGTACCTTTCGCTCGCGCAATGCGCAGCACTTGTTGTACCATGCAACTGTACTGGATTATCATGAAAACCTAAGGGTTTTGCTGATCTAGACCCGGTTCCAATTCTAGTTGTCCTGCTTTCCCAGGCACGCTTTAGAGTTTTCCCTTGACCGTTTCACGATATGGACGACCACGGATCAAACAAAGCTAGTGCTACACCCATTGAGCCTTGCAAACTAGGATCGATCGTTAGAACTTCGGAGAACCTGAAACTAGCCCTATACTGCGTACCCATAGTGCGACGATGATCGGTGACGTCGATCTCATTAGATTCCTTATACGTGGAGCGATGATCATCGCTACCATTGCCGGTTACATGCTGATAAGTCGATCACTGTCACACCATTGAAAGAACGAATCTACGATTGCACTACGCTGTCCTAGATTCGCCGAAACAACACGGCAGGAGAAATGAATTGCCTGGGTAAAGGATACCTATGAGTTGTCTTTGGTTTCACAGACCCAATTGCAGCTCGGTGATTTTGGGCCATGCGTTGGAGGGTCGGCCTGAACTTTGATCTATTTCAAATATAGTGGTAGTACCATGATTTACGAATCTTGAGTAACTACAACTCAGGATTTCGCCTGATACAGAGTTATGTAGGATTCATGAGCGCTGCTTTCGCCGTGGAGCCTTTCCTCGACGACGAAGCCATCGCAACCTCGAATGGACCATCCCCCGTCACACTTCCGTGGTCGTTTTATTCACGTTTTGGCCTTGTGTCTCTTCGACCTTCCCACCAATTGGCAAGGCAATATTCTGGGTATCATTGCCACTCAGCCTTCTGCTGGACGCCCTGCACCTTTCCGGTTGCACCAAGGTTTAACTATATGTGGATATATTACCGACACTTCCCCGTTGCTGTCCTCTCGAAACGTATCTAACCTGCTTCCATATCCCGTCATTTTATTAGACCAAAAGTCACGCCCTCACATTTAACAGCACGATTTGATCAAAATCGCCGATGTCTCGAGTCGAGAGTTCTGGAATCTGTTGAAATTGATCGTCCCAGAAGTCTTTCGACCATAGGCATGCTCTATGTCTCTCCATGTTTAGAACAGTCTTGGAATCGGGCATTTGTGTTTCTCCTCATCTTCGCTACTAACGAAACCTAGAGGATAATCTAGGAGGTCCCACGTCTCCCGCAAAAGCTAACCCTAGAGTACTCATTTCACTCCCAAGCCCAAATTACCGCACCAACGCGCTGTGCCCTCGATTGCACCGCTGTCATACAGTTGATCGATGATTAATCTCTAAATAATATCACTGCTACTGGAGCGAAACAGATATTGGGATAATGTAACGGGCACTACGTGTATAGATGCATCATGTGGACTGGTGCTTGCCCGAGATACACGTACCTCGTAGGAGCCTGTTCATTATATATTACCACGGCTCGAGCAGAGGTGTGCTGTGGTTATGAGCTATGTGGTTGACTATTCTACATGGACTTTAGCCATCATTGAATATAAATCTAGTGAGTTTCACCTCACATAGTTGTGTCTTGCTGTAATTGATGTTGGCATTTTATACCCCTGATATGGTTGTAATACCTCTATTTTCTCTTCCGATGACGGCCTAGCGAAAGAAGTTTGTGATTAGAACTGTACAGAGTTGGTTGAATCTAAATATTAGGCTTTGGCAGCACAAGGGCGAGTAGGTGTATTATAGTCATAACCGTCTTAAATCTATGAAAAGCATAAAACGGCCCTAGGTGCATGTAAATATATATATGTTTCTGAGTATGTAAATACATTCTGGCACATGCAACTACCTTGGGCCTTATTTTACCAGCTATACTACTTAAAACGAAAGCATACGCCCAAACATAATAACAAAGAAATTGTTCAAGTCGTAATAGTTCCAAGTTCCTACTGGAAAATATATACATCCAATCCGGACCAAACCACACAGTCCATTTTGTCACAATATATATAATACCACACTCACTCCGATTTAAGTACAAGCGACGAAGTTGTTGCCACTAGCTCCGGTGTGGGTAATCAAACCAGCCAACTGGTTGTTATCGTTGAACACCACGCGGTCCGCACCAGGAGAACCGCCGTTGTAGGTCGATCCGGAGCTCAGGATCGGCCACTCATAGTACGGGGACGATACAGGGAAGTCGAAACCCTCGTAGTTGTTGTACTTGTGAGGGTAGTTGTTGCTGCCGACGGTTTCGCCGGACTGCTGCAGTTTGTAACCGGCATCCTGGGCGGTGGAAACGGCGGAGGAGGAGTAGCAGTTGCTGCCGCAGGTATAGTCGCAGGCGCGCTCGGTGAGAGATGGGAGGGCGAGGGCGGTGGGGAGGAGGAGGGTGGTGAGCGTCAGGAGCTGTGGTATTTGGTTAGGACCTTATCTGTCTGCGATCTGGGGACGGGTGGAAAAGTGGAGTTGGAGATGGGGTATTGGGTTGGACGATCGCGATCATACGGACCTTGCTGTACAACATCTTGATCAACGGGTGCGATCTGCGCGGTTCCAAGGGTTGGATTTGTTTTTGCTGATGATGATGATTACTTTCTCCTTCTGCTCCGGGGATTAGAATGGGTTTAAATAATGTCCAGGCCAAGCTATCCACGTTGTCTTATGCTCGGCATTGCTGCACCCCGGCATCTGTCCGGTTGAGATAGTCACTACGAATTGATATGCGGTGTTACATTTCGGAGGTGCCCGTGAAGAATGTCGATAAGCAGATTGGTAGAGAGGCATGTCCGGCTGATCTCTCTGGAGGCAGGACATTGTTTTGAATTAATTGAGCGTGATTGGGTTGAAATGTAGCTGGAGTGCAGATCCCTTCGCTGTCCAGTGATTATTATTTGCGGCGAGGGTTATCGGGCTCAGCTGACCGTGACCAATGAGAGGTGGACAGGGGGTGCACGGTGTCCGGTGGAGAGATTATAGATGTGAAGAACTGCGAATTAACCTGTCAAGATCGAATGAAATCGTGCAGAATACCTGGATGGCTGGATTTCTATCCCAGTGATCGTCGCCCCGGTGCGACCATGACTGGCTGTGCGACTTCCTTGCCATCGCCCCTGGATTTAACTCATTTCTCCACTAATTCTCGGACTCTCCGACGGAATCAGCAAAACGGCCCGGCCCTCTATCGCAAACCGTTCCAACCGCTCAATTACTGTGTTTACTTCTGATAACTCAAAAACCTGATAGTGTGTAGACACCCGCCCGGCCGCTGCCATTCTCAGGAGATCCTGCATCTCCTCTTCCGTCCCCACACAACTCCCAACAACGTGAAACCCGCGATTCACACAGTCCAACGGCGAGATAGGCATGCGGTAGTCTTGCGAGGGGAGACCAACGCAGACGAGCGTCCCGACGGGGCGAAGGAGTCGGAGAGCTTGGTTGTATGCGGTTGCAAGACCGACGACTACCACGACGGCGTGCGCCCCGTCGCCATCGGTTAGATTTTGGACTTCTTTTTCCACCTGTCTGAGTGTCAGTTCTACACACGTGTTCACGAAGCGAGAGGTCCACCGACATCGTTGCGGAAATCGACAAATGCCGCCGCGCCGGACTCCATACATATGTCTTGCTTCGTTGCGCTGCCTGGGTTAGCACTTGTGGAGCTGTGTTCGCTTGGAATTGTGCTACCTGTCTACCGCGATGATATTGTACCCCATTTCCTTTCCGATTTGAATCCCTCTGTGAATGGTGAGCGGGTGTTGTTTGGATTTTGCAACCGAGTGATTCTCACAAATGGCCCAATCCGCCACCGGCGCCCATAATTACGACCCAATCGCCCTTTTGGCAGAACTTGTGCAATTTGTTCAGCGCGCCGTACATGGTCAGCCCGGCTGCATCGTCAGTATCGCTGGTTTTAAACCCTGAGCCAAAAGCGAAAGGGGATACATACCGCATAACAAAGGTGCAACGGCCTCTGGCTTCAGGTCCTCCGGGATGATCGATATGAAATTGGCCGGAGAGACGATGTATTCTGTCGCTGTTAGCAGTTCACCAGAGCCCTGGACTTGAGAATGGCATACGCTGAAACGTTCCCGGGACATTCTAATCAAATTAGCGAGGGATTGCTTGAGAGGAGCGAGAGAAACTAACCCGGCCGGAGTTACTCTGATTCGGACAATTTGGATATTGGACTTTACATGTCGGACACTTCATGCAAGTGCTATACAGCCATCTGCTACATGTTAACCATTTCATAAGCAGTTCCGACTTTGGGGAGTGATACTTGACTCCCACGCGCTTCCCCATTATTTCCTCGCTCGTATCCGGGCCAACTGAACGCCATCAGTATGTCACCTCTGAGCCGAAGCATTCAACAGGTCTTACCTTGGACGACCCTCCCGATCCCCTCGTGGCCGGGGACATTCGTGCTCATGGGTAATTCTCCATTAATGTTGTGTAGATCCGAGTGACTATCCGCCTATTAGCCGCCAATTCATAAACCAGCCCAAATCAAGCTCGTAAATAAAATACCAGAAACCAGTGCATTCCAACTTAATCAACACCTCGCCTGCCTTTGGCTCCGGAACGGGGATATCATGACGGAGATCCAGTTTAGCGCCGGGGCGAGGGCGCTCAATCGTAGCTGCTGTCTGGTATTTCGGGATGGACATGATGAAGTCGTAAATCAGATATAGAGAACAATCTCCGTGGGAAGGCAAAGAGGGGCACGAATTCTTGAGCGGCGCGGGTTCTTATGCTCAGTTAAGACTCCGTAAATCCGAACCCACCTCTTCTCCATATCCGCAGATGTGGGGGAATCGAAGTTGGGGTAAAATTAATCAATTCCCGAAGATGACTCCCGACTCGGCTACCGATGGGAGCTGGACCTCCGTTTGCATGAACCACACTAGATAAATCTGTTCATATATCCTTCATTGCTAGTTCTACACGTTAAATATCTAGTACCAAGGTATTAACCAATAAATATATCCTTCAACGTGGCCAACCAACCGTGCTTCTTATCGGGTTCTGTCTCGTCCACCACGGCGACTCTTCTTCCCGTCCAGATGTCCATCTCCTCGAGCTTGACGATCTTCGTCTTATGCCAGATCTTGTATCCCACAACCAGAATCACGAAAACCGGAAGCAGGATGTAATTGATGATGAAATCGTCCACGCTAAACGGATTCAAAAAGGCCGTATACCCCTGGAAGAAAACGAGGAAGATCGTCGCGGCCAGCGCGAAATACGTGCCGTAGGGATACAGCACCGCTTGGAAAGGGAGTCGGGATGGATCGTCGCCCTGTACGACCATTGCCTTGCGGAAGCGGATGTGTGCGATGCAGATGACGGCCCAGACGACGAAGGTGGCCACTATTCCGGAGTTGTCAGTATTGTATTCGTGAGGTTGGGGAGTTGTTGGTGTGGTATTACTTACCCCCTGCTAAGGTGATTAATGCGGAGTAGATCCGGCCCGCGCTCGAGGACAGCGTGAGGAACACGATGCAAGTGAAGATGTTGGAGAAGATCAGGGCCGCCCAGGGGACACCCCGCGAATTGGTGCGGCCGATGAAGCGCGGTGCCTTGCCGTTGCGGGCCATGAAGAGCATGGTTCGCGATGCCACGTACAACGAGCCGTTTCCGGCGGAGATGACGCTGATGACGATTAGGGCGTTGATTAGATGCGCGGCGGGCAGGATGCCTGCGTCCGTGAGCGCGATGGTCAAGGGGGAGCTGGCGGCGGTGGAGGTGGAGCTGAGCAGCTTGGGGTGGTTGTAGGGGAGTAGGATTCCCAGGAAGAAGAACATTCCTGTGACTTGTCAGTGTTCTGCTTGGTTGCCTTGCGGAAGTGAGCTATACCAATGTAGAAGATCAGGATACGCCAGAAGACCTGCTTGATGGCGGTCGGGACGGCCTTTTGAGGGTTTGCGGATTCTCCCGCAGTTACACCAACCCTGCGGCCGTCAGAGATCGTGAACTTGTTGCGTCTGGGAGAACTTACATCTCTGTGCCCGCATAGAGCGTGCCGGCAACGACGAACGTCCTTGCGACGCCGTTGATCGAATCGGCAAATGCGCCCGGATCATGGTAATATTTGAAGCCAATGGGACCAGGCCCGACGCCGCCCGTGCTGATGCAGATGGCCAGGATGAAGAAAGCGATCAGGGCCAGCACTTTGATACTATTGATGGTATGTGAGCGAGTTGACCAGAATGTAGCAGCGAGACACATACAGCGACAACCAAAACTCCATTTCACCATATGCTAAAACACCCAGATTGGACAACCCTAGGAACAGGAACCAAAAGATCAGGATCCAGCCCCATTGGGGCACAGCATCTGTCCAGAAGCCGATGACAAGCGAAATTGCATTATATTCACTCGCCAGAATCTATCGAGTCAGCGACATCCCAGCAATATGAGGAAAAGAAAGCCCTTACCGTCACCCAGAGATACCAGTACGCCCATCCTAGTCCGAAAGCCAATGAATCGTCCACGAATCGTTGCGCATATTCAGTGAACGATCCAGAAACAGGGATTGCAGTAGCCATTTCACCCAGCGATTGCCTGCTCTATTAGCGTCCAGCCGGCACAAACGACCCACAAGACTCACATCACGAAAAACACAATAAGGCCGACAAGAGAAAAACTGATCAGGCACCCAGCCGGGCCGCCCTTATTCAGTGCATTACCCGAACCGACCAACAATCCTGGCCCGATAATCCCTGTACTGTCTTAGACATCGATATTACTAGAGATCGGACAGGGCACAGCCTACCGCCAATTGCGATCATCTGCAGATGTCGCGACTTCAATCGTCTCTTCAACGGAGCAGCTAGGGGGTCGATGGACCCTTCCTGGCTGTGGGGATCCTCCTCATCCAGGTCGGACCGAGCCTGGTACGTGAGAGCATCATCTTTTCCGAATTTGGTAGACATTGGCTATAAAATCGAACCCATAAATTCGCGGTCGTAGGTTGTCGGATTGTAACCAACAGAACCGTGGAAAAACGGATCTATTGTAGGAAGCAGATGATTTTTGCCCACGCAAGCCCATGATGGCGTGAGTGGGCGTGAGTGGGCGTGTGTGGTTGGTATCTCTTAGATCGGGCGACAGAGAGCGCGTTCATTTGCTGGCGATGTCGTGATAAAGGTGTATGTTTGCGGAAGACTCAACAGTCTATTGTGAAGTAACCTTCCTAAAATTGCTAGCGAGTTGTTATGTATTGTAATTACTATATCTTCGTACAGATAGATGGAAAAAATCCATACAAAATCACTAAATTGATAAACAAATTTAGCAAAATCACACACCCTAGTGCATAATCAGGTATAGCGCACAGTATTCAATACAAGGGCAATACGGCGGGTCTTGCTGGTGGGCAATTTTAAGCTTATGGCGGCAGCCGAGGAATTAGACGCATGCCCTTAGCGTAGATCGTAGTCTCTTCGTTGATTGGGCTCTGGCTCATATGTGGCCCTCATGTCGACAAGCAAGCCATCTATGACACATTCTTAACCTAGATCTTACTACAACTTAACCGTTCTTTATATCGATCTGCGATGATGCCTTCGTACAACAAGAATTGTGTGGATATTGCCCTGCCCAGTTTGGGTCATAGCGCGTGTTTTGAGACATTTTTGCCATTGAGCTGGTGTACATGTAACTAAGGGGACAATTAAAACACTTCCTTAGGAAGAGAACAAGAGGTATAGGGAAATTGCTTTCTCTACCTATCTTGATATGGGAATATAACAACTATCAACTTCATTGTTTAGGGTCAAATGCCATCGCACGTGCCTCGCGCTTCCTTCCGTTTTAAGGCTAGCGTTTTGGCTTACTCAGCAGATATCGCCACGTTTTCAACCAATCACCAATAATGTTGTATCAATGCTCACCAAAATATGGTATTGGTATGAAAAGGTGCAATACATTGCGATTCCAGCAAAGGATCCCAACTCCCTTAGTATTGGGATATACATTAATACGTTATGCATAAGGCTCAGTCATACTAACAAGGAAGCCTACAACGGCATACAATTGGGCTTATTTTGAAAGGTAAGAATATCCCAACTGACGCTAGCACCAGCATCCTGGAGTTGTGGCAACGCGTATAGATTATGACAACATCTCAAGGGTTCATAACACAGCTAAGCTGATCGAGAAATCGAAGCGTATGCGCGCCTAGCATAGAACAATGGAAGGGGAGAACGAAAATAAACCAAAAAGAAATGGAACAAAAAGCAGGGTAGATATTGAGTAAGATAGTTATAGGTACATGGACTTTCCTTGTAGGAAAATCGAGATATAATATACCGGAGGGATAAATTCGAGTCGTCATATTCCCAATCACGATGCAAAGAAGAACAATGTGTGTGTTGGATGATATACAGTCGGATGAGAGAGATGCTCACACCATTGCGCTTGCATATACAGTGGCTACGGCGAATGCATAAGGAATTGAATACCCGTTGAAACCCTGTTTGAGCATAAAATTTATACAAATCCCAATTATTATAAAATTTTTACTTTAACTATATATCTCTGATGTTTGCCTTATTTATCAACGCACAGGTACCCGCCATGAGTTTGAGATCTAGAACCGTTTCCTTTCTCTCTCTAGTAGCCCTCCTGAAGCAAACATCCAGTCCAGAGTTTGAGGGCCGTTCTCAACTAGCCTTATGGCTGCATTCCAATATTTGCAGGATCGTGGAGCTATTTGCCTTGCGCGGAAAAGTTTCCTGTGGGTTTTCTTGTCAATGTCGATCCACTAAGTTGGCGCGTGCTTCTAGCCGGATGTAACGCCCAGTCCTCGTGGCGGTGGGTTCACCCACGGTACTTGAAGTTTAGGTCCTTTATATATTCAGCTTTAGTTACATTCAATGCTTTACAAAAATACCTCCATTGATGCCATATCACATATATGTACACAGTACACACGAGAGACAATGACCAGCACAGTCCATCTACCCATCCATATCTCGTATCCAACATATCCGTCGCCCAAACTCGCACTCTAAGCTGACTGAACCTTCGACACAAGGAAAGAGGCAGCCTCCGGCGCATTGATAGTGTAAGTCAAATGGGCGGCGGTGACAATGAGCGTGCCGTCGCAGACAAGGTCACCCATCGCACAGAAGACCTTGACATCGTCCTTGGGGTAGTTAGGGATCTGGCCCTTGTCCTGGAGGTTACGGGTGAAGCCAAAGAAAACAACACCCTTGACCTTGTCCTTGACTTCGGTGGAGAGCTGTTGGACGGCGTTATCGATGACAGCACTACCTTGACTGTTTATCGTATTGTAAATTAGTATACGAGGAAATGTAGACTGTGGAATAGGGGATGGGAGCTGAGCCTACCTGTATCCACCGGCCACAATCTGGGTGTTAGGGCACTTGGTGCTGGCTTGCTCAAAGAGCGACTTCGCGGTGGAGATGGCACCGGGGTCGGTGTTTTGAGGCAGAGCATTCTGCATCAATCCCCCGGTGTACAAGCCACCCACACCTTGGCAAGCAACCTTATCGGCACCGAGCTTGCTCTTCAGGGCCGAGCAGAGAGGAGGCCCGATGACAGTTCCCTGTCGAGGTTAGCGATATGCGTGCGATAGAGCTTCTCGTTGCCGAACCATGTTGCCCATCTCGGTGGATCCTCGGGCGAAAATCAGAGTCACATCCTTGCATGCACCATTGGTGAGATCATTGGAAGAAGCAAGCTGTCTGGCTTCCAGTGACTGGTCTGCTGGCTCAGCGATGGGGCTGGCTGCTGCCAGAGTAGCCAGGACAGAGATGAGGAGGGCGCGGAGCATCACCATCTTGTTCAGATATCGGGTAGAAATGTGATATGGCACGTGGAGGTATTCAAGAAGGGTTTGAATAGAGGGTTTGCAAGAGGACTGTGATGGATTCATCTATAATCTGAGGGTCCATCCCTCCTTTTATAGTCTTTTACCGTTACCCCAATTGAGAATCATTATGCTAATTATCTCCCGATATTTACCCTGTGTTTAGCAATGGTCGCTAAACCCAAACTTGAGCCTAGTTTAGTGAGAGCCTTCGAACCCTCTTCTTTTCTTCTAATTCCATCTTTACCCTGTAGCCTGGCGCTCTGGCCCCGTTTCAAAGTGAACACCAGCCAGGGTATCTAACGACCTAACGACGCCCTAGCGGGACAATCAACACACTAGATAATAGCTAGTCCGTAGAGTCTCGGATGTACTCCTGATTTTCACCATCTGACATCCAATCGGCATTTTGCGCTTGGCATAGACATCCTCCAAGAAAGAGCCAGTGACCGAATCAGGATTCTTAGTATCCGCTCCTACTAGTTCGGTTGGGATGGCTCCACTCGTTCCTATTATTGAGGGTTGAAGAACGGTTGAAGTTCATTGAGCTGATCGTCTCTTCGTATTCCCCGCTCTATGCAGGTCCCTAGACAATATCCCATATAGACTGTGAACTAGGCACAGATTATCTGTAACAGACGTAGCACCAATTGTTCAAAGTCAATGATTATCCACGAATTAATCTGTCGCATCGCCGTGCCCGAAATAGATATGCCTCAGATCGAGTGCCACTAGGGACTACGGAACCGAACCCTAGTGGGGCTAAAACCGGGACGATTCACCTTTAAGGTCAAGCCAGGTTAGGGCTGCGTTGCTGGACTCAAACAAGCTATTGTCCTTTGGGAGGACGGAGTTCGTCGAGTTTCACATGTGGAGAAACGATTGTCGCGCGAAGCCCTCTGGTTTCCATGGGTGGCAGGTTGGATACGAAGTGCCAGGAATCGTCGGCATGTTGTCGGCGAAAATCAGTTCCTTTGGCGGTGCCAAGATTGTCGGGGTTGGAGCGTGCTGGATACGAAGGATTTTGGTGTTATACCTGGGGTAAGTTGAGATAGAGGCATTTTTCATATGGTGTTTATCGGAAACTTGGGTTGATTCATCTGATATGACGCTGTCCCTGGCTTGTTTCTTCTTTGGGTTGTGATCTGTGCTGTGCGAAGATTCTTAGGGGAGTGGGTCGCTGACAATTGTGTCTGGATATCCAATCGTAGACACTTTTGCGACATGGCATCCTCGGGACTTTGCTGTCTGTTCCTACTCATCTGTCATTGCTTACCGTGTGCTTCTGCCGAAATCTGATCCTCTAATTTTGGCCCCATGTAAAGTCTAATGTCCTCCGACAACCACGGACCCGAGTGAGTTTAAACTGGGATTGAGGATCGTCAATGTCAAACCCCAGCATACTGTGTATTAAGGGGAAAAGAGAAAGCCGAGGCAGAGAATTCCATTTGGGTTTCAACCATGGTGTAGAGAAGGACTGCCTTTTAGAATAGTCAGATCAGGTTTATCTGCATTTCACTATCTAGGGTTTGCGCTTATCACTATTCGGTATCACGTTAATAGTATCTTCGAAATCACGCAATAAAGCTTAGCTACGAGTTTGTCTTTATTGTCAGCCCTTGTATTTGGCTATCACCGTCCCTAAATCGATGCTTGCAGTCCGGGGAAGGGCACAGAGTACAGGGCTCTGAACAGATGCAACTGTCCCGGTAGTCAGTCTCATTAGTGTTCGAGGCTGTCTGGCGTATCAGCTCACTGTCGCATGAACACTGAGAAGTATCGTATATTGCAGATATAATTACAGGATCTATGATTTTCTGGGTGCATGTCGATCCCGGGGCATATCGGTAATGGACATCTATTTTTGCACCCGAGACTGGAGTATATCCGATAATTAACCTAGGTGATTTTCTAGTCATAACTTTAATTTTGGAAATCTGTGGGCTTCTGTTTATCTGTTTAACACGATATTTAGGGTGTAGGACCCTACTGTTTCATCATATTATTCTAGAAGATGAGAACCTCCCGAGAGATGATGTCAGAGGCCTTCATTTCCTTTCTCTTCTGTTTCATATACATGAGTCCCCATGCGATCAAGCCTTTCCAGTGTACTTCAACGAGTAGACGCCCCTCTCAATACTATTCAACAGAATGTATCCGCTCCGGAAATAAGGATAAACACTCCAGGCACCCACAAATTCCACCTCCCCACCCTGGGCATCATCTTCAGGATGGCAGTCAAAGAAACCAACCTGTTTGAACCCCTTGCCCGTCGGATCGTCCTTAATAGAACTAACATCGACAATGCGCAATCCGCTCCCGTAGTTAGCTTGGTACGTCAGCCCATCAATGACATACTGGTTATGGTCGATTGACCGCACGGGAGACTGGTAAGTCCCCGTATGCTTCGGGTTCGCCAGCTTCTTGATGTCGAAGATGTAGGTCGTTGTGTGTCCGTTAGCGGCTTCGCCTGTCCCGTCTTGTTCGTCCAGTTCGTCGTCCAGGAGGAGGTAGGACATGTCGGAAACTGCGATCCAGCCTTGGTGCGTGTAGCTTGCTCCAACATAGGGGGTTTTGGAGATCTGGATGGGGGCCGCTCTGTCAGTTATGTCGACGATGGTGAGGGTGTCTTCATTGTAGTTAAAGCAGATCTCGCGATTGGTGTATTTCTTGTCAGGGCCAGTGTAGATCACACATTGTGCTGGTCTGCATTAGTACTGGACTTTGACTGGGTCGTTCGGCTAGCAAAACTTACCATCGTGCACATAACCGTCCTCGCTGACACATCCAGGCGATGTCGGTTTCGCTGGATCAGACACATCGAGCATCCACAGACCGCCAGCGCAGGATAGGTTCCTAGCCGTACCGACGGCGAAGATCGTGTTGGTTTCCTCATGCGCGACGATATTATGCGAGCTACCAAAACCGCTATACCAAGCCGTTAGGTCTTCTGTTGTCGAGAAATTGGTCGGGTTATTGCTGTCTGTGTCGAGAAGCTGGACTCAGTTAGCCTTGGACACACCCAACCATGAAAGAAATGTTGGCACTATGATCTACCTTCTTCAAGTCAAAGATCTGAAGTCCATGGCCCGGTGACTCCGACCCGATATATGCATGGTCCCCAATCACCTTCATATCTCGCCAAATAGTGGCCGTTGTCTGCGTCGGTAGACGGCCGACATACTGCACACTGCCATCCTCCAGAACTTCTACAAACGCCGTTCCGTCCGTTTGGCCAACGACACCGAATTCACGACCATCGGCTGATGTCCATCCTGCTCATCGTCAGTTTTACTGCTACGGAAGAGAAGCATGGCATTGGTAACATACCCCAGATATCATTCCCCTCCCGGGTCGTGCTGCCCATGGCTTGGTGGCTGAGGAAACCAAGGAGATCAACGTTCTCACAGGAATATTCTCCTGCTTTGCCACTCACACAAGGCGTCTTCCCGAGGTCAATATAGCTATTTGGTTTGAATAGACCCTGGGCCCGGGCTCGCTCGCGATGCTCCGTTTTGAGAGACATAAGATGGCTCATGATTGGAGCGCCCTCGCGGGAAGCTGCCGCGAAGCAAGCCAGGGACAGGAGGGAGATTATTGATGGTTTCATGATGTCTGTTACCCAGGAGAAAGGTATGAGAGGAATGTTGGTCTGCTGATTGCTGCTGCTCTTTCCATCCTCACACTCTTATATATCCCAGATGCCGCAGTATCGGGCTATGAAATCACCGCCAAGGACACTAAACTCCTCACTTTTGCCAAGTTTATCATTTCATCCCATTCATCGCAGTAGATAGGGAACACCATCATCGTCGGCATTGCGCGATTGTGGAATGGCAAACTTTAATAACCATTCTTCACTTACGCACAGATAAGCCAAAAACCTTGGTGAAAGCGCCTGATTTGCTTTGAGTAGAAGGCTAATTTTCATATGGTTCTTAGGTTACATGGAAAGCGGGCTTGCGAGTGAACGGAGGCTGTTGGTTGGACGGGACGAGCCTAAACGGAACATGAATACTGGCGTTAGCCATCTTGGCAGGGACGCAATGTAACAGGGGTCTTATCGGCATTTGTTTGAACGTTGGGCTGGCGACTCTTGGATTTGTAATATGCGGAAGGTCAATGGTATATGTATCACCTGGACCATTGCGGGGATTTCGGAAATAGACATTATCGCAAATAAAGTACCGAGGAGAGGGGCATCAACGGTTAGAATGCATCTGACCGTGTAGGCAAAAATAAAAGACCCGTTGAGAAGCCTTGTCATAGTGTACATTCCTCCGGTGGTTCGTCTCTCTTGAGGGACTCTCCTGGTCGAAATTGGTAGGAGAGGATCATCGAAGCGACTACACTACTCGCGTTTCGTTTTGGGTTGAGATGAATGACCGCTATACCTCGTAATGACTGTGTCTTCATAGAATGCACCGTGCGCCTCGCCTCCAAGCAGCTGCTTTCGCCAAGTAGAATCCCCGCACAAATGTTGGGACAATGTGATCATCCCCAAAGATCGGAGCTCCGTCGGACGCCGGTGAGACATAGTCTTGGGCAGGGACAAGTGACGGAGAGACCGAAACACGACATCTCGCGAGCCTCGCTAAACGTTCTGCCCGGCATCAACATCTCAAGGGATCCTCAAGTCGGGTATTGGCAAGTGAAGATATCTGACATGGCATTTCCCATATGCAAGGCGCTTGGAGTTCCTTTATGGGATCATAGCGAGTTCGTGTATTCATCATGGAACTTCGCTCCTTTGAATTTAATCGGTTAGGAATTCAAATGACCAGACAAAATCGAAACTCTCAACTAGGAAGCAAAGGCACTAGCGGGATTTCGTTGAACACCCAATTCATTGGCTCCGCAGTGTTTTGGTTCAGGAGAACATCTGTCATCTAAACAATGGTGAGTTACGGAAAAAAAAATGAATAGTTCGAATCTTCACATACCATAAGGTCCCAATCGTCCATGGACTGGGGAGTTATATCCAGGCCCATTTGACCAGGCCCATTTACAAAGCCTTCGGTCTGGCCGTGAGCCGCCATTTCTTCAAGGATGCGTAAGCATCTTGCCTCTGCGTCCGCAGCGGTCTTGAGTAACAACACCACAAGTTGGTCGCGCGCAAGGCCTTGTCTAAGTCCTGCAATCCTTGCCTCAATCAACGCAACAAGTAAGTAACCCTTAATATTGGTCTCGCCGGCTTCAATAGCACGGAAGAGCCACTCTTTGGATTCCTGCACCATCGAAAGTAGATCTGCTCGTAAAAATACCGGGCCGAGACTTTCGTCTTCTTGCAACTGGGTGCTTAATTCTGTTGCAACGGCAAGACTAGTTTGCATGCCAAACATGCGGAGATAGCCAGTCCCACAGATCGCGAGCCTCTCGAAATCATTCTGATTTGTTGAAGCTGTATCGTGACGAGTATGAGCCGCCATGAGAGATGAGGATGGGTTCAATGCACACCATAGTCTGAGCGACGTCTCAACCACCACCTTCCGAGAATATGCATAGGCCGTTTCATGTGGCGCCATAGCGAAGAACGGAATATGGATAGTCATAAGGTAGCGCAACATAAGGCAATCCACCATGTGAATCGGAAACTGAGATGTGAAGCCGGTGCCCGTATTATACCTCTGAAGGGTCCGACACAGAGCTCTGTAAGACGCTCTGAACTCTGCATCCAGTCGCAGTGTTTCTTCATAAACACTCTTGGAGCCGAGGTCATTCAAGAATTTCACAATTGCGAGGCGAATAGGAAGGGTTTTACGGAGAGCTATCGGGATTGACACTTGAGTGAGGGTATCTTCTGGCTTCGGCACCGGGGCATCGGCCACAAGCTGATCATCATCATAATTACCGGGAAGCGCGGTGTCAAAGTCATCCAGAGATATGAACACGGGCGCACCACAGGCCATACTCGAATGCAGGGCTATTTCGAGTATAGTATTCCATAGCCTCCGGCGCATCTCGCCAACATAGATCGTCCTATTTGATAAATAGGTCGGGTCTCTATGGAGCCCCCAGTACACCGCAGTCCTCAGTAGTGCACCTGCTGAAGTCCAAATAGCGTCACCGCCCACATTTACCAATTCGCGAGCAATCAATAGTAGAATATTGATCTGTAGGAATTGGATACTCCGCCTGGACTTGAAAACAGGTTCTGAAAACCACGTCTGCGCTTCATAGATCCACTGAATGGCCGAGGCTCGTAGGGAAAACGTTTCATCGTATACGGTAGCTCCGATAGCAAGCACTAATTTAACTTGAACCAAAAATGCCATGTCAGGTGCTGCATCTGACACCCAGAGTGCCTCATAATCCCTTCGGAAGGTTGGAATATGAAGTACACGATAGACAGTTTCGGATGTCCTAAGGTAACAGTCAACGAGCTCGTCGGCTACATCCTTTGAGGGCAGAACAGATGTTGGGGGTGACGGCCATGAAGGTACCCGCCGCGACTTGATAACCCTCGCAAGGGCTTTACACCTCTGCATGCCAGCCAACACATCCGATGTCTCGTCACGAACATGAGGCTCAAGCATCTCAAAGACCTCTCGGCACTACTGTACTTTAGCGTGTTACCCCATAGAAGTGAGCAGTCTGCAAGTACTTACTAGCCCAATCACACCGTTGATCCAATGACTTTGGCCAAACATGCGGGACTTATGTACAACACTGCGAGTGATGACTTGAGTTTCCCCAAATAGGTGACTATCAACCTCGCACAGGGGCGAATTCATGACCCTTAGCTCAGGGCGAGAAGTCGGATCAGAGGACTGGGTACGTCTCTGGTTTACTTTTGATAGCTGCTCTTCGAGGCTTTTAATTTTGCTCTTCAGCGCCTCAATATCCCCAACAGAAGCTTGACTCCTCGGAGTTGTGGCATCTGCTGAGCCGCCCACTATGGGCTCATATGCATGGCTAGTCACGGTTGGTGGCCTGCTTACATAGGGAGATGTGCTAGGGGCTGTTGGAGAGGGACCATCTCGGGGTTCCAGTGTAATTGTTTGGCCATGGTTAACATGTGGCCTCGGATGGTCAGAGGGGTGAGTTTCATAGATGCATGCTTCATTTTTCGAGCGCACACAATTGTTACAGGGAGTCTTCCGATCGCATCGGATTTTTCGTCTCCTGCAAAGAGAGCACGAGCTGTATTTCTGCGGTCAGTGCGAATGGACGACGCGGATAAGGGTTCTGCGACCTACACAGCCGGTCGTCTGCGCCGTCGTTCGGGGTCAGTCATAGCTAACCCTTACGACCGTGTCAAACTCGGTCCAACCTAAGAAAGCGTCACAGGATTTACAGCGTATCTCCGAAACTATATCGTTTCTTTTTGCTGGAAAATAAAAAAAATGAAAGGAGATGAAGACACGACTGGTTTATGGAGGTAAGCCTTTGCGCTTTTGGTCCGTTTCGCCCGCCATTTACCGAGTCCGATGACCGGCTCCGGGCTTATCCCCGATTAATATACAGCATTCAGCAAGAATCGAATGATCTATATAGGATATAAGATCACTTTGGTCACTCATGATGTTGTATATGGAGGCGCCGATCACATCTCAAGACTGACAAGGACCAAAAGGCCACCTATACACTCTCCTGTTAATACCATACTCAATCCCGGACCCTGGAATGCAATATGACAAAATCATCCGAGCATACTATAGATCCACTTAGAAGCGGGCTCGACCAGGAGAAGTTGTCCCAGATATCGCCTAAATATGAAGAAGCACCAGATGGTGGTGCTAGAGCGTGGCTTGTGGCCGCAGGGGGCGCTTCACTCTTCTTCTGTTGTCTCGGCTTCGCAAATTCATTCGGCACTTTCGAGGAGTACTACTTATCACACCAACTTCGTGGGCAATCTCCAGACAACATTGCCTGGATAGGATCGCTAGCAGCATTCCTTCAATTTGCGACAGGTGCAATCTCAGGTCCATTATTCGATCGTTACGGCGCATGGGTATGTCTTTTGGTCTGTCTTGACTTCTGCCCTGAACTGACTTAGGAGTAGATTATCCGGCCAGCTGCAGTCGCCTACGTTTTTGCCATGATGATGCTTAGTTTGTGCAAGACGTACTGGCAGATTATGCTTGTGCAAGGTGTATTGATGGGAATAGTCACGGGCTTCCTGCAATTTCCAGCATTTCCAGCAGTATCACAATGGTTTGACAAGAAGCGAGCAGCCGCTCTAGGCATTGCTGCGGCTGGTTCGTCTGTTGGCGGTATCGTGATTCCTATTGCATTGTCCAAAATGTTGAACGGCTCGTCCTTGGGATTTGGATGGTCGGTGCGAATCATCGGGTTCCTCATAACGCCCATCATGGCATTTGCATGCCTCACCATCAAGCGCCGCCTGCCGCCAAGTACATCCCCCTTCTGGATTCCATCGGCATTGAAGGAAGCGAAATTCGCCCTCCTGATAGCCTCATTGTTTTTTATGTTAATTGGCATGTTCTTCCCCCTGTTCTACATCCCTACCTATGCAGTATCCAGAGGCATGAGTGCGACTCTTTCTGGGTATTTGCTGGCGATCTTGAACGCGGCATCCACATTTGGCCGTGTCATCCCAGGCATATTGGCAGATAAATTCGGGCGATTGAACGCATTCATGGTCGGTGGTATAACCACAGCGATCGTGATATTCTGTTTCGATTTGGCAACAACCAACGCAGGCTTGATCGTATATTCGGTTGTCGTTGGCTTTACTTCGGGAACCATCATCTCTGGAGCTTCTGCGGCCTTTACCCTCTGTCCGAAGGATCCCCGGGACATGGGAACTTATATGGGAATGGGCATGGCCCTGAGCTCTTTTGCGATGTTAATCGGTCCCCCGGTGAATGGCGCACTCGTCAAAAAATACGGAGGGTACTCGGAAGCAAGCATATTCAGTGGTGTCATGTGTTTGGTTGGTGGTTTCTTTGCTCTGGCAACCAAGGCTTTGACCCCTGAAGGTATCTTTGGACGAACATGAGGTTCTGGCCACGATGGGTATGATAGACTTTTTCATACTATTGTATCGGCGTGGGTGTCTTTTGAAGCGCGTTCATGTATATAATAATGTCTTTGAAAAGCGAATAATCACCACTTCGGGGTTCGTTTTTGTGGCTGATCGGTGCATGTATATGGCGGCGTGGAAGCATGTTGTGATCCCTACTCCTGGCAGCCAAGTAATAATCATTTTGATGGATACATGAGCACTGTGCCATCATAGTAAATCCTCATATGGTCGAGACCAGCTGCTCGCATCAAACAATAATGCATAATGTTGCCCAAAGATTATCTATATATACACGAAAAGAAACTGACGCTATGTGCTCCATCATGCAACGCCAGTGGACAAGGACCTATAGCAACAAAGGCCGAGCACATTCTTTTGACCAAGTCCCAATTCAAAATTAAAAATAAACGCCGGAATCCTTCCGCTAATGCAAATGCGTACACACACTTTTGTCAAACCACAGATTATAATAACAACTTCCTATCTCTCTTCGTGGGACTTGGGGTTCGCATGCGATTTTCCCGAGTGCGGCTCCGCTCATTGACGAAGTCCCGTGTTGGCGAGTCTTCGAGCATCAACGGTTTTTCTTTTTTATGATCAAGACTCGGCGCATGGGTCTGGTAATTAAACCCACCCGAGTCTGGTAGGACGGCTGGGAGGGGCCTAATGAAGGGTGATGCTGTCCGGAGGGTTGCCGAGAAAAGCTGGGGGCAGAAGGATGAGTATACTCGTGTTGATTGTAACGGTTTCTGAACGAACGGAAGGACCAGTTGCTGACAACGGTAACTGTCGAAATGGTCGCGAGGAAGAACATCTGGAGGGCATTAGTCACTGCAGCTGGTCTAGGTGGGGTTTGGAAAAGAAGACATACAATCGCTTTCCAGCTAATGGGGTCGATGAAGCTGTTGATGATGATCGCCATGGTATGTGCCGACACCTTTGCCCGTCCGACCTTCGCTGGATCCCGGTTCATACAGCGTTCCCAGTTTTCACAGACTGTCTCCAGCGCTGGAAGTCGATCTCCGCCGCCGCACTTGTTATCCACGTAGCTCTTCGCACACGTCGCCATTTCTGCTAATATCGTATCGGACACCTCTTCCGCCGCCTGCTCGAACTCCGCCCGAATAGCCGACACAAATCCAAACACCACGTACACGGCGAGCGAGAACAGAGACAGGTTCACGACCAACTGAGCCCACCACGACAGGATACTCGGAACGTTGGGATGTGCCTCGAGCAAAGCGAAAAAGTCCGAGAAAGAAGACATACGCGATGCCGGTTGGGCCTGCCCCTGAATGTGTCCCTGGTTTTGGTTCTGCTTGTTGCCCGATACGTGCTCGTCCTCACTCTCATCATCACTCTCCCTGCGAAATTGCATATCTAGTGCCTTGTCCCTCCGTCTTCTCTTCTGTACCCGGCGAGCCAACGCATTGGAATAATGATTCAGACGAGGAATCTCGCCCCGCCCGGGACTGGGCGCAAACCGTCCGTACATGTTGAATAATGAATTTCGATGGCCCGACTTCATGGGCGGCTCCGGAGTATCTTCGTTATCTGCGTTCTCGGGAGACGACATATTCTCTGCACCGGACGAGAAATCGACATCGAACTTGCGCGGGGTCATGAATGCGGACTGGCCAAAGAGGGATTTCGGGGTGCCAGGCGGGTCTTGGGATCGTGACTGCGAGAAGAGGAAGGGCTGTGAATTGGGTTCGCGCAAGGCTGGTGTCTGTTTCTTGTCGGGAGATTCGAAGATGCGATGGGGTCCTGTGCGGAGTCAAATTAAATTAGCAATGATTGTGACGGGCGGAGTGCATGGAGGCCGCACGTTTCTTTTGGTTGTCATGCTGCATGCTGAGCTGATAGAAGGGTGAAGTCACATCCCCTGGGGCTCTTGTCTGCCATTCGAAGTCCATCGGACTTTCTGCTGATCGTTTGTCCATCTTGAATGATGGAAGGTAAAATGTCCTAAACACGAAGCGCGTGTGAGGCGGGATGACAGAAAGGTAGAGAAAGATTTGGAGTACCTGATTGACATTCGTTCGATCGGCGAATTTTTGACCATTCCCGATCGGTGATGGTAAACAAATCTGGCAGCCCTAGTGCACTTACCCTGCAACGGGTTCCCCTCAGCCTACATTGTTCTTTTCTTTTGGTTTATTTATTTCATTTTATTTTTTTTATGTGAGTTTCTCCTTATGTTCATCAGAATGCGTCCAATGTTGAACAGCAGGGTAACAATGATGAGGGAGAAGGCAATAAAAAATGGCGGTGACAGGCGATATGCAGGGGCTGAACGTAACATATATTGCTCACGAAGTATAAATACGAAGTAGCCTCATATATGACGCATACTTAATTGCACCTCCTCGTACTACACTACAATACGACAGGTCTTTGTAATGGCTTTTCCCAAACCCAGGTGATGCGTTCAGAAATCTATACAAAGTCGTTCTTTTGTTCTTCAATAGTATCTTACTACTCGATACGTACCATCGGTAGAAAATCAAAACAAAGGTTCATTTGTTCATAGTCATCACGTATTCACACGAATAGAATATCAAAATATCAAACTGAGGGTATGAGTATAAACAGTCTAAAAGTAGGATCTAGGTCGTAACCCATCATCACTGGTGCCAAAAGTACAAAAGCAAAAATCTTGGGTAGAAGAACGACTGCGCCGAGAAGATAATGAAACAACCACCGAGGAGAAAAGGGCGAATTCTAATCAACTCCATAACCGAGGCTTGTGGGCCTAAGAAGTATCGCAAGACAGAAACAAGACAAGTATACAACATCAGGACATTCACAGCTTTGCGTGATCATGGTCGACTAACTCGAAATCATCATCGGCGAGGTAGCCCGTAGCAATCTCACCCTCCCGGGTGATGATTTCGTATTCCTTGACAAGCTTCTCGGTTTCTCGTGTCTCGAATTTCTCTACTGCCTTGCTTATCGCATCAGAGAGAATTGTCTGTCCCGACACTTGGTATGGCTCGAACAGAGCTTCCTCCTGAAGGTGTCCTGGAAGATCCTTTGCGGCTGAGGGTTCATCAACGTCTTCCGCCGCGGAGGAGTCGGATGGGCCGCTGTCAAGGGCCTCCCGAATGTCGTGTCGCAGGGTGAACTTGGCGGTGGTAGCCAGCTGGTTGGACTTGGCCTTTCGGTCGAGCTGCAAGAGACGGGAATACCTTTCATGGCGTCAGTCTTCGTTAACACTTGGAGGAGACTCTATGACAACGTACTTCAGGGAGTGACTCTGAGGCGCCGCTGGACGAGTCACTGGGTCAGACAGAGAGACCTCGTGATGCGGGAGCGCCGCTCGGCCACCGTAGGCCCATTTGGACTTGTGGTTATAGACCCTTTTGGCCGCGGTACCGTTATGACGAAGATCGATGGAGTCAGACATGATGACTGTTTTTCAATGAGATATAAATGACTGATGACGACAGTATGGAGAAGGAGACGCGAGTGAACCGATAGGATGAGGTTGATATAAGGGTACTCAGATCGAGCTGTCAAACGGGATGGTGGAGGTAATTGCCACCACTTAGCAGAAGAGGCAAGAACGAGGTGGAAGGGATTATTAAGGGTGAGAGGTAGCCCGAGGGACCGGAGTTGGATGGAGAACAGGGACCCTGCGCGAGGAAGGAGGCCTTGGGGGGTTGAGTCACCAATGTCTGAGCTTAAACGGAGTCATGGAACAATCAACACTCCCTGAATGGCCCGGTAATGTTCATTCAACCCAAAAATAGACACAATAGACGCTGGGGAATGTGGAGCGAGACCAAGTCTTTGATCGATCTGTCTTCCTGAACAAAATAAAGAAGAAGACGAAGAAGGAGTCGAAGCGGAGAAAGAGGAGATAGCATTCATATCATATCATATCGTATCATATTGACTCCGCAGCACGAGGACCGAGCGAGGCGTTGCTGACTACGGCAGTCATGCTCCGCGAGGAGATGATAAATGGCCATCCTATGACGATCGGCCTTCCTTATCGTGACTGCGAGGGGGAATCCTATTCCTGCTCGCCGAACGCCCCCTGACGCCACTTTGGAACCATGGTTGTTTCCTACGTCCTGAATAACGGGCGACGAGTAGTAGTTGGATGGCGATCGCCGCATTGGGATTCGCCGTCAACCTGATCCACTGCCTCAGGCACAGCCAGCCACCCGGGATGGTGATTGGCCATCACGTCAGCACTACGGACGTCCGCCTAACAGAGACGCCGACTTTACTATGACGCGAAGGGCTGATCAAATATGTAAAATACTTGGAAAAATTCACTCGAAATGATCGTATTTTAGCACATTGTGTTTTCCACTTCCGTGGTTGGGTATGCGAATAGAAACCAGCCTTCTGAACGTATCTTGCGTCACTGGAACAGTACTTGATGCTTATCAGCTGTGGGCGGCGATGCTCCATCTGATTGCAGGAACCCCAGGCAGATGACTTTGCTCCATCGGGCGGCTCGGGGTCACCTGCAGGGTTAGTCAACCGTTGCCTTAACCTCGGTCCAGAACCTCTCCGATGACTCAATCGTGCATTAACCCTTGCCTGACTCAGCTATGCCTTGGTATGTACATAACTCAACTGGTTGCCCGGCGCTGGAGTCAGCGATCTAACATTCCACAATCCTATAGTGACTGGCTATCTCGTGTATAATCTAAATATTATTGACTTGTTCTGAATTTATACATGATTATATTCACGTGTGATTTCGATGCTGTGTGTAGAGGTCCTAAGGTTGAAGAAACTGGGCAGGCTGTATACTTAATTTGATCACAGTGGAAGTACAGCAAACTAAAACTGGATGGTAGAACTACGGGGCCAACAGGTGTAGTTTTTAATTAAAAATTCTGGTTCTACTACTGATATATTATTTTAATACGTTTAGAAGTATGTACTGCGGAAAGGAATTATCGAGCCATAGTATTCATACGGTAGATTTTGGAAGTTTACTGTGGTAATAGAATACTTATTTAATTTTAAAAACATACACCCTAGATTATTGATTCTTTAGACACGAAAAGAAACGTTGACATGGTTAAGACACGGTGAAAATACTCTTGATCCATAGTGTTTTCAACCCTAAGGCCGCCTAGTAGGAATCGACCTCATTCGACTGAGCTGTCGAACAGCTTCGGCAGCCTATGAATCTATGATCATACAGAAGTTAATAGAACCAGTTATTTTGCCATAAATTCAGGGTATGAAAGAGTAGAGATTCTACAAGTGACAGCCATACTATACATCGAATATCGTATTTCACATTGTATTCATCTTTCCAGCATGCCTCTCACAACCTCTTCAGTGTGATCATCAGTAAAGGTAAAATGACTGTAGCCCTTCCACTCAGTCAAGACCGATCCCTCGAGTCTATCCGCCATCCATCGAGCCATTTCAATCGGAGTATTTCGGTCCTTGTCGCCAGACCATAAACGAACCCCAGGGAAATCAATCTCCCGTAAGCCAAAGCCCCACGGCCTTGTAAGAATCCTACACTCCTGGACATACCCCTGAGACCCCTGTCGAAAACTCTCTCGTACAATCTTAGCTGCATGTTTGAGGATTTTCTCATCCTCGAAGACCACAGAGTCCGTTTTGTTGAAATTGTTCTTAACCGTTTTCGCTAGCAGCTCCTCCAGAACCTTTGGGTCTGGGTGGTGAGCAGCCGGTACAATAGTCCAATCAGTGTACAGTCGCCCCAGACCGGAGAACCACCTCCCCAGGTTCCACAGGACGCGTGAACGAAGAGACATACCCTGCGTGCCGGCCTCAAGGGGCGCAAATCCGACGAGTACACCTACGCCCTTCAGGTTCTCCTTGGCTAGGGCCTTTGCACACACAAGTGAGTAAGGTCCTCCACCGGAGCCACCAAGGACTCGGTACTGATCTAGACCCAGTTTACCCGTGAACTCTTTGACGTCGGCGGGCCAGTCAAGGAGTTGTCGGTTTGGTTGAAACGTTGACAGCCCCATTCCAGGTCGGTCAAGGGCGAAGATTCGGGCACCATGTCGCAGGCCCAGCTCGTGGAAGTCGATCTCATAACGACATGCGGGTAAACCATGGAAGTAGAGAAGTGGTCTTCCTTGTGGGGAACCGTATTCGGCGAAACCGAGGGTGCGGCCGTCAGAGAGGGTCAGGGTTTGATCTAGTTGTGCGGGGTCTACTGCTGTTGACGATGTGTTGCAGGATTCTGTAGGCACAGCATGCTTTGTCTTAGACGCAGAAAGTGTGGACGAGCTTCTCCTTGAAGCTGATGAAAGGAAACCCTCTGTTGCTGATATTAAACGACGGTATCCGACGGTCATTTTTCTTAGTATGGTGGAAGGTACTGTTTGATTCCTCTGGACTCGCATGGTGGCTAACTTGTATTTATATTAACGGTTAGTCCGAGGAACCCCCGCTGGCTCATTTTACGTTACTTACGCTGATCGTCGAGAAATACGAACTGGCCGGTGATGGAGCAATCCACCGCGTCATCTGACTATTCCATCTATATAAATTCCATATTGATCCACCTCATTTAAACCATACATCAAGTCTCAACATTATCTAAGGAAAATTCAAAACCGGAAAGCAAGCCCTCCCTGACCTCATTCTATCCAAATAAACAACAATGTCATCAGTTCCTACCCGAGCTCTTCTACCACTATATACAACTCGCCGACATGATATTCTCCCCACTCAGAGATTACCACGACCCTTGATATATCGCGAATCTTCAGTCCTTCCCAGATCCTTCTCGACCCGGTTCCCTGTGGCGAATAAGCAGACAAGCTCATCAAACCCAGACTCAAACGAACCACCTCAGTACCCTGCTTTCAGCTTCGAAGCACTGGGAATAAGCAAAGGAACGAAAGTATTTGTCATTGCAATCCTGTGTTGTTTTGGGACCATGGAGACCTGGTTCTGGTGCAAGGCTATTTGGCGCTGGTGGCAGGGAAAGACCGAAGAGGTGGAGACAGTTCAGGCAACGAAGTAAATGGGAACACTAGACCTGAGACAGGATCCTCTTGAACCTATGATATTTCTCAATTTTGTATAACTACTCGCTGGCTAGGTCGTATCACCACTCTGGATGATTGTCACTGGAACTACCTAAATAGGAAATAATTTGGCCAAGACTCATGGAGCTAAAAACGGCGCAGAGAGGAAGGCTAAATAACACAAACTATTATTGGCTAGGGCAAGCCACCACGTAGAAGGGATGGCCATGACCCTAGACAATCATCACCTTTGACCCTCAAAACGTAATTGCCAGAGCCCTCGTAGCCCAATGCATTGAAAACCGCGGGCCAGACTTCTAGTTAATGGACTTTGGCTACGCATGTAAGCAAGGATGCCGAAAATGACGGTTGACCGGAAATTTCCCAGCAGAAAATCGGTCTTCTTGGCCCGAGTTCTCGGCGGAGAAGACGAAACCTTGCAAGATTTATCTAGAAATTGACATAGTCCCACTATCTAGCCGTACTTCAGCATACGGCCCCAAACATTGCATTAGTTGAAGCAGACAGTAAGCCGGGCTCTGATTGTCTCGGATGCATGAGTCAGTATCCTGAAGGGACAGAGCCCTGGCGTGGATGAGGGGTCTCGATGATAAAATTATACCCGTAAGTGTTTCAAGGCATATTCGAGTAACCTTGAAGAATGACACGCAGCAAGGAAGTGATGCTGACTTCGACTCACTAGGTCAATGACGGAAAAATATGTGACTCGGACGTAGATATTAAGTGACTAGGGGTCTGTGTTACTCCGCCGGCTCGGCGGAGTAGTAGAACCTTGGCCAGTGCTGAGTTGTCACAGCTGGTAATGGATGTTTTGACGATCATCACTTTGGTGGAATACTAGTCCGCCGACTCGGCGGAATGAAATACTCTTCTCACTGATCAGTCTAGTTTACCTTCTCGTTTTTTCTTTCTTGATTGTTTATAAGTGCTTGATTATCTTCAGCAGACAGCATGTTCTTAGATATCGCCACTCTCTAGCGCACTGGTACATCATGCCTACTAAAACATGGTCGTCGCAAACAGGCGACACAGCAGTGTCGTCAAGAACTTCAACACCTGCGATACCTGAAAAGCCTAACGAAGATGCTTCATCTTCATACGACCATCAGGTTATGGAGGATAGAAGTAAGGGAGAGACTGGATCTGGTCTGGACGATGCGCCAACCGATGCTCCAAGCACTGGTGGCTTCACTTTACTCATGACCGTCACAGCTTTGGCTCTGAGCATGTTTTTGGTACGACTTCACCTTTCGAACCGTTCGACCATTGTGACGCTAATATTGGATCGCAATGAATAGGTTTCGCTAGATATGGTAAGCAGATTTGGCCACTGGGCGAAGGCGTCAATTTTCAATACATGACGAGCGAGGAGCTAATCAGTCCTTCTACGTCAGACCATTGTCGCAACGGCAATCCCGAAGATCACCGATGAGTTTGGTGGGATTGAGGAGGAGGCTTGGTACGGTTCAGCGTTTTTCATTACACTAGGAAGCTTCCAAGCGGCGTGGGGGAAAGGATACAAGTACTTTCCGCTGAAGATATCCTTCCTCGTGTCAATCTTTCTCTTTGAGGTTGGCAGTTTAGTGTGCGGTACGTTTCTACTTGAGAAGTGTCCCATGTCCTCGGTGTCTGACTGGTTCTCTATGTTTTGTTTAGGTGTCGCGCCGAATAGTATTGCGCTCATTGTTGGACGGGCTATCACCGGCGTCGGAGGCGCTGGAATTTCTTCGGGTGCCTTTACCATTATCGCATTATCCGCACCACCTAGACAGCGGCCAGCATATATTGGAATCCTGGGTGCCTCTTATGGAATCGCTGCAGCTATTGGACCTCTGGTTGGCGGTGCTTTCACTACCAACGTTACCTGGCGATGGTGTTTTTATATCAATTTGCCGATTGGCGGACTGGCAGCCGGAATCATCCTGTTCTTCTACCGACCTCCTCCTCCATTGCCCTTCCTGAATACACCACTGAAAGAGAAGATACTCCAAATGGACCTACCTGGTACCTTGATCCTCGTTTCGGCTCTGGTCTGCTATGTCCTTGCCCTACAGTGGGGTGGTGTGTCGTTGTCGTGGGGCGATTCTAAAGTTGTCGGAACATTAGTTGGATTTGGTGTGCTGTTAGTTGCCTTTGCTATTGTGCAATGGGCACAAAAGGAACGCGCCGCAATGATTGGGCGACTGTTCCGCCGAAATGTAGTGATCATGATGATCTACATTGACCTGCTAGCGGGAACCTTTTTCTTGCTGGTATACTACCTGCCAATCTACTTCCAGGTGGTGTCGGGTGTCTCTGCTGCCCAGAGCGGAATCCGGAACCTGCCTCTGATCCTTGGCCAAAGTGTTTCGACTGTCATATCTGGTGTTGCCCTCAGCAGGTTTGGATACCCACAACCATTCCTCTTGGTTGGGGGAGTACTCACCGCGATTGGATCAGGCCTGCTGTACACGCTTGACGTTAATACTGGCTCTGGAAAATGGATTGGCTACCAGCTGCTAGCAGGTATCGGCATTGGATGGTGCTTCCAAGTTCCTGTGGTGACGGCACAGGCGTCTGTCGCGCCGGAGGATCTACCGTCTGTGACGGCCATGGTATTAAGTACGTTCTTCGCCCACTTCACATTTTTAGGCAGTATTAACTAACATTTTTCAGCCGTACAAACCCTAGGGGGATCAGTCTTCGTTTCAGCCGGCCAATCAGCTATGGTCAATGTTCTTCTCAAACACCTCCAGAGTGAGACGTCAACCGTAGATGCCTTCAAGGTTGCGATGACAGGCGCAACGGAGCTGCGCCAAAAGTTCTCTTCCGCTCAAATGCAGTTCATACTGACTGCCTATATGGATGGCCTCCAGGCGGCATTTCTGGTGGCCGTTGTCGCGTCCAGCGTGGCCACGTGGTCTGTTTGGCGACTCGGTGGGTTAAATTCTCGGGTCAAACTACTGCTGCTGCCGCTGCATGATGACAGTGCTAGAAATCTGTGTTGTAATACCAGCTTTGGAAATATTTTTAGAGTATCTCAGAGGGAGTACTACTTTTAGTGGTAGTACCAGTATTAATATAGAAGGAATAGCGGGGTGACAAGGATTTATATAGCAGGAGGCGGTCAACGACAGTGCTTACTTTTGCTCCCTGAACCTCAAACAAAAGAGACGCGCTATCTTCTCATCTATCACTCTCTCATTCCTGGCTTTTAGATGTACTTCTTTTCACCCTTGTACCTCAAATATTCATGCAGGCATTGACATGCATATTGGCCTTAGTTTACAACCATCAGTGCGATGATGCGGACTCATCAGCATCCAACCTCAACCCCGCCCGAGGACGAGCAACCACCTCGGAAGAAAATACGAAAGGGGACCCGCAGTTGTTGGGAATGTAAGTGATTAAGTGAGGAATTCTGGCACTGGCTAGTAGGCCTAGACTGATTGCAAGACAGGCAAACATCGTAAGGTTCGCTGTCATTTCGTTTCTGATGGCGACCAAAGTTGTCGCGAATGCCTGTCAAGGGGGTTTGCCTGTCGCAGCCAGGACTTACCAGAGCCCGAAAATGCTCGCGAATCAGATCGTGCGTCCCTGAGTGATCGACTTGGCCGCGTAGAATCGCTTCTTGAGAGAGTTCTGCGACGGCTGGACACCGTCGGTGGTGTTGAGGAGGCGCAGGCGTCCATGACGACTGATAATGAGAACGGCTTAACCTCTAGTGCAGCCGCCACGCCTGCAAATGAAAACGCCCCAGTCCTGTCACTTTTTGATAGTGGAGTAGTAAGTACCATGACCCAAACTTGTATGGGAAGATCCCTTAACATAAAGCAGCTTGCTTTCGACGATCGGAGGTCTCTACGCCAAATATCACATTGTATAGTGCAACCACTCGCGACTGGGAAAGCTACGCCAGGAGCTTCTGGATTTGTTGCCATCACATAGCGCTTTGAGAAGACTTGAACAAGCCAATAGCTGCTGGTGGCTAGTCAGGGCTCAATGCTTCCAGGAATACGAGGAATCGCTACTCTCAAGCGCCGCGGCAGCCCGTTCGGACAGTCACCCAACCGCGATCGCCAAAGTCCTTTTGTGGGTGGCCATTTGTCTCCAGCAGCTCCCACGGGGATCTGACATTGAATCATTGGAACTTCCCTATCCTCCCACCCGCCTGATTGCAAACTGTGTCAAGCTTGTGGCACATTCCATCAGCTCTGACGAGACTTTAGTAAGTAGCCTTGATGGATTGGAATGTCTAGTACTTCAAGGCGTACTTTACAACAATGATGGAAAACTGCGGAGCGCCTGGTTATGCTATCGCCGGGCGCTCAGTGTTGCTCAAATCATCGGGCTACATCGCCTGGCCGCAGACTCGGCGGACGAGTCTGCCTCTGTTTCCAGGGCAAAACATATCTGGAATCACATCATTTACGCAGACCGATACCTCTCTTTAATGCTAGGAATGTATCATGGCATCACGGACGTGGCCCTGGATTCAAAGCGAAGCGGGGACCAGACACTGAATCCACCCCCCATGGATGTTCTTTGTCGCATAGCTGGATCCATTATCGAACGAAACCAGAAGTTTAGCGGAATTACACCTTCAATGGTTCGAACGACACAAACCATCGATGCGGAACTTATGTCAATTGACCCTCCATTGGTGGTTGAGGGCCCAACTGTCATATCGCCAGGAAAGTCTATCGAGCGAGCTCAGGCCTATACCAAACTTATGACGCAGTTGTGGCATTATCAACTCATCGCCTGGCTCCATCTGCCACTGCTTTTGGAATCTGGCACTGAGAGACGCTATGACTACAGCAGGCAAAGCTGTCTAGAGGCATCCCGGCATATGATTACGTGCTATACATCGATCCGTCGCCTCACTGCGAATAGCTTTTGTTGCAAGTCGCTAGACTTCCAGGCATTTACTGCCGCCGTCACTCTCCTGATCAATATCCTCGGACCGACTGGTCGATCCCACCCTGACTCCAATGACTGGCCCGCCATCGAAACCGTAATGACAACCCTGGAGACACTGGCACAGGGACAGCCACCCGACAAGGTAGCAAGTCGAGGTCTTAGCGTTCTGCGGACTTTGAAAAGGGTTGCGACGAGAAACAACACAACCCAGTCTGGTCTCTCCGACAGACTTCCTCCCGTGGACGGCCAATCTGGACGCATCAAGGTTGACATACCATACTTTGGCACCATTTCTCTTGACTGTAGCACTCGCAGTGATACCCCAGAACAACAAAAGCTTAACGACGGCCCACCAAGGGTTATTCGTACAGACCTGGCTTCCAATAGTGCACTCTCCTCAAACGCCGGAAATACTACAGAGGCAAGCACTGTGCATGATCAGGCTATGAATGTGGGGCCCTGGCCAGAAGCTCGCCTGGCACTTGGCTCTGCCGATATATGGTCATTTGATCCGGATTTAACAGTATTGCCCTCCTTCTTGCCCGATTTGGAAGACACCTGGGACTTGGGGCTTTGAATAGGATTCGGGTGACTTGCACCGTGCAAGGGAGTAGGCATCTGCAAATGTACTTTAAGAAGCGCCTCGGCATTTTGCGACCATAGAAGGACTAGCAATATCTACTATTTGCCGGGTATTTACATTATATCAGCATACTCGATGTAAGTTGAGCTAGATAGAGTGGAATTGATATTGGGTATGTCAGATCGGTGGGAATATGGTAGCGTACCCCATCAAACTGTTCTCTATTAGAGCTCTGAAGAACACACTCTCCGACAGCTTAGACGTATTATGTCGGGAGGATAATTGACAGAATATACCTAAGTCATTTTGACGCAGGTAAAGGATGACGCATTCCTAGCATCTCCTCCAATGAACCTTTGTTGGAGAGGGTAGGGGCATAAGTCTCTCGCTGTGCCGTTGTTCCCTTTGGTGGCTTGTAAAGTAGCCGGAGCAAGATCTTTCTCGACCCAGTCCATGAGTTGGAAGAGGGCACCATTCGGAACTGGTCCCAGCCCACCATAGCAATGGCCAACTCCGGGTGCCTCAAACAGACGATAGAAATCATGGGCACTTGGATCCGTCTTCAATACCTCCTCGAAATACTTGGTCGATCCTCGCGGCGGGATAGCTTCATCGGCAAGGCCGTGCCAGGCGATTACCTTGCCCCCGTTGGCTTTGAACTTGGACAGGTCAGGGTTGGTATTCGCGAGCATCGGCGCATACTGGAAAGCGGATGCATGCAGACTTTCGAAGAACGCGGACTCAGTCATATTGTTCAAAGCAAACTCTGGGTCCTTGGCAACAAGATACCGGAACCAATTCCCAGACAGATCAGCCCCGGAGGAATAACATGTGCCGTTGGCAGCGCACGCAGTGGGGATATAGAGAGTGGTGAGCACTGCATCTTTGTTAACCCCGAACCAACCGTCGTTCCCGGAACCTGACCAAGCTGCCTGAACAGCAGCGGCACCAGAAGCAGTCAACTTGTGTGTTTTCCCTCTGCAGATATATTCCTCTCCAATGAAGCTGTGAGCCGTGACATTGCACAGGCCAGGTGAACTAATTATACCGTCTTGAACGCCATCTAGCAAATCACAGGCCTTGACTGCTGCACTGACAAAGGCCTCGATCTCGCAGGGGGATGGGTAAGTGCCTAGATTGTGCATCACTTGGGTGGGCCAATATGCCGCTGGTATGAAGGTTTCCATATTCAAAGCAGGAGCGACAGCTAAGATACCATCGAATGCATCAGGGTAATTCTGAGCCATCGCAAGGCCCTGCCGTCCACCACCAGAGCATCCGGTGAAGTAAGAGTAATTGGCCGCTCTCTGGTAATAGGACTTGGTGATTTGCTTTCCAATGACGGCCATGTCGTTCGTGGCCTTGGATGCATAGTTTTCCAAGAGGAACCAGTTGACGTTGCCTTTGCTGCTGAGAGCCCACTCAAGGTCGGTTGGAATGGCTCCCGACCCAGTGGCGTGGCCTCCATCGGTGGATGAAGCGGCAAATCCTTGGGCAACGGCGTACGTGAGGTATGTAGAACCAAACCCTGTGCTGTAGCCACCTCCGCCCAGGCCTTGGAACCTGCCATTCCAACCCTTGAGCGGGAGCCACACTTGCGTAGTAATTGTGTCGTTCCAGCCTGGATGGGTATGGAGGACCGTGACATTGCAGAAGCTGATGGTATACCGACCACCATCATTCGTTCCGGGCCCAAGGCTGACGGTGGAAAAGTTGTGAGCTTCGTGGGCTTGAATGTCGAGAATGGCAGCGCCTGGCAATTCGGGCTTGGGAAAATACCCAGGCGAGCATTCGGAAGCAGATGCTGCTTGGAAGAAGACAGCACTCAAACAGAGCAAAGGTGCTGCAGGCAGAAACATCGTGGCAATTGAGGACAGGAGATAGTTCAACAATGATGAGCCATGAACTTGACCATGCTTATATAGAAAAGAGTCAAGAAGCGCCAAACTCTTGAATTCGACCGTGTGTCAAATCATAGACCTGAAGTAATTCGTCGGAGCGCCTAGTATACGAGAGTTTCCGCGTATGCACGGATGTTCCACTTTTGATCGCCTTCCTTTCGGCGTTTTTCACCTTAGGAATAGTCTGAAGATAACAATCCGGACCCTAACTCCTGGCCGTAACCTGCGTGGGTTACCCATGCTAAAATAAAGCCTATTACAGGTATGAATCCAGTCAAAAGAGTTAAGAGCCCAGAAACATGTCTGTAGCACTTTCCCCTGTGCAGGTCGTCACTATTGGACCCACTTTTCTATACGCGTATTCAGGTGCAAACTTACCCAGCCACAGTTGACTGGAGACGTTGGCCATAGTGGATTTTTGGGTATGTGTTTAGATTGATGATTCAGCCTTGAATATAGCACCACTAGTCTCACAGATATGAGAAAGAGAAGCGCGGATATGGAGGACACCAAGATTAATGTCGTTTAAGGTAGTGGACCTAATTCATTGAACCCTCCCAAGACCTTTCCCAAGAAGCATTGACTACCTTTAAAGTTACCTTCTGCGCATACACGGACCCTACAGTATCGACTGTTATTGCACCTTATAGAGATCCCTGGATCTAATCAACAGTGAACGACCCATAGACCGGACATAATATAGCACATTGGAAACAGCAATGCCAAGTTGTAGAATCAGACCAAAGCTGATAAAGGACACTGGCGTGGAATACTCTGCGGTCTAAGTATGAAAGGAATCCATATTATTCATGAAAATACTGCCCAAATGGTTTACAAACTAGTTGCGTTTGCTTTTGATTTTATGCAGCAAAGCTATGGCGACACATTCCTGAGTATTACAGAGAAGGGGGAGAGAGTTTGCTAGAACATAACTGGAATTCAAAGTGTAATTGAGTACTCAATAAATGGCTGATGCTGGCGGCATTTGTAAGTTGAGTAACCTATACAGAGAGTACTCTTTCTGTCATGTAAAGGAGCATATGTGCTTATGTTATGTGCTACTTAGAAGGTGACAGTATAAGATGAAGTGGTGAAGACAGCGTTTTGTCCAGTGAAGGGTTCAGTACCGGCACCAATGCTCAGGTAGTACTGGGAGGCAGGGAAGTTCTGCTTCTCAGTGAGGTAGGTGAAGAACTCAGCCAGATTACCGGAGTAGTCCTGGATCTCCGTGGGAGCAACGAAGCTGAAAACAGTGGTCGCGGCGTTTGTTCCCTTGTAGAGCTTCCAGGCTTTGCCGCCAACGGTGGGATTATCGATCGGGGAGCCAGTGGCAGAGATGGGACCGGCACCACCAAGGGCGGCGGTCCAGATCATGATTTCGTACTCAGCTTTGCCGCCAGCAGTGGAGGAGGTGAAGATATCGTAAGCCACGTCACCGACGATGTTGTCTCCCTTGTAGCTGCCAGAGGCTGTCAGCATATGGTACTTTCAGGCAATGAATCCTTTACGAACCTCCACTTCCATGTGGATTGGATGTTGGGCAGGTCAGAAACCTTCTTGTTTTCAGGCCGGGCCTCCACGTTGGGGTAGCTTTTGACTTTGCCCTGGCCGCCGGACCAGCTCCAGGTAGAATGCCAGGCGATGCCGCTGGAGTTGCCCTTGCCCGGGGAGTCAAGTCCAACGCACTGGCTACCAGAGCCACTGTCCTTACCCCACATATTGTTGTAGAGCTTGAAGTTACCGACATTGATCGTATCGTACTGCCCGCAGGAATCTGCACGTTTTGCAGACTTGTGCTGATGTGATGGGGTCCATGCAGCAGAGGCAATAGCAGCAAAAAGAGCCAGAACAGCAGGAGAGGCCTTCATGGTGTTGGCTTTGGAAAGATGGATTGAAAGATGTCAGGAATCGATAGCGGTCGTGCTGAATTGGATGAATTAATTAATGCTTTGAAGCAACCTGAAGATGTCCCTTTCTTATATCCGAGAACCATGGTAGATGTTACTGCTTCTCTGCGATGTTGCCATGATCATCGGCCCCTTTCCCATCTTCATCTTCATATGGTGTCTTAGTCTGAAACCTGGCTAGGGTAAACAGGATAAAGTTCACCAGGTTCCGAGCATACTCCGAGTATTGTATACAAGGTACCAGCTATTAACCAAGTTGCTTTATTCCTATTGCATGGATAAAATCAGGGGGGAACTGGAAGTCGATCATAGCTGTGTTGGGCGTCTCATAGGATGATCGTCGGTCACAATCGGCGGAATGGCAACCTTAGATTAGATGAACGATTAGAATATCAACATTCTACAAGCCTATGACATCAACTCCACCTATCAAATACCTCACCCACAAAGTCAGCCGATATACAAAATAGCATTTGGATACATAAAGTCATGATAGTAACTACTGACACGATGCCCTCACGTAGGATTGTTGGTTCATATGCATGGCATGCCCATAGCGTCGTACAAGCTTTCAGGTGGATTAAGATCCTTATTCCACTCCACTACAGTACGTAAGGGATTCAGCCTATTCATTCCGGTCTTCCATTAGCCTAATTCTACTAAAAATCCTAATGGTCTGCCGGATGGTCAGTTGGCAGGAGCGAGGGTCTCAGGGTCTTTGGATGTTAGGGTGAATATAATCCACGGTTTCAGTCCCCCGAAATCGGTAGCCAGTCTTGTCGATCCACAAACCGTCAAAACTTAATCATAGTGGCTTCTTACACACGGGACGTTGTTCCCGGCTCGGTACACTCGGCACAGATATTATAGGGCGACTGAGCTATATACTGGATCTCAATTCAGGAATGGACTCCAAGTTTTGCCGCGCGTTCACAGTCTCCTTAGAAGCTATGGTTTTGCGGATGGACTCTAACCAGTTGACGTCTGCTGAACTAGACCCAACAAGGATCGAAACGTAATAGCAGCTGATTTTATGGATATGACCTTGGGAAGAGTCAGGTTAAATGAAATGGTTACTCGAAGGGGTAAAAGGTATATGTACATTACATTATGTTGTGTATACGTCAACGTCAGTTCAGATGGAATCCCTTCTCATTCAACTACTTTCTGAATTTCGTAATACACTAGGTCTGATACTACTGGCTCAGTTAAGACTGGTTTGCGGACATATGCGCCACGTTCATGCTAATTCTGTTCCACCCCAGTCACTATTATATGGATGTACCAATACTACTGGTACTATATATTAAAATCCGACCATTCCTCTCTACTTAGAGTCGTGATGCCAGAAACCAATCTATTGGCATGGCCTCGGAACCAAGGGGTGTCTGCCGTCTCCAGCCACAGTTCTTTTACTTTCAGGGCAAACAATGTGACCCTGCGGCCACAGCAAACAGGGGTTACAGGTATTAAGAGTAATAGGTTCACTAGGCTGAACACCTGCTTGGTTCTCTGTCGCGGGACTAAGGTTGCATACGGATCAGGATCTACTCGCCGTACTTGATTATTCTCGAGATTACCGGAACTTCTGGTTCCTATTTCCTCTTTCCAATGGCAATCCTCATTCTAGAAAGCTAGGGCAAAGGCAAAGCGGTGAAGATTAGTCTCTCAAGGGGGCCCAAGATTTATTTATAAACAAGTTCCCCGCAGAAATGAAACTGAAAGCACACAAGTTCTTCCATCGGAATCTTTGCAGTATTTCCGATCAAACTGCTGTTGTTTATTATTACTGATTTCTCCAACATGAACTCAAGCCCTTACAAGGCATGTAGCTGGACTACTGAACGCCAAAAGCACTGTAACTACGAAAGCTACCTCAAATTGTTCTATGAAGCAGGCGACCGAGGCGTCTGGTCGATAGGCTCAAAGTTGATATTGAAAGATCGAGGTGCTAGCCTTCCGACCTTTGAGGTACCAAATATTCAGTTTGTGCAGGAGCAGACCTCTATTCCTGTTCCCACTGTTGTCGAATCTTGGGAGGAAGGCGACTACACTCTCATATTGATGCGACGTATTCCTGGCGAACCTCTCGGCAAAGTTTGGTCAAAATTGTCTACGGATGAAAAAGAGGGGATAGCAAAACAGACCGCTGAGTATTTACAGCAACTTCGGAATCTCTAGTCTGATAAAATTCAATCTCTTGGTGGCCTTCCGGTCTATTCCAACTTCTTGTTCAAGAGCAAGACTTCTCAGGTTCCTCACGGTCGTCTTGTATCTGATAACGAGCTCTGGGCTGATATGGAGGGTGGGTTGAAAGAGACGATCCCCGAGGCTGCGCGAGTACAACTTCGACAATGTATGCCATCCGCTTTGCCGTACACCTTTACGCATGGCGACCTCACAAATGTTAATGTTATGGTAGAGGACGGTTCACTTACTGGTATTATTGATTGGGAGATGTCTGGATACTTTCCAGTATGGTGGGAATATGTGTGTACCTCGGTCCCTGATAGCGAGGAGGACAGAGAGTGGAAGGCGTTGTTGTGACAATATATGCCTGATTATAGTGTCGCACGCGAGTTCTGGCTGGACTACCTTTGCAGGGATATATAGAGTGAAAGAGCAATGCAGTTTATGGAAAAGGTAAGGAATGAGACCCATGAAGGAGGTATCTAACGTTCTCCAAATCTGGTAGGATAATTTATAGGCACATTGAGCTTCTTTTTGCTATTACCATGTCTTGGACCCATACTTCCTAGCACAGAAAATTCCATGTCTACTGTCGTGGACTGTTCATTGATAGAATTTGTTCATCTTCTTCGAATAAGGTTTGAAGGTTGGGAATTGTTGCTGAAGTAGTGATGATACATTTTATATAGCAGAATGAAAGCAGAGCCTCATGTACAAATGAGTGACAATAAGTAAGCCGAGAGTCCTTAATTATCACGTATACAGCGAAGCGCAGAGAAACGATTGACAGAGAGACCCCGAATGTGCCTCATTATATTCGAATAAACCGCACAGCTATGTCTTCGGTGCATGGCATAGAGAAAGATCATTTCCTCTTAATCGATAAGCTTAGGAATTGAGCAGAGTAAGGGTTCTTTTCTCCTATTCGAAAATGCTAGCAAGCACAAAGTATCAAGTCTATATGGAGAAAGAGGTAGAAAGGGAGGATGTCTAGCTGCAGGCGGTCTAATGTTGTTCTTCTCTGCATCTCCCTTGAATCTATTGTCAAATGACAGGCCACGGTTACACTTTCTTCAAATTCATACCCCCAACAACAATCCGCGCGGCAACAAACAGCGTCGCGCCGGCCATCATGACCACACCGCAGAACACCTGCAATCTGGTATATGAACCATGCAGCATATCGGGGACTAAGGCACCGCCAATGGGGGAGCCTGTCAGCGCTGCTATAGAGATAATCGAGAAACACGTTCCGTTGCGCGCGCCAACTTCATGGAGGTCGGAGATTTGAGCAATTAGGGCCGGGATAAGCGAGACGAAGGCTCCGGAGCCAAAGCCATACAGTGCGCTGAAGATAATTATGGGTGTGTTCCCGCGGGATGGGAGCCAGAGGGCTAGAACGAGGATTGCAGAGAAATAGCTGAAGATGATCATTACGTTGTATCGGCCTATGCGGTCTGCGATGTAGCCGGGAAGAGTACGGCCGAAGATACTTGTGTGTGTTAGATTAAGTCTCTCAAATGATCTAATGTCGGAGAGTGGATCACCTAGCTGCGTTCAAGATGGGAAGAAGATATGAAGACATGTTCTGTGACATCCCATAACGTTCCCCAGAGCTGATCACGAACGTAAAGGGCAAGAACATGCCCCAGAAGAAGCAAAAGGCTGCAGCAGCAGTTAGGACGAACTTAAGATCATGCAGCGGCCGGACGAAAGCCATGATATCGAATGCCTTGTTCTGCGGCTTCAACCTGGATCGTAACGTAAGGTTGGTAATTCCGAGCATGAAGAGGATAAGAAAGGCGCATATCCGCATTGCCCAGCCAAAGTCGACTTGTGGAATCAGTTTCGATACCATGATAGGGAAGATCACGCCTCCTAAACTCGATCCTGAAGCTGCGACGCCCAGTGCGAATGCTCGGCGCTTGGCGAACCAGCCACTGGCTGAGTTGATCGAGGCATTGAACACGGCACTCGCGCCAAGAGGGCTGCATATACCCTGAGAAAGGATAAATTGGTAGTACTCTGTGGAGATAGAGGCCATCATGAGGCCGAAAACATGGAAGAATGTCCCCGCGAGCAAGATCCAACGGGGTCCATAGTTATCGAAAAGGGTGCCGAAGAGTGGACCGGCGAAGAACATGACAAACGTTTCGAGGGAGGTGATCCAGGCTATGGTGCTGGGAGATAGATGGCTCAATTGGTGGCGTTCATAGTATGCTTGGAAAACACCGATACCTAGAGCAATGTAAATTAGGCTGTTCAGGCTAGCGGGTGCATCGAATCCTGACGCATAGCATGATACGCACAGTTAGTCCAACCAAAACTGACGAACATCCCGCAGAATGCTCCCAAAATAGTCATCCACGCCTGCAATCCCCCATCAGGCGGGAGGCCTGGGGCTGGAGTGACTGGCGGGCCTGAAGCTTCACGTTTCTCCCCGGGTTGGGGGCTGGCACGGGGGGGTTTAGAAGTAACGAGCTCCGTGGTATTCTGCTGGTCTGGCTGGCTACCCATCTCCAGGCCCTTTTCTAGGTGCACGCTCACTGCCGGGGTTGAATGGTCGTCAGAGATAGCGTTGATTGTCGTGCTGGCGATGGATGGGACATCCTGCTCACGATTTGCAGCTACCATGCCTGCTGCCGTCCCTCGCCTCTGAGAGAGGGCTACCAGTTCAGACTTTGGGTGTCCTTGGCTTAAAATCAACAGGCAGTTATTGTTGCAAATCTGTGCAAGAACAAAGTAGTAAAATCGAAGGCCCTCGCTCGCATCGAAAGACGGGGAGGCAAGGCGTAGTGTTTTCCAGACCAACAAGAATGAAGGCCAGTGATTGCGGGGTATTGCACCAGATAGAGGGCTAAGAATGGAGCAAGTCGATGTCCAAAGGGTCTTCGAGTCAAGGAGACACGGGCACTGTCTGATTGTCCTTCCCGATACTTGAGAAAATGGTCTATGTACACGGGAAGACCAAGGGAATATTTGCTACATGATCGCGGACTCTCAGCCTCGCGTCGAACTATAGCCCTGAATGTGACCCGGGTGATGATCCGCAAGGGCCTCCACAACCTCCCCCACCCCCTGAATTGAACCCACAACTAGGTAGGATCCCGGGGTTACTCTCCGCGGATGTATTCGAATCGCTGTGCTGTGGGTCTTGTAGCCCCTCTTAGTTATATTGTTTTGTCGCCTCTTCTAACGGGTAGACTTCCGCACGACCCAATATCACCCGGACCCAAACCGGGCTAGGTTGGCTCCTGTTGATTGATCAGTGACGTTTCGGTGTTCACATAGTCAATGGGAGTTCCTTTTATGTTATATTGTTTATCTTGTCTGTTGGATACAGGTAGGCTGGTAGCCAGGTATGTATTTCATGTATGCACCTGCGTGGGCTGTGGGGAAGACGACTTCAGTCACCACACCTTGACAGTCACCACACCTGGATAGTCACCACTAACAATGATAATAATATGATCGTTGAACGATGTGTGGATTTCTGCAATGGTCATGGATAGAGTATTCCTCTGGGTAGGTCGATCTCTTTCTCCCAATTTTCCTCACTCTGTCCTCTCGGTAAATGCGCTTGTCCAGGCCACTGCCTTACTTTTCAGACGCTCAACATCTGAAATACGAAAATCAACATGGAAAGTACCTTTTCTTGCCTCTTGAACATAAAAAGTATGGGCAAGTCAGTTGGATGAGAAAGGGCTGATTACTTCAATTAACAGAATTCCCCCAATTCACAGAATAACAGGTTCACCATTTCTTAATGTTGTTAAAGATTAGCTTCAATATTTTCGTATATTTATCGTTAGGAACCGGGAAGAGTCCTGATACAATAGATATTCTTGTACAGTCATTCTTGACCAACAAATATTTGATGATTATTCTCAGGCCCCACTACCAAGACATTGGCGTAGTTGGATTGTTTAACTAGACTTTTTCCAACCCATGGTATTAGCGTTGTCTGTGGACTATACATCTCAATTTATTGAGGTTCGCTCGATATTTCCCTGAGGCTAGGATTTTGGAAGTGGCGCTCTATATTAGGGTCATATACGGAGTATATGCTGGTCAACTCGATTTACAGGATCAATGTTCACGTTTTTACAAGCAGAAGGTTGTCCAGAAATGTCATTTTCAACCCAAATCTGTTTATCTCGCTCGTGAAGCCTGGGGTGAGTAGGAGATGAAGTGCCTGATTTACTTTGTTAAGTTGTTTCCCGGAATATACTTTATGACTGGTTCCTAACAGAAATATAGTTCGTCTCCATAGGGTTCCACAATATGGTTTGCCTTTATTAAAAGTCACTAACTACAGAGTAGAAGAGCACTAGTTCAAACCTTGGCGTAGAATCTGAGATAATATGGAGGTGTACTCTGTACATCCCCGAAGTATACAGTGCACACACAATATCAGAACGCTAGTAAAACATTCTGTAAGTATTAAAAGACAAGCTCTTGTTACGCATCTCTCTTGTTTCTACAGCATTCATATCAAAAAAGGCGGCCACAGCCAATAGGGATAGTTATTCCACACTTGCGGTGAGGCCAGTATTGCCAGGTGATCGGAGCGATGCATTAAAGGGAGACCATCCCTTAAGCTCTGTGTTTTAACGCCTCCCAGACGGCAAAAACAGTGGTTCAAAAACGTTCATCCTAGGCAGCCTTGAAGCCATTAAAGCTTTTCAGTCTAGTCAACCTCCTCGCAGCAAAATCTCAACCAGCTCGTTCAATCATGGCCGTGAAGGGCTCTTTGTTGTCCCTCGACATAGGTTTCAAGGATTGTCTGTATAGAATACGCCGTCCCAATGGAAGGGTTGTGTACGTTACGGTCAAGGATTTAGACATTATTCCAGAGGAATTTCGAACCTATGGCTCTGGTATGATATCTAAACTATCGAAGTTCAGGGAATAAAATAATAATACATAGGAAACTCTTACCGTCTATAAAGACGAAAGTGGAATTCGGTCCAAACGTGATTTATTCAAACCCTACACTTTGCAAGAACAGGAGATACCTGTTAATTGCGAGCGTGTTAATATTTTCGACTATTCGATTTTACGGAAATTGAAGAAGTCTTCCGTGTCCAGCGAGAAGAAGTCCAGTATTTCTTGAAAATAGCTAGATTTAGCTTTGAACTTTCCTGGCTTGCGTAGAAGATCCAAGTTTATTATATCTTGACACGATATAACTCAGCATTAACCCCAAGAATTGTAGAATATATTCTTGAAGAGGCACCACGCCGTATTATTAGATTTATATTTGAAAAGGTTAATGGATCTCGTCCAGATACTTCATATTTTAGAGACTGTAGAGTCGCTTTACAAAAACTTTATAATCTCGATATATTGCATAGAGATTTCAACAGAGACAATATATTTATTACGGACGAAGGAGCAAGTTTATTGACTTCGAAGACTCGTGTGTTAGCTCCGCTGAGAATCAAGAGAAATGGGATAAGAAAAAGAGCGATGAAATGCAGAGTTTTATAGAGAAGCTATCTGACAATTCTGGAAGGGGACGCCCGTTGACCGTCGGTGACGGTGTATAACACACCACTTTATATTTGTAGTGGGTGGTCCGAGAATTATATCGTCCGGCCAATATAAACCGCGTCCTCGAAGATACAGTACCTGAGTTTAGAGGTACCTTCATCAATTACGAGTCAAATGCCGAGTCAAGTGCTGGTATATATAATTGAGGCATATCGATAACGAAAAGGTGAGTATTGAAATCATTTTATGTCAGTAGTATATCAGGATTATAATATCACACGTCTCTCCAGTGTCCAGCACTGAACCAAGTCCTAGTAAAGGAAGCCATTCTCATGTCTGCCATATCACTCATCCATCTGCCATTGGTAATCCAGCGCCTCCAATCTTCCCTTCCGATTCCTAGCTGCAAACCACTCTTTCTCGAACCCATTACTGCGGTCCACTCCATCCCACCGATGCCCCGGCCTGAGTCCGTAGCGATTCGGCTGGAAAGCTCCCTTGTATAAAGGCTTCCCAGTTGCACTCTTCCCAGGACCCTTGTTGGTCAAGAATTGTGCAGCCGGGTCATTCCACCGCTGTCGGGCCCGTAACTCATCATTCATATCCTCATCATCGACCGTCCGGGCAACAGGCATCGCCCGCGCTTCCTGAAGCTGCTCTCGACGTTTCTCTCGTTCTTGCCGCTGGACATCGCCCATCAGCGCCTCCTTCGCCTGTTCCTCCTTCTCCAGCTTCTCCTGCTCCGCCTTGCGCGCCTCCGCCCGTTTCATAGCCACATTAATGATTCGTCCAGACGCATCACGATAAATCGTCTCCTGCGCTTGTCCCCCTGCCGGACTATCCTTATACAGGGCCGCCTCGACCTTCTTCCGCCGTTCCTGCGCAGCAACCATCGCAGCCGTCTGCGCCGCAGTCTGTAGACCCGCCCTCGCACCAGACTCCATCCTCATCGCCCCATCATCCTCATCCTCCCCCTCAACCACAGCAGGCGCATCATCATCCCCCCCTTCATTCCTCCGCGCCGCATTCTCAGCCGCAGCTGACGCGATAATCGCATCCGCAGCGTCCTGCTCGTTCCCGGCACCGCTAGAGTCTTCCAATTCGACTTTTTCGTGCGCCGGAACTCCGCACTCCGGCCAGACGCCACGAGGGACGGACCATCCTCGTCATCGTTCATAAAGTTCGCCGCGGAGCTCTTGAGATCGGGCGGGTCGTCATCAGCAATGATCAGGCCTTGCGCGGCGGTGTCGATTTCCTTGGTCTTCTTGCGCTTCTTTTTTGGTCTCTCGGTGGCGGGATCCGCGGTTAGATAGTTCTTCGCGAGGTAATCGGCTAGTGAGGATGAGGGCATTTTGTGACCGTGATTGTGCTGTTTTTGGTGTATGCGAGCTTGGTTAAAAGCTGGTTGGGTGTCGCTGTTATCTGATAATCGGAGGATTGTTTCGCCGGTTTGTAGTTTGGGGTTTTTTAAAGGGAAGGCGGTCAGCTTGGCTCTGCGCTAAGTAGGGGCCTGTACTAGTAATTTATCCCTCTTGTATCCCCATTAACCATAGATAATTTGGGCTTGAAGTTTGGGTACGTGGAGGAAGCGAGCCACAAATAGAGATTAGCCAGCTTAAAGCAAACTTCAATGTCTGGCCATTGCGACATGCTGATCCTACGAAAGATTCGACCTCCACTGAACTATCTCGGAAAATGTTCAAAACTTCTGCCAGATCAATTACTGCGACCGCCTACTTTATTGTCCCATGACTGGCAATCGATAAGTTTCAATGCGATAAAAGTTGTCATTTATGTACAGATATATTTAGTATAAACAATTATGAATTACACATGAACGTTATCGATGAAGCGCCGGAGATATATTCCAACTTTATTACGAACTGCCGTCAGACTCTTCAGGAATCGTCGCAAACTTGTTCAGTACCTGCTTCAAGATAGGCCGTCGGATGGGTTTACTACTTGGATCAGCAGCTTGACGGTATACTGCAGGGTATGCGCTCACCTAATGAACATGTCCATCCCGGAATCCATGCAATCTTTGATATTGCTATCCTCGGAAAAGGCGCTCAGCGCGACAATCGGCGCAGAGTATCCCATCTCGCGGATGAGTCGCGTACTCTGAAGTCCATCGAGGATAGGCATCTGCGTGCGTCAGTTGTTGTATGACAAAAGATGCAGAAGGAGCTTTACCTGAATGTCCATGAAGATGAGGTCGAATACCTTGCCCTCTTCCATGTTAGCCTTGACGGTGTCGTACGCCTCTTGCCCATCCTTGACTACCGTCACGTCGTAGACTGCCTCAAGGGCAAGCATCCTGACAGGGTTAGCTGTTGGAAGGGTACAACCATGGACATGCTGAACGTACCGAAGGGCCACTTCCTGATTGATCTTATTATCCTCGGCCATTAACACGCGGATCTTCTTTGGACCAGTGTCCGAGGAGTTGTTGGACTCCGGACCATTTGATGGAGATGAAGAGGTAGAGGGAACAGTAGGGGCGAAGAATGGCTGGCTTAACCCAACCAGACGTGGTTGGACATCTGGCTTAGTGCTGAGTGTTTCTTTACTACCCACAGTGCTGTGGTTCGACGGGGTCTGAGCAATATTGGAAAACTCTTCCAGCGAAAGCGACATGACGCTCGGGGTTCTTGAGCCGTCAACGCTGGAGCTTCGCGTGCTAGCTGCTGCCTCCTTCACGAACTTCAACGGTATCTTCAGGGTAAACAGTGCCCCGTTGCCTTCTTCACTATCCAACAGAATTATGCCTCCCATAAGTCGAGATAGTTGAGCACATATACTCAAACCAAGACCAGTTCCTCCATATTTCCGGTTCAGCCCTAGGTCTCCCTGTACGAAGGGATCAAAGACACGTCTCTGCATGTTGGCTGGAATACCCGGTCCGTTATCCTCGACCTCAAACTGGAATATCAGTGTCCGCAAGTCGGACGGCACAGGCACCCGTGTATCCACCTGGCTGTCGAGAAGATCGGTACCGTTCACCGGCATTACGCTCAACGGCGACGAGGTACCCGAACGTAATTGCGAGCTCGGCTTTGAGTCTTGCACCAGTGTCACGGAGCTATCGGGACTCCGGACTTCCTCCACACACCGGATGCGAACCTCGACCTTGCCATTCTCAGGGGTGAACTTGAGACTATTCCCAACCAAGTTGATCAGCACCTGCAGGATCCGATGTTGATCGCCCCAGAGCACCATGTCCTTGAGTCTGCCTGTCTGCGGTGGACCAACAGCGGGGTGTACCCGTTCAACTCCTTGTTCCTGGCACATGGTACCCCGAGACTGACTATCTCCAGGGCCGACGTAGTCGACACTGAAATTAATACGCTTCTCATGAACCTGACTCTGGAATATGATTGAAAGTTGAGAACGAATGTCGGAGAGTCTAAATTCCTTTTCCTCTAGGTGAATAGCCTGCTCGATCTGATTCCTGCTGAAAGTCAACAGGTCATTTAATAGATGCAGGAGGAGATCGCCCGATTTGTAGACAACTTGAAGCGACTTCTTAATCCGATGCAGATCTTCCTCCCCCATGCACACCGCGCACATGCCCAAAATGCCATTGAGCGGGGTCTTGAGCTCGTGCGAAATGTTGGCGATGAACAAGGTCTTGCTCTCGTTGGCCGCCTCTGCCGCCAACTTGGCCTTCTGGAGCTCCTTTGTCCGCTCAACCACGCGTTCTTCCAGACGGTTGTATTGGATTGTCAGCTCGTCTGACATCTCATTGAACGTGCTGGTTAGCTCTGTAAGCTCATCTGTCACACAGGACCTCCGTTCCTTCACCCGCGAAGGTATCCGGAAGGAGGACCGGGGATCCCGTCGATCGCCGAAGCTGTGAGAGCTGTTGAATCGCTCCAACGGCCGTCGGAGGCGTTTCACCCAAGACGCAGGCGCGGCCTTTTCATCCATATGTTCTTCAATGGTCTGTACCGTGTCTCCATGCCCCTCGCCCTCATGCTCCATGTAGCCTGGAGACGATGTTGGCGGCACCTCTGGCTCGATCGATTTCTGAGCGGCCTCGCGCATCCTGCGAATAGGAGCAACAGCCCAGTGCGCCAGCAGAGGTACAACCAAGATAATGAACCCCGCGGTTCCGAACACACAAGCAAGGATTATCTTCCGCAATCGAACCACCGCCGTGAAGGCTTCGGAATGCGTTTCTTCCACCAGAAGAATCCATTCAACTAGTGAAGTTTTGGGCCGGACCGCGCCCACCGCGACGTTGTACCCTTGTTCATTTTTGGTCGAGAGTTCGCCGACGGGTTTATTCTGGCTCTCCTCGGGTTCGGCCATTAACTTCAGTGCCATGGGGTACTTGGAAAGCTCGAAGGAGGTACCGGCGGAGACGCCACGGTGACGGCTGTCTTGGGACGGCAGCGGAGTGGGCTCGAAGATGTAGTGAACCTGTGCGTCGGCGATCGCTGGCCGATCAGGGGACGAGGTGGCGGTTGCAGACTCCGCGGCGAAGCGGTTCTCCGGTCTCGAGGGCCCGAGTAGCAGGACTTGCCCGGTGTTGCCCAGTCCGTCGCGAGAGCTGACCACATTTTGCACGTTCGCCGCACTGGCGACAACCCTACAGTCCGTTAGCATGGATGCCTTGCCTCTCGTTTCCCGTCGCCCGATACAAGACCACCTACGTCATGAAACCAAGGATATCCGTATTTGATGTATTATTCACGATGGGCAGTGTCAGGGAAACAAGGGAAAAGGAGCTGTTGATTGCTATGGGTCCCAGCAGCAGCGCAGAAGTTAATCCTAGAGTGTACTCCGGAAAGGCATGCACCGTGGTGGAACTATCGCCTTTCGAGGACTGTGTATATGTCAAGTTCGGATAGAGGGCCGAGGGGTATCCAAGTCCTTCATGTCCCAGCATTACGGAGCTGCCATTTGGGTAGGTGTATGGAAGCGTGATCTCTGGTATGGAATCACTGGTGACGCCCAACAATCGGTCGCGACCGCCTTGTCCGTTCTTCGAGTAGAGAATCGCCTGGTATGTGCTTAGGTATCCCCGGCTTCCTAGTGCCGATTGTATGTCGGTGATGGAATTCGCCCAGTTGGCGTCCGATGTATTCCCGGCATAGTAACGTCGTAGAGATGATTGTACCAGGAGCCGCGTGGAGATGGTTTTGCAGGTCACTTCGAGGAGCTCCAGGCTCGAGGCGATCTGGCTCGCCTTGATGGTCGCGACCAGTTCAAGCCCTTGCGATCTGTTCGGGGGTCAGTGACCATGAGCGCACGTGCAAGACTTACCACCTACTCGACATCGACTACAAAACTATACGTGGTGGTCCACTAGTGCGTCTTGTCAGCTTGTCGATCTCCCTTGCCAGTCTGTATGGTACAAACTTACTGTCGCCACGGCGAGGATGACAATACCCACCAGGGCTGTCAGGAGGACCAGCAGCCCTAGCTGCACAGCAATGGGGATGCGCATCCGGGCACGGCAATGTTAGCAATGGTCAGTCCATAAAGGAGATCATGCCCTGAGGTGTCCTATTATGACGATCGAGGATCTGGAGAAGAGAGGAACACCGGGCTAGCAGGAGTGAGATGCATGTCTATTTGATTCATTAACCGTCCGCGGTTGGGAACAGCCCAGAATATTCTGCACTAACCACGTTGGAAGCGCAAGGTTGCTGCCATCCCGATTAATTCCTTGGATTCAGCCCGAGCAAGGGTCTGACTTAGACTGCGTTGATTTGCTGAGAGCCCGCCACATAGAGGAGCTAATGAGGGTCTAGACTTCCTAGTACTAGGCGAGGTCCCGCGCATGACACGCATGATTGGCATGAGGCTGGTGGGGATCCGCGGATACTCCGTTGGCACGCTGTAGAGCATGTCAACCGAGCTTGAGAAAAACAGGTTTTGATTTCTCTTACGAGGTACAACTTGTCGATTTATGCTACGATGCCCGGGGTTTATTTTTCCGATTTGTTCTTTTCTTTTTATTTATTTATTTATTGCCGATTTTGTCATCTCACCCCGGAACCTTAATATTCCTATTCAATTAGCCCTATGTCGACGATGTTAGCCCACGGTTGTCTCGTAGAATGCCTAAATTACCTTAAAGATTACTCCGGATTGGATTGGTTTTCATGTTCCTTTCATAAGCTATAGACAGAATGGTCCTATCCGAAGACCCATATAGCTAACAGTGATATTTGCCAGACGGCTGGCAACCCCAGAGTAACGGCGAATTGTGCCCACAGGATAACCTTGTCAGACCTAAGTGATGTACAATTCATAGTGTCGTCCAGATGATCTCGTTCTATTGGTACGATCTAATGGGTTAGTGTGATTTCCAGATTCATCGTCATGCCATACCCCGGTCTACACTAGTACGAAATTCTTGGACAAGCTTAATGTGCAAAATACAATTTCAGCGACCGTATCGTTATTGCTTTCATGCATGATTCGATCCATTGATCTGAAAGTCTTCAACTAGCACGGCTTCTAGTCGATTCCTACCAGCCCTGCTTTGAGCCGCCGTTATGGATTTCAAAATGAACTAGCCCCTCTGAAAAAAAGAAAAAAAAAAGAAAAAAGAAAGAGAGAGAAAAGAAATGAAAAAACAGCGCGAGTATCGCTGGTGTTGTGTATTTCGTATTTTCGTTATAGACAATTCATGAGTTTCCTGCAATTATTGCATCGCATTCTTAATGATAATCTGTCGGACAGGTAAGATACGCGAGGAAGAATTACGCCTCACAATTTCCAAGAAAAAGCAACAAAAGTATACTTCTGGTTCGATGTATATTTTACGGGCCAAGTAAGCTGACAAGGTATGCAGACAAGTGAATGACCCACTCGTAGTATTTTGTTCTAGGCTATCGACGGCCTCCAAGGGCTTGGCTACCTAAGCTATACATGATACAAGCTCGATGTAATGGCAGACAATCTAGATCGTCCCATGGTGACCTATGGGGCTACTATGAAGGGATCGCTCTGGATTAATGATGTACCCTCTGCCGTGCCGGATTACACCCAAGTAATGTACCCATTCGTCACGGCAAGCAAGGGGTGACTGGTCAGAGCTCAGATTCCCTCAGCCGCGCCTGGCCAGGACGAAGACAAATGATACCTGGCCCGACAGCGATGCTCTACACTTGCATGAAAGTCATGCTTGTACTGGCGACTTGGGTATCTCAAAGGGGGGGAGAAACACAGCAGAAGCAAAGGTAAGGTTTCACCTGGCCAGCATCAGCACCATGCCTCCCTTTATGTGATATCCGGCCGAGCGCCGTACCTCGCATAGCGTTATTCTTTGTTACACGAAGAGGGCCCATGCGGGCGAGCTTGACGGTGATCTCGATGTCGACGGCAGTGAGCCAAACCCCCTAAGATGGAGGATATAACACATGATATACGGGACTCCCCAAGGGATGATACCTTCGCTTCGTGCTTACGAGTATCTTAGAAGGCCATTCTAGTCCACATGCTGACGTACTATATGAGGTAGATTCTCTTGGAACCCTACTTTACGAGTATCTGCGCTTCTGACGTTTCGGAGTAATATTGGAAGATGTGGTTATTCTGTTGCAAAAACCAAGTCGGCCGTAACGTCGAGCAGCCGAATCAGCAGAATATCATAGGAGTTGGGCAATTCACCGTTGTGCATAGACTCAACAACAGCATTGTTCGAAAGGTCCCAGTAGATAAGGCAGACATCTACAACACCCGCGCGGTCGAGATCGAAGCTCAAGTCTATCGCCACCTCGGACGACACAAACGCATCGCGCGATGTCTACAATGCAGCGAGGATTATATTGATCTACGATACGAGGCAAAAGGCGACCTAGAGTCATATCTGAGCCATCATTGTGTAAGTGATCGCTTCAGATATCGGATGGCTCGGCAGGCTGTAAAAGCAGTCATCTTCATTCATGGGAAAGGCGTCATTCACTCCGACCTTTCCGCTCGACAGTACCTCGTTGATAAACGGTACAGCGCTAGGTTATCCGACTTTGGTGGATCATCATTGCAGGGCTCGGATGCTATTATCATGGAGAACGCGACACATTTTCTGCCTAGGGATGAAGATGCGCCCAACACCGTGCAAAGTGATATATTTGCCCTCGGGTCGACTCTTTACGAGATACTGGTCGGTCGCAAACCTTACGAGGGATTGGAAGACGAAAAGATCCAACAATTGTATTTGAACAAAACGTTTCCTTCACTAGACGAGATAAGATCTGTGTCATGGCGGACCATCATCCTCAAATGCTGGATGAGCGAGTATAAAGTCGCTTCAGATATTCTGAAAGATGTCACAATCCCCCCTCTGATCTCGCACATCTTCTCCTGGCGCAACTCTCGCACTATACGCACAAATTGAAGAATTCAACTCTCATTCTTGAGAAAGCTTTCCAATGATGATGGCACCAGTGAAGGCGGGTTATACAAAACGGGGCATATTCATGGGTTCCCTGGGAATGCAATTGGATTAGAGTAGTTTGGACTAGAATGGCGAAGAAAGTCAGACGTACCTGTGCTTAGGGCATTTCCCTTTGACTCTATTAGACCCACTGTGCCGCACTTCATACTTGGGACAGGAATTCCTGGGACCTGTGGCTGGCTTTTCAGGGCAATCCGGACCAGGGATCAACTCAGCCTTGTTACAGTCTGAGTTTCTGCAGCCCTGGCTATGTATCGTGATAGCTTGGTAATCCACACACATCTCTTCGTTCAGTATGAAAGTCAGAATAGAACTTTCCGAGGCTTTCAACAAGATTCGATCGCAGCTGCGACTAGGTTGAGTCCTGAGTTACCAACACGGTGGTCGAGGGCCGTCTTTAATTATCTGAAGTACTATGTCAGAGCTCCTGCGCTCGGACACGGCATCGTTACACGTACCAAACTCATCATACCTATAGGGGAGACGTTATCCAGGGCCTAGATCATTCAACCCTAGGACCGTCTCACGGTCTGATTCTTGGTAGGCGTTGACCGCCCTATACAGCTAGTTCTAACGATGAAGTGGTGTTCATTTAGGTTTCTTGTGGTCCCATTCGTTCACCTCCTGATGGCGCAACCAGAAAGAGAGCCAGTAGCGCAACGGCCTGCCGTCTCTATATTTGAAAACAAAGGGTATATGCTTTAAACGTTCGACTACGATTGACCGCCTCTCTTATACACTCCCATTGGCAGTGTTCTTATTTAAGTTGCCGAGGTAAATATGAATCCATCCTTTTTAAGAGACTAATTTGATACGATAACAGTCGCGTGATAGGGCTGGACTTTGTATCTCCCTCCCCGCACTTCCTATGCAGTGTCTTTCAGCTATATCTACATAGCATTAGCTTTATTATTGCGTAGATTTACGGTTTTCTCTTGTAGTGCGTTTATATCCCAGATTTTAAGAAGCCAATACTAATGCTCGCCTAGTGCCACCAGGACGAAGTGTAGGTAATTGTGAGAACACACTTTGTATGTCTCTTACTCTGTGAGTTTAATCAATAGATACATGGTCTAGTCTGATAAACAAAGTCATGGATTGCAATTTCTTTCCCTATGCATCCGCTCAGCTTCTTATATCGAAAACGTCTATTTACGAAGCACTCGTTGCAATTCAACGTAGCTTAGCCACAACCCTTACACCCTTCGACCCATCCTTCGGCATAGCAACATGATAATCGTGCTCAAAAGAAACATCCCTCTCATCCGTCTCCCACAACTCCATATCAAACATCCGCGTAAGCGCAGCAGTAACAAGATACAGCTCCGCCCTGGCAAGCTCAATCCCCAAACACTTCCTTCCGCCTCTCGAAAAAGCCAACTGGAATTTCCTGCGCTCACGACCCTCATCCCCCAGCCAGCGCTCGGGACTAAATACGTACGGGTCCGGGAAGACTGATTCAGCGGTATGTGCGCTCAACGTCGTGATACTAACGGGTGTGCCGGGAGGGAGGGTATAGGATCTACGCGTGGGGCCTGGTGTGGTCACATACGCGGATGGGGTATAGGTTATGGGCTTGTGCTGGATACGGGCTGCGCGAGCGGTCACGCCGAAGGAGAGTCGGTTGCCTTCTTCGATGACAGCGGAGAGGTACGGGAATTGCTCTAGTTGCGTCCAGGTTGAGGGTGTCGGCAGGGTATCTAGTTCTTTGCGGAGTGTTGCGAGGAGAGAAGGGTTGGCGAGGAGATGGTAGAAGATGATATTGAGTGTTTGGGCGGGGGACTCTGTTCCTGCGAGGGTCAGTAGTGCGCCTTCTTGTTCCAGGCGCAGGAGGGCTTTTTCGGATGCGGGGAGGTTGGGGTTGTCGAGCACGGATTCGTAAACGGATTCTTTGCCTCCTGGATTGATTGACTTTTTCCCGTTTAAAGTGCTGGATGCTTTTGCCCTCATGATTGTGGTCAATTCCGCACGGACTCTCTGGTATTGTTGTTAGTGGTGTACATTGCCTGTGGTGGATGGTGGAGGACTTACATCAAAGAGTTCGTGCATGTCAATGAGTCCAGGAGGCATGACAGGCCTGGTTATGCGTTGTGGCAGTGCTTCGAGAATGTCCGGGATCCATGGAAAGTGCTTGTTCATGTTGATTCCCTTGAGCAACTCATGACTGTTGCGGCGGAGCCTGGCCGCCGCCTGTTCATCTGAGAGTACGTCGGTTTGGTGGGCAAATAAAAAGTTGGCGACAACACTACACTTCGTAATGAGTAATCTTGACCAGCATGTTTAATTCACCGAGGTTCATACTCATTGGAAAATCCATAGAATGCGTCCGATAGATTGATGGGAGCTCCCGTCGCCGCATGTTTGTCGATCAAATCGCACAACTGGTTCACCTTTGCGGTGATCACGCCTTCGAGTGAGAGAACGTTGCGCTTACTGAAGAAGGGAGTGAGCGCTTCCCGACGGATCTTGTGAAGGTAGTAGTCGGCAGTGGTCCCAATGCCACCGGGGACACGTAAGGTGCGTAGCTGGTAGTCATACTTGTCGAGGCGGGTCATCGATGGGGCGTAGATTGTGTCGAGGTAACCAACATCGTTGATGTGGACCTCATCCGGGGTTACCCGGATGATGGGCCCTGAGCATCCAATCAGTACTACAGTGTAGCGAACTGGAAAGAAGAACCATACCGTATTGCTTGTGAAGCTCTTGAATTTTAAATACGTACTGCCCTGGCTGGACGACATCATAGTAGAATTCATACCACCAGGTGAGTGCCGCCAGTCGGGGGCCTGGAATGTGGGATAAGGAATGGAAATAAAGACGACGGATGGCTTCGATGGCGGTCCATAGCGCCAGAAGGAGGAAGCTTGTCTCGACCGCCTGAAGCAGAGCCATACTGTTGCACTGTGCAAGGCGGTAAATCGAATAGGAACTGAATGAATGCCGTTTTAAGGGAACTTGTTGTGCCACGAAGCTCGATGCCAAGAGAGCCAAACAAAGAGAAGCATCCAAGCCTAAACTAGTAGACCCTGGCTAGTCTGTACAATCAAATATCAGTCCTAACACTGGTCAATCACCTCATCTGTCGCTGCGGGGCCAACTCGCGGCAGTTACTGGATGCAACGTGGTAAGCCCTAATGCAAGGCTGTACAGTGGCGCAAGCGGCCCGGAATGAAACCAAAGCACCTACCACACCGTAGGCGATTTTGTCATCTACGTGCGCCTCTAAGATGTGCCTAGATTACGCGCCATCTTGCTGCCTCAAGGATCAAATTACTGATCGCCTGGGAAGGATGAATTCTTCCTCATGCCGAACTCTGCGATACCAATATCCCTCGTGACCATCAGGAGAGACACGTTTCGTTTTTAGTTCTTCAACGATGAGAATAGTAGCTGGTTGCCCCTCATATAAGATGGCACCGATGTACGCTACACCACTTGGGGTGATAGTCGTCGGCACGGTGTTTCCTGTGTTGGGACTAATCGTGGTCTTCCTACGATTCTACATGCGGATCGAAGTTGGACCATGGCATATGCTCTGGATGGATAATTGGTTGACGATCCCAGCATTGGTATGTATATACTTCTCACTAACATTTCCTAATCTGTGTCACTGAAGCTTGACCAGATAGTCGAATTAATTCTAGCCGCTCTACTAATATGGGGAGGCTGACGAGATCCTTAGGGGTTATCCTTCCTCCCAAACTGTCCCCGGCCCCAACGGTTGCCTCTTCTCCACATCGCCACGTCAGAGCATACCTCAATAGGTATGGCCATTCATGCTCTGGTGGTGACTTTTGCTCGTCAATATAGATGTTAATGGTACTCTTGGAGACAATATTTCGCTCACATCGCTACCATCCTCGCCGTCGGCTTCATCCAGCTTCCAGACTCCTAAGAGTGTTTGGCTATGGCCCGCACGAGCGGGCCAAAAGCAACAGCTCGGCACCCATGAGACTCAGAATATGCAACACAGCACGAAACAGGAAGATTGGAAGCATTATAGCTAATGACTGTAACTCGCCGGGTGGATAACACGGCACTTCCTCACTTCCAACCATGATACCAACATTACCATTTATGACGTCCTGTATAGTCATGGTAGAAGTTGGCATGTGAGTTGGGGAACGCAGGCATCACAAGAAGCCATCTTCCATGATTGCTTATCTCCGAGATACCAGTACCACCCTCCATAGGATACCCTAGTGCAAGAAAGAGCCAAACCTACCGCTAAGTTTCGCGGATCGTGGATTCTGGAGAGAAGCTCTCATCACCGGGCTCTGCATTCTATCCGGAGCTTTCCTACGCGAACATGCACAGAATCCTTGAACCTGGCGAGGGCATGTCAGGTCTCAGGAGTATAGTGAGATAACACGCCCCCGTGATATAGTAGCTTTTCGCTTGAAAGGTCTCACATACGAGAACACCAACTGGGTACAATTCCAACGGTATAGTGAGCTCTATAGTTCCAGCGATTCCGAGGACGAAGGCATCGTCAATCAGCGTGAGATAAATCGTGTCGGCTCACGGAATCGTTGCGACTCCGTAGGAATCGGCCGCAGCGCAGAATTGGAGGAATGGTTTCAATAATGCGTGGAGTAGTGGTGGAAAAGGGTTGTGGTTGGACTGAGCCGATTGACGATACCTTCACCGGTCTTGGCGGCAATGTGGTGAGGCTACAAGTGAACGTAGACGGAAGCTGATATCCTCTATACTGGAACGATGCGGCTTGGATTGCGTTGTTGTGCGCGTAGTATCAGAGTTGGCATTGGGGCTGAGTCGGTTCAACTCAATATAGGGATCCTCTAATGGCCTTCCTGCGGATTGCTTCGCAATGTAGATCAATTTGTTCAAGACTCCGTATTCGATCTTCAGCTTAATACTGTACACAGTAGCCTTCAGCGTGGTCTGGTAGATGTAGTAATTTGCGCATTCTACTGCGATCAGAGCAATGTCCATCAGGATGCAGACCATGTTCATCACAAATAACTGTAAGATGATGTTACGGTTGTCTCGGTTGGGGTTCAGTTTCAGCATGCGCGTAGTTTCCCATATGTAGATACCCGAGATGATCAGTTCCTGGGCGCAGAATCCCGCGACTTGGACTCTCTCCATGATATTATACGCATGCAGGTACTTGTACGACTGCATGTAATTGGCAGCGTATGTCAATATGGTGGTCGGTACATGCAGGAGAAAGACGTTGGCAATGATCATGCCGCAGACAAAATTCAACACCCGTGTATTTTGAACAACCAAGTGTAGTCTTGAGTAAAGTACGAATGACTGCCCGGTCACCATGGTCCACCACCCAACTGTGACAAGTGTCAACGAGACCCAGATTGCTGACGTCAGATCAAAAAATTTCATGAAAAAGCCGATCGAGTAGGGGAGGATCCCCGCGGTCGAAATCAGCAAACTCCAAAAGTAAATCCCTTTATACTGCTTGAAGATCGAGAAGATGAGAACCAGTAACTCAATGGAATTATACCAGGCGATCACCACGAAGGTGGTGATCGTGATGCGAAGGCCATCGCTGTTACCCGTGTAACTACCCGTAACCCAATTCGACGGGCTGGACGAGCTGTCGGTCGACATAATTATTAGTGAATCAGTCAGGGAGAGGGTGTGTCAGTAGCAGTGAACTGTGGAATGTCCATGGTCTAGACGATGAGTATAGGAGTGGCCTGATCACGGCTTGCCAACACAGCACAAAAAGGAAAGGGAAAAAGGTGCTTGTGAGTTGGAACCGGAGAAATTTTGCGGGGACATTTGCAGATGGCTGCCCTCTTGGGTCTAGTGTCTTTTTACGCGATTAGATTCATTCCTCGCTGTTCGTATTAGACTAACCTTTTAGTTCGCCCGCATCTCGAGTAGGTTGCAGAGTCAGCTTGACAAGTCGCATACTCTTTTGTCTCAATATACTATAGGAGCAAGTCCATGCAGAAGACCAGCAGTGGCTTTAACAAAAAAGCAAAAAACTACTCAACACCCCCCAATTAAGCTTACTTATCCTCCAATCAAGATAGAACAAGGCCCAAGCTCAAGATAGAGTCCAGAAAGTAAGGGTCCAGTTTCGTTTTGCTAGTCCGAGTCTGGTTAGACTGTATGCTCTCACCCAATAGTATACCCTTAAATGCTTAATCATAAGCTTCCAGGGTCGCCATCCATAAACTCCCTGCATAAATGTTGATGTGTCAACCTCATCGTACAAGCCACTGTACTATCACAGTCATGCCATGGTCTATTCATTTGACTTTTTAATTGTGATTCAGGCTTTCGGCTACGACAGAGAATCATCAATAGTTCATAGTGGTGTTCCAGAAAGTGCGGTCTGTTTTGACCAGGCCTTTTGTGACCTTCCAAGTTCTCTCTGGTCTACATCTCTCTTATGAGATCTAGATTTGCGCTCAATATCAGAGATTTGGATGCGACATGGAACGCTTGGCTGACTACGATTATCATCGCGATTCTGACGGCAGACAGACCGGTTCAACGTGGGATTCTTGTTCTCGGGACTAAAAACGGCTAGATGGCTTGAGCAGGAGCCTCCTTTGAATGGACGGACTATTGTTCTTCATCGGAAACGATACAATGACTATTCTTAGCTGCACGCTTTGGTCAAAAGCGCCGCATGAATCAAGGGGTATTATCCAGTCGACGATGAAAGATTTCCAAAAGGTTACTGGCTGGGCCATTGATGACTGACTACAATGCAACTCACGATTTACATCCTGCCTGGTTACTGAGAGAGATACAGTAGATACGTCGGGAGAATGAAAAGCTGTCGATCCTCGTTGTGACCCACTACGCTCCTTTACTCCAGAGCACATCTGCCCCGCAAAATGATCAGAGCCCTTGGGGGTTTGCGTTCAGCACTGGTACATTACCAAAGGCTTCCGATGGAGTGAAGGTCTGGGTATTCGGGCATACATACTTCACAATCCAGTTCAAGGATGGCCAGGTAAAAGTTATGAGCAACCAACGGGGGAATATGCTGTTTTCGAGGAATATGAGAATGTGGAGGGTAAATTTGATGTAAGGAAAATTATACATATGTCATGAGTATATCCATTCTAGGCTTTAGTCTAGAGGTGGTAGTCACAGATCGTCGGTACTTGTACATGCTGAAACATTTTACAATCGAACAAGGAATGTTTGGAATAAAAATCATGACAGCAAGCGCTCTTTTGTGGTTACATCATTTGCAGCGTTAAGCATATCATACTAGAGCAGGGTGTTTAAGTGCAGCATTCTGAGCGTTGGGTAAAATGAAAGTCAAGGTTTAGGGTTTCGAGCCCTTGTTATGGTGCTCCTTCAAATGAAAACAGACCTAATCCCCGCTAATCTCAGGACTTCTATAGTCTGATATGACATTTTATCTTGCAGTGAACTCTACTGTAACCTGTTCGCAAACCTACTTCCACATATTTTACATTTGGATGTGCATACTAAACCCACTTGGGCCGGGAGATAACGGATTTTAGTGTCGGAATTAAGATTGGATCTAATCTCCTCGGCAGTTGTTTCTCCCCATTTGTTTAAATGTGGACCCTTTTGTCGAAGATGAAGATATTTCATTAACCAGGAATATTATTTACAATTGATACGCGGTGCAGAGCATTCAGGTCTTTCTACTTCTATATATTGGTCTTCCTGCTTTTCAGGACAATCATCACAAGCCATGGCTTCTGAAGCACCAACTGAGATTGAAACGCGTCTCTTCATTAATGGCGAGGTTGGTGGAATTGACTATTGAATATACGTATACATAGCCCAATGGCTGATAGATTTTCTCCTCCAGTTTCGCCCTGCTTCAGATGGGGGAACATTTCCATTGAAATCACCGGCTACCCTGGAAACAGTCGCTTTAGGTAAGCTGCCATGCCGTCTACCGAAAATCAAAGAACCAGGCTATGACTTACAACCGTACCTCCTTTAGTCTCTGAAGCCTCGGTGGAGGATACAAACGACGCCGTCGCAGCGGCCCAGGCAGCGTTCCCAGCATGGTCGAGCCTCTCGCCGCACGACCGGGGGGCGTACATGTTGAAGCTCGCCGATCTCATTCTCGAATCCGAAAAGGAGCTAGCATATCTCGAGGCCATCTCCATGGGACGACCCATCTCGGAATACTGGGATGCGAAGGCTGCTGCAGAAAAGCTGCAGTATTTCGCCTCCTGCGGCTGGCATGGCCAGGGCCAAACAAGTCTGAACACGCCAGGATTCATCAATATGACCCTGAGGCAGCCGTATGGGGTTGTTGCGGCCATCATCCCTTGGAATGTCCCAGTTAACTTCTTCATAAACAAAGTGGCGCCTGCGATCGCGGCCGGAAATACGGTCGTCATTAAGAGTAGCGAAAAGGCGCCGTTGACTGTAAGCACACTCCCCGTATTGGATTTGTGCTGTCCTTAATTCTAACTCCGTCTCAGTCGGCCAAAGTTGCTCACCTCATTCAACGTGCTGGATTTCCCCCAGGTGTGATCAATGTCCTGTCTGGTCACGGCCACATCTCCGGCAACACTCTCGCACATCATATGGACGTTCGAGTGATCACTTTCACGGGCTCGGGGCGCACAGGCCGTCTTATCCAAAAGGCAGCGGCCAACTCCAACCTGAAGAATGTGATCTTTGAGCTCGGAGGCAAGTCCCCGACTGTTATATTCCCAGATGCGGACCTAGAAAAGGCGGCGAAGGAGTCAGCGTATAGTATCCAAACGAACAGCGGCCAAGTGTGCATGGCCAACTCTCGAATCTATGTCCATACTTCCATCGCCGATCAATTTATCCCTCTGTTCAAGGCCAATCTCCAGTCCGTGTCGATGGGCGATCCCACAAAACCCTGCGTAAACCACGGTCCGCAGGCCGATGAAACCCAGTTCAACATTGTGAAACGCTACATAGAGCTGGGCAAGAAAGACGGCGAACTCATCCTTGGAGGAGGCGATGTCCCTGACCAAAAAGGCTACTTTATCCCGCCGACGATCTTCGCGAATACGCCAGAGAGCTCCCAGATCATGAAGGAGGAGATATTCGGGCCGGTGGTTAATATCAACGTGTTCGAGACCGAAGCCGAGGTCATTAAGATGGTAAACTCATCCGAGTTTGGGCTTTATGCTGCGGTCTACACGCGAGATTTGAACCGGGCTATGCGCTTTGCTACGTCTATGGAGGCTGGTACCGTGGGCATCAACTGCACGAGTCCGACTGGTGCGTTTGATATGCCCTTTGGTGGATACAAGGCCAGTGGTATTGGGAGGGAAGGCATCCATCACAGTCTCGATAACTACCTTGAAACGAAAACTGTACATTTGAGGGTTGAGGGACTCTAAGTCAAGTACGATGTTTGTGGATTGTGTAATCACTACCATACTTCAGTCCATCTTATCGGCAGATGATGAGCTGCAATATATAAACGCATCCGAAGGGCCACCTTACTACTGAATGTAAATATGTCCAGCCTTCAAACACTCAATCTCACTTGTCCAGGAACTACTATACAATATAAATACCTAAATTGCCAATAGCCCAATGGAGATAGCTATTTGGAATCTACATAGCAACACTCGAGTCTCGACCATCAGGTGTAGTTCCACCGGGAACCCTTAAAGCGGCACCCCGCACCCAATCGAATCCAGCCCAATGATTGAATCCATAACATACGAACCTCCTTCAACTGAACAAAACACACGGTACAACCCCTCTTATTTCTTCCTCAACCCAATATACAAAGTAGCAAAAGAACCAATGCCCCGCACAGACGAAGCCGAACACTGGTTCAACGCCGTCTACTCCGCGGTGCAGGAAATCCCGCCAGGCAAAGTGACGTCCTATGGCCATATTGCTCTTCTTCTTGGGTATCGTAGGTTTACTTTTCTATATTGTTTCTATGATCATATAGAGATATCACTGCGATATAAAGATGATACTAAAGATATGTAGCGCAACGACCCCGTCAGGTGGGGATTTGTTTGAAACATCTCCCTTCGAATTCGGAAGAGTACTATCATTCGGGCAATGTGCCCTGGCAGAGGGTGATTAATTCGAAAGGCATGATTTCGCATAGGTACCTACTATCTTTTTCCTATTGCTAGGGAGCGCTTGGCTTTCGTGGGAGTATGTTTGTAGGGTTGATCGGTACTGATGTGAATAGGGAACCCGGCAGTGCGGAACGACAGGCGGAGGCATTGAGAGAGGAGGGAATCCAGGTTGAGACGGATGCTATGGGGGAGTTCTACGTGGATTTGGCTCGGTTTGGCTGGTTTCCTTCGGTGTTGCCCAGTGAGGAGGATGAAAGTGAACTGGAGGATGTAGTAGATGGGTAACGTTGGTTATGAATGTACGACGGGTTAATTAGTACTCCGTCTCTGTATAGAACACTCATTTCATAAGCATCGCCAACATTGGGTCGTGGACTGAATATATCCGATCGCCATATAGTATAGTATATCCTCCCTTGTTATGAAGTTGCTGCCACACAAGCATTTACCTAAACAGTCGAAAGGAATGAATATAGGCCTGACGTCAAAAGGTCTTTTATGTCTAACGCAAGTCCCCATTGACTAGCCGACCCGACGATGACAGATGTAGAGGTAGACATGATATCAAGACTCTATGTAGTGAAAGAGATAAAGGAAAGATGGTAGTAGAAAAAAGAACAGAAAAGGGTAACGAAGAGCATGCGCGTCATGTCAAGGTGTCATAAAACATCCAGAGAAACGGCCGAACCAAAATGGATACATCCGCAGGGTAAATCAAGCAAGAACAGCCACCATTCAAAGGAAAAGTCATCACGCTGTTGTCGTCAAGTCTACCGCCGCTTCACCTCGGACGCCCATCCTTCGATCCCTTCGCCCCGACTGCCGGGGGGAACGCCCAGGTCGACGGCATCCATCCCTGCCGTGTCCTTCATCCACGCATGCGATGCCATCCCACCAGCATTGGCACGTCGTTCGGGCGGGATTTCCAACATGGGCAACAAGAATTCACTGATGCGCATACTCTCTTCGGCCGAGAAATGGTACTTCTCCCGAAGGACGTCGGGTAGGGCCCAATGACGCAGTCGATGGATGTTGCGCAATTCGCCCTTGCGGTTAAAGATCTCTTGCGACCACTTGCCAGAGAGGCAGAGTGATTTGGGGAAGGGACCGAGTAGTTCGATGATCTGTGCAATGTGATCGTCGTCTTTGCCGTATTTTGTACCAGATTGCGGATCGAAAAGGTAATCACCCGTGATGAGCTCGAAGACCTAGACATTGGTGAGCAGAAACCCTCCGGTCGGGGCGCAACCCCATCGCGCTGAGCATAATTCCGTCGAACATACCATGCACGCCATACTCCATACATCCGTACTCGCACCCCACTTGGACCCGAGAATGACCTCGGGCGAGCGATACTGTCGTGTTTGGATGTCGTTCGTAAAGTGGTGGCCGACCCAGCAGGCATTCCCCAAATCAGCAATCTTGACCGAGATAATATCGCATTCGGGTTCATCTTTCACTTCTTTGGAGGATTTATTCAAAGAGATGCCGGATACTTCGCGTTCAAGGAGGTCACTAGCGAAGGTTAGCCACCGTTGCGGTTCCCGACGGGACATGGAGCATACGCAGTCTTTTCTCGTTGCTTCTGTTTCTCATCTTCATCCTTGATGCCTAGCATTTCTCTCATGGATGACTTCTCTGACGGGGCAGGTTCTGCAGCGGGTCAGTAGGCGGTCGCGAAACGACCCTGGAGTGCTCGATACGTACCCGACTCCTCATTGATCATCTGACTCAGACTACTCTGCGAGTGGTGCGAGCTGTGTTTGAAATCAAAGGTGGTGTTGAGTGGACTCGGCAACGGTTGACTCCCCGTGATTAGGGTCCTGCGCCGCCGCCGGCCATTGCGGTTATCCTCTTTGTGCTCCTTCTTCTGCTCCTCCTTCACGTATGTCTTCACAATCTGTTCCACATCGCCGATCTCGATCAACACATTCTCCGGCTTCAGATCAGTGTGGATAATACCGCATTCGCGGTGGAGATAGTCCAATCCCAGGAGGACCTGTTTCGTAATCTGTTTTACCAGCGGCATCGGAATACCGCGGTGATTCCATCGCTTAATCAAACCGAGTAGATTCTCACCCAATACCTCAAATACCATACATACGTGGACGCCGTTGGGACCTTTGTGTTCGAAGGAGTCGAGCAGACTGACGACATGCTTGCGACCTGGGTGCGACGGCTTAGCTTGTACAATGCGATTTAGGAGCTTGATCTCGTCGATGGCGGTTTCGGTGTAGTGAGCAGCGGAACGAACGACTTTGAGGGCAACGTGTTTGCCGGTGGTGGTATCGCGGGACAACCAGACGGTGGAGAAATGGCCCCAGCCCAACTTGCGCACGACGACATAGCGACCGTTGTTATACGTTTCGCCGACCGTGACCGGGTGGTAACCGCCCTTGCAGTAGTCTTCTGAATCCTCCTCTTCGGCGGTCGTCTCGATCTCGTCAACGGAGGAGGTGGAGGGGGATCGCGATTGCGGAATGGCGAGAGAGGGAGCCCTACCGGATGGAAATCGATCGATCAACAAGACGAACTCACACTAGAAAATCGCAACAGGGAGGAAAAACAAGCATACCCCTCTGTCGTAGAATCAGCGGCTGTTTCGTTGGTGACGATTGGCTTCAAATCGGTTCCTTTTCTGCGCTTCTTACCGCCATTGCCATTGGCGGCCGATGCGGCCACACTGGCCATCTGCTTTCCTTTATTCAGCACAGCCTTGGTGATATCAACCCCGTCCATAATGTCCGATTGGCGACGACGGTCGGGGAATCAGGTTGGAATGAATGGGGGGAGGAGCGGAGGGAAGGGAAGTTTGACGCCGACGGGCGATGAGGCGAAAAGGCGAAGAGAAAGTTGATACGGTTCCAGCTGGAGGTGGCGGGCGCAAACGTCGAGACGAAGTGGCGGGGGTTAGAAAGAAGAATGCGTTGGGGGTGGGGGAGGATGTCCCGCGGGGAGGTAAAAGAAATTCACAAAAGGGAAAGGAGAAATAGAAAAAGGGAGAGGGGAGAAGAGAGGTTGAGAGGGAAACGACGAAGAAGATTGAAGATTGAAGATGTTGTTGTTGTTATTGTGAGAGGGGCTCGAATCTTTTTCGGCGGTACGTTGACAATACCAGGTGTTGTTACCCTTTTACCGTCCGTATACTTACTGGAGTACTTCCCAAGATAGATCACAAACTCGTCAATCTCCAAAAGATCGGTCTAGGACGAAACGGAAAATATTACAAATAATAAGACTCAAAACAGGAAATAATGGCGAAGAAAGAAATTTCAAAGCAGTGTCAATGCGTGACAGCCATTCAAGACTTTCTATATCAAAGAATTCGTCCCAAAGAAAAAAAAGAAAAAAAGATTAGCCATCAAATGGAACCCAATCCTTTTATGACGCAAACGACCTGTTTGCTAGGATGCCCGAATTCCCCCGACCTGATACTAAGTTGTAGGGGATGCAGAAACCCGTGGGATTGAGAATGGGAGAACTCAAAAGCAACCGATCGTGAAGTATTCAATCGAATTAATTTGTCAAGCGATCGCAAGCCAGCTTGTGTTGGGAAATGTGATGTCCGCAAACAGGCGTACCAGGAGTCCGTAGTATAAGCGCTACGGAGTATAGGGACAAGGGGACAGAACCCCCGGTGGATATACCGACTGAAACACTTACTATCCAGATGGATCGAATGCTACCGGATGATGTCAAGATCATATAAGACCAGGTCCAGTCATCTTATCCACCCCGCGGATCTCCATATCCATCCTCGGTCTGCGCTGACTCCCAGGGACATTGATAACGATCTCCTCCCTACTTACTACACATCAAACCGATGTCTACTACGATAGTGTTGATTGACATAGGACTCTGTATGGACTGGATATATCTTTCAGCTAACCAGTCACTGCGCTGCCCATTCAGGGGTCTAGATTTACACGTCAGCCCTTAGCTACCGCCGACTCCGTGCTGGTTGAGTCGCCCACGGGCCACTCGATGAGGGCCAGAGGGCACCAGTGACAGTGCCGCATTAGGCAGTCCGGCGCCACTCCCAACCGATCGGAACTCCCGGAATTATCATTTTTCCATGGATCAGTCACGGGGATTTCGCACGTGATGCCGAATATATCACGTGCTCTTGATGCCCAGCATGTGGTGGCCTGGGGCATCAGCGTGTCACGGGCATCAAGCCTCCTCTCCATTTTGGGCATCGAAAGATGTGCGGTGATGCCACACTCGTCGCGTGGAATGCTCCATGAGCCCAATCGGTTGTGATCTTCGCCGTTAGCCTGGTCGTTATTATGGATGGACCGAACCGTTACTATTTTGGGTCGAAAAGACTAAATATAAGCGACGATAAGTTATCATAACGACGGCACGAACTAGTCAGCTTGATTTGGAAGCTCTCTCGTCTGTCTGCCGTGTGACTCCTCAGAGTCGCTACGATTAGTGCAAGACTACAATACTGCTGTACTACCACGCTGGTTGTCGGGAACCAAACCTGATTAAAATGATCGCCGCGCGTGGTATGCTGCCCAGGGATTGCGCATGCCAAGTGATAGTGCAGCATATAGAGACAGCCAGTCCTCAACTCTACCCCACATTTATTTCGAGGGTCCTTCCCATGTCAGGGCGATCGTCTCTCCAGAGAGTGTATTTGGAACAAGAAGATATGTCGAGGTTGTGGATAATATTCACAGCAGGTTCCTGTCGCACTCGTGGGTTGGTGCATCCCGACTTGGTGTTTTCTGATAACCCTCAGCAACAGAACTAGTGCTCAACAAAATCCTGTTATTTGATATAAAACTAGGCGTTGGTATTCTTGCGCAATGGTCCACAGGAATAACGTTATATACACTTTGGTTAAGGTGAGAAATTCTATTTTGTATCCCCCCAGAGAATGCTGGTTAGAAATGCCACGTAAACCTACCATCTGAAAGACAAGATGTACGCTCACTCCCCGCGCAGTCTCCATTAGTACTTGGCGACAGGTACAGGATAGGATCATTGTGTGTAGTCCAGCGCAGGCCATCCAAATATCCCGAGTCCTACAGCTACGCTGTGGGCTTGCGAGTTTTATGAATGTGCCCTTGCAGTCAAGGTCGTACGGAGATTGAACTGCCCAATCAGCAGATATCTGATGGAAAGGAACAGTTTCGAGTCTCCACATTCCCGCAGCGATAGCTCCTGCATAGGGATACCCTCCAGCCTCTGATAGAAACTACCTATCTCGTGACATCACAGTCGCCAAAGGCGTGATGGTCGTTGCCCCATTTGCGGGTATTCCTGAACGAACCCTTTCCCATAAGGCTACAGAGTCTTGGTCATCCCACTTTATCAGCCATGATACATGTCCCTTGCAGTGTGATCGGCCAGTGCAACCTTCAAACATCGATCACTGGTGGTGTCGATGGCGAAGGCCATTTGCGCAAAAACATATATGTAGACCATGAATTGCTGCACCAAGAGTGGTAATGGCGTGATACCCTCATGCCTTGCGTCCATATCAGACTATGTATCTGTCCACGCATATACATTCCAGTGGTTGTAGAGTAGGACCCACTCGCTATAGGTAATATAGCGGAAAATCCCACATTGTGTTTGTGTGCCTGGCAGCTTTAAATATCCCGGCTGGCACTCATTGGACCATACCTGGAGATGGAGGAGAACTTTCGCATGGGTTCTGAACCATCATGGAATCCAAGTCCTGGAAAAGCGTGTCAAAAGAGAGCCAAGCCTCGTCAGGGCAAACGCTCTTAGGCGACGATCCCCCGCCAGGGAGGTGGGTAGAGCCAGCGGTGGAACACTCGGATCTGCGACTAGTGCGCGATGACATCTCTATGGATATATTTCTAGTGGCCGCTGCAGAGCTGGCCGAGAGATTTACCTATCGGTCGGTATCAGCACCAATACGTATGATAGACCCACCTCATGGCTAGCTGGCCTACTGACTTGGGTTCCAGAGAACTATATTCAGAATCCCCGGGACGATCCATCGCACCCGGGAGCACTGGGAATGGTGCGCGTGACAGTGATAGAAACTTACTTGGATTTCGTTAACGACAGATTAGGGCCAGACAATAGCGACGAGCATCAACTACATTTTTGTTACATGGTGCTACCTATCTCCGGTTCTAATGGGTATCATAGCAGATAGCTTTCTGGGTCGGTTCAAAACTATCATTCTAGGAACTGGGTATGATAGTTTACGTACAGCGTAGGCCATATACTGACAATCTTGATAGACTATCGGCAGGCGGGGTATTGATTTTATTTGCCACTTCTCTCCCAGGGAGTCTGGAGAACGGAGCTGGTTTCCCCGGGCTTGTGGCCGCGTTGATCTTGATCGGGCTGGGGTAAGGTTGATACAACCCCAGGACGGAATAGATAACTGAGTGTTTCCAGAACCGGTGCTATCAAGAGCAATGTTGGACCACTGATTGCAGAGCAGTATCAGTCTATCGGGCCGCGCGTGAAGACCTTGCCAGATGGTGAACAGGTTCTGGTAGACCCAAACATTACTATCCAGGCGATATATGCCCGATATTACTGGTCAGTTACCATTCTCACTGTCTTCCTTTCGTCCATCCTGACGGTGATCTTAGGATAATCAACTTAGGCGCCCTATCGGTTGTACCCGTCTCGGTAAGTCCCTTTTCTTCCCACCAGCATTGGATTATCATTCACAAACCTCTAGTGGTTAGAGCTGAAAGTGGGTTTCTGGGCTGCTTTTATGCTACCTTTATGCTTTTGGGCTCTGGCAATGATCGCGCTTCTGGCTGGTCGCACGCGTTATAGTAAGAATATCTATGCATTATCTTCTTCAGTCGCTAATGGGGATAGTTGTGCGACCTCCGAATGGATCAGCTATTACCAAGGCAATGCGAATACTATGGATTGGTATCAGAAGCGGAGGCAATCTCGAGGCAGCCCGGCCTGCATCACTGGAAAAGACCGGTGTCTCCGTGACATGGGATGATGTGTTCGTGGACGAACTTAAATGTGCCCTGGTGGCATGTCGTGTATTGTAAGTACTTCGTGCTGACAGGTATAAGATATATGTTACTCACAGGTGGCTTAGTTTGATCTTGTATGTGCCGAAGCATCTAAACATACCAGACCATCAAGAGAGCTAATTTCAACAGTCCATTATACTGGATTTGTAGTGGCCAGGCAAGTTCAAACCTTGTCAGTCAAGGTGCCTCGATGAACACTCATGGTATACCGAATGATATGAGTATGTGTGACTGTTGAGGTTGATGTATGCATGACTAACTTATAGACAGTGGGATGTATTAACCCCATCACGGTCCTCATTGCAGTACCATTGTTGTATGTTCCATATTTTATGACATTGTGTTGACCACACTGACAACCGTATCAGTGAGCGCTTTGTTTATCCGACATTGCATCGCCTGCATATCAAGTTCAAGCCAATTAGTCGGATCGCGACAGGCCTTCTGTTGTCGTCTTGTGCGATGGCACTAGCGGCCGGCCTCCAGGAACGTATGTAGACTGTTTATCATACTGAATTACATCTTTCACTAACCGTAGCTAGTGATCTACGAGACCTCCCCATGTCAAAGAAACCCAGCAGCCGATAGTTGCAAAGGAGTCTCTCCGATTCGACGGGTGAGTTCCGCCAGCCCCAAGGTGTGAAACGTGTCTCTTAACAACCCCAACCAGATCAGCATACTTTTGCAAATACCAGTTTACTGTCTGATGGGTCTTGCCGAGCTGTTCGCAATGCTATCCGGCATGGAGTATGCTTATACCAAAGCGCCACAGTCCATGCGTAGCATTATCATGTCCCTTTTTCTCCTGGCCGGCGCATTCGGTTCTTCCATTGGTGTTTCTCTTTCGCCGACATCTGTGGATCCCAAGGTATTGATAGAATATATATCGCTCAGTGCGACTATGCTGGTGGCGGCTATCATATTCTTTTTGTGTTTCCGAAAATATAACAGGATGGAGGAGAGTATGAACAAACTAGTCAATGGGGATCGCCCGAGGAGGGAGTCATGAAGCACAGTTAACACACTCCGTCTACAGAGGCATTGATCTGCCATGTATATATTTTAGTATACGCTTGGATGTCTATAGTGTCACCTATCCTCCAACACGCTTGTTTATCTTAATGTGTACGGAAATAATTTAACACCATATGCTCTACTGGCTGGTGTGTCACATTCAAATATCTCAATTCGCGTGTTTCCCAGAGATTCGACGAATGATTGAGTAGTATTCGAACATGGCCCTAGTCTCAGTCTGTGGAGATTCTACAATGGCAGTGATGTAAATCCAACTGTAGAAAGTTAGCTATCAAGAAGCCACAGCAACCATGGCACGGAGTCTAAAAACATATGAGGCATTTACCAAATCCGATTATATGAGAATTACCAATCTCTGGACGGAAAGTCGGGTCTGGTTCCCGAATCCACACCCATGGATCGGTATGCCGAGTTCTTGGTGCGGAAAAGCTAATGCTGCTATTACGTTGCAGATGGACAATTTCCTGTCATTCGAGTGTCGTGCTTGGATAATGCATTGTTATGTATTACTACTCAATGTCTAGCGCACGCCGGCTTGCTGTTTTGGAGAAGATATGGAACTACGAGACGGGGAAGCCAGGTATTCATACATTCCTGCACTGTATACAATGACGAACAAAACTCTCAAACTCTCTACCAGTCTGCCTGCTACGTCATGAGCCAACTTTATCTTTGCCACAGCCGACCAAGCTTTATTAAAGATGAACATGCGGATCTAGACGGCTGTTTCATGGAAAGATCATACCGCTGAAATGGCGAACGTTGCAGCAGCGCCGAATATCCCACTAGCTCTTGCTCCAGGGTCGAAGGGCCCGGAGCAGCTCAAGACTGACGGCTTTAACGCAAACGCACAGGTCACAGGTCTGATATACGTTTATTATTAGCTATACTTTCTGCCACGAGTGGAGCTAACATGTCGTCATTCCCGCAGATGACGGTCGCGTGGATATCTCGCTTAACGAGGACGACCCTCAGGTAGCTGGCCTGTTGGATGCTCTCCAGCGAAAGACAACCCGTCGCCCATCGCAGGTTCAACGTGACGATACTCCTTTTCCAGTTCGGCTAAACGTGGTGATTCACGTCGTGGGCTCGCGCGGCGACGTGCAACCATTCATCGCCTTGGGTCGAGCTATGAAAAGACATGGACACCGCGTGAGACTAGCAACTCATCTGGTATTCCGGGATTTTGTGAAGCGCAATGGACTGGAGTTCTTCAATATCGGGGGCGATCCGGCTGAGCTCATGTCGTTTATGGTGAAGAATGACAAGCTGATCCCAAAGATGGAGACTCTTAGGCAAGGGGGGGTCGGAAAACGTCGCAGAGACATTAGGATAATGCTCGGCGGGTGCTGGAGATCTTGTTTTGAAGCTGGCGAAGGTATCGATATGACTAGTGACGAGGCAATCACGGCGGCACCATTCGTGGCCGATGCTATCGTCGCGAATCCGCCCAGCTTTGCCCATATCCACTGTGCAGAGAAACTGGCCATTCCATTGCATCTAATGTTCACGTTAGTCTCTACTGCATGGCTCTCTTGAGTTGCAGCTGCTGATGGCTTTAGAATGCCATGGTCCCCTACTCAAGCCTTTTCGCACCCGTTAGCAAATATCCGGGTGGGCGATATCAAGCCGTCGGTAGCAAATTTCGCTTCTTACGGTCTGATGGAGATGGTTATCTGGGAAGGTGTCGGCGATCTCGTTAATTCGTTTCGTCGCTTCGAGCTGGGTTTGGAGCAGTTGGATGTTATGCGCGCTCCAAGTCTGATTTCCCGGTTGCGCGTTCCCTTCACCTACATGTGGTTCGTATGCTGTCCCCGTACCTGAATCCAACCATTAAGTGAATGCTATAGGTCACCCTCACTCCTACCAAAGCCAGAAGATTGGCAGGAGCATATCGAGGTAACGGGTTTCAACTTCCTAGCCGCAAACACCGACTTCGTGCCTCCCGCAGACCTGGTTGAGTTCTTAGCTGCAGGCCCGCCACCAGTCTATATTGGATTCGGCTCTATCGTGGTCGATGACCCGGATGCTCTGACCAAGATGATTCTAGACGCTGTTGAAATGACCGGCCAACGCGCACTGATCTCCAAGGGATGGGGTGGTCTCGGAGCCGAAAGCATCAATCGCCCGGACGTCTTCTTCCTCGGAAACTGTCCTCACGACTGGCTATTCACACGGGTTTCCTGTGTAATCCACCACGGAGGCGCAGGCACCACAGCTGCAGGCCTTTCCCTAGGCCGGCCAACTACCATTGTCCCTTTCTTCGGAGACCAGCCCTTCTGGGGTGCCCTGATTGAGCATAACGGAGCAGGACCGTCGCCCATCCCCCACAAAAAGCTTACTGCCGATCGTCTGGCCGATGCGATCCACTTCTGTTTGAAGACCTCCACCATCCAGAAAGCGCAGATCCTGGCCGAGAAAATGTGCGCGGAGGACGGCGCCCGCGATTGCTTAGCGAGCTTTCATAGCCAACTCGATCTTCGTCGGATGCAGTGCATGCTATGTCCTGATCGTGCCGCTGTCTGGCGTGTTAGACGAACCAAGATACTGCTCAGTGCCTTTGCAGCTACTTACCTGGTCCAGCAGAAGAAGCTCAACCCGAAAGATGTCAAATTGTATGCAATACCGTCTGTGTTGGACGCTTCCCCGTGTGCTAACATATATTCCACAGGTACCGTGGAAAACGCTACGACATAAGACAAGGCTGTGAAGGGACGGACAGCTTCACCGGTGCCATGAGCAATTTCCTCACCGGGCTCGTCGACGTGCCCATTGACGCAATCCACAATATCGCGAGTCCGGCTGCGGACCGTTTTGCGGAGAACTACAACTTGCCATCCTGCGAGGCGCGTAGAGCCATGTTCACGCAGCCAGCCTCTGACGCAGCGCCGAGTGCAACCTCAGAAAAGGAGCGTGCGCAAACTAATGATGATTCCAAGGAGACCGCTAGTTTGTCATCCTCGACGACCACGCAGTCGCAGGAAGGAACACCCTCGATGGTTGTCAAGCGAAATCCCTTGCAGCGGGTAGTGATTAACTCGAGTTATCTGGGTCGCAGGGTGCTGAACTGGGTGGTTGAAGTGCCCATGGGGGTCACCCTGTTGTTTTCTCAGTTCGCGCATATTGCTCCACGATTCTACAATGACGAAACTGTGCGCGAGCTACCTGAGGTGACCGGCATTCGGTCGGGATTTGTTGCGGCCGGAAAGGTACTTGTTCCGCGAGCATTCATACGTAATTGAATAGCACTTGTCATGCTAATTGGCCTAGGAACTCGGATACGGCTGCTATGACGGTGTCACTGGTGTTGTAACGCAACCCAGCCGCGGGTGGAAAGATGGTGGGTTTGGTGGGATGACCAAAGGCGTAGGGAAAGGTTTAGGTGGCTTGATCATTAAACCTCAGGCTGGTAAGAGTTGTCCTTGATCTTCTGCATTCAATCAATCTGATCATAATGGGCATTCTAGGTATTTTTGGCTTGATCGGCTACCCGCTTAATGGCGTACATCGAGCCATTGAACATTCATATGGAGCGGACCGACAGGGCTACATTGTCAAATGTCGCATCAGGCAAGGGGTGGCAGAATCTCAGGCTGCATCACAGGAGGAGAAGATGGCTGTCTTGGAGAAATGGAAAACTTATGAGGAAGGAGTTCGATTGAAGCATGAGAAGAAGCCTCGCTGATGTTGGAGGTTCTATTCTATGGCCTGTGTATATTTATTGCAACAGCACCTAGCAAGTATGTCCTTCTATCAACGCGTACAAAATCATAGTGACCAAATGATATCAATTTTCTTTCCTGACACTTGAGGAAACAAGGTAACAAAGCAGAAATTTAATGTCATTTTGTGTCGTTTAAAGGTAAATACAAATGACAGTATCGTGGAGCAAAAAGCCGGCAGTGATTATTCATTCGGGATCCCATCGGCAACCCAGCTCCACTATGCAATCTTCTTGCACCACCCAGAGACACTACACACTACATCCATTCTGGCCCTTTAAAGCTCCCTTACGCTAGACTGAGCTATTACCAATGAGGTAAGAAGTACAGAATCCATACAATGACGACGATGGAGCCGGTTTTTCAATGCCACTGTGGATTACGCTATCGCCGCAAGGAACACCTTATCCGCCACGCAAAATGCCATTCTGAAGCAAACTCCCCTCAATGCCCATTTTGTGATAAGACATTTGGTCGGAAGTGAGTATCTACCATCGAGAGAGCCTTTAATAGGCCTGGAATGCCAATACCATCCTTATTCCACCTCCGAGGCAACGATGTGAATCGATAGTAACGGTGCAACAGTGACACGCTCCGCCAACATGTCCGTACACACCATCAAAACAAGGACATTCCTCGCGGCCGTGCAGCCCAGGCGTGCAGTTATTGTCGCTCGCGAAGATCGAGATGTGACGGAAATTTGGATGCTCCCTGTGCAGCCTGTGTGCAGCGAGGGCTTCAGTGCTCCTTTACACAGTCTGCTGAGCGCTGTGAAGGACAAAGTTCACAAAGCTCGCTTGTACACCCTGCCTCGGCAAGTCTTGGCTTAAGGCGGCACTCTGGATCTATTGAGAAAAGTCCGAATAGAATACTGCCCTACATCCAGGCGTATTTCGAGAAATTTCATCCCTACTGGCCGTTCCTCCACAGAGCTACGTTTGATCCTAATAATGAACCTGCGTTCCTCCTACAATCGGTCGCGATGATGGGATTGTGGGTGTCCGAGGGTGGCCAGCACTCGGCGATGGATCTGCATGCACAGCTGACCACGTCTATCTATCAACAGAAGGTTAGCTTCATGATAAACGTTCCGTTCCATTAATCTTTCCTTCGTGCTAGTTTTTGGGTTCGTTTTTGTTTTTCTTCATTAACATAAGGTTCTCGGATAGGATCGATGGGATGTATCAAGCCGGCGTGGCGAACAGCAACAGGGTTGTCATTCTAATACTCCCGGATCTATCGATCCCTGGCCGATGGCAACCTACCAGGGGATACTGCTACACCTCATTTTCGCTCTTCTACAAGGTGGCCAGGATCGACTAGACCTCCGAATGAAACAAAGTCTTCCTGAAATTCCCTCCCAGCTTCTGGTCGCGCTGGTCCGCAGCTGCCTGCAGCGAAACATGTTTTCCTATCCGACTATGTTCGCGCACTTCAACTCTGCCTCAGTGCCGGACGTTTTATCTGGGTCGGTATTGAGGAAGTCAAACGTTTCGCCTTGGCCCTGTACAAAGTATGCCGCCGATGCCGCGTCGATGACGTGAAACTTCTTTCCTTGGCCGACCTACAATTTGCCATGCCGGATAGCGACGAGTTATGGCATGCTAGCTCTGGTCTGGCCTCACGGATACCGGCGTCTTATAGCGATAGAAACAAGGAGGATAATTGGATATCGCAGGCGGCCAGGTTTCTGCAATCTGATGGTGCAGATTTCGATTGGATCTGAGCTACATGGCTGTACGTCGTCTTGAGACTTGGCATATCAATTCCAATGTTTAAGACTGATGTCTCAAGCGTTATCGAATAGACTTTGGTCTGAGCTACTGGCATCAATCGTCCTGCAATATAAAAGAGGTTTATTGGTCATGGCCACAGTATAACTGCAGTCGTGCCAGGGCCTTGACAACTTAAATAGATTAACATACAAGAGACGATCACCGACGGCAAAGAGATTCGGCAGTCGTGATATCCGAGTTACTATCCTAAACAAGATTCAGGCTAATCGGAGAAATCCTTCAGAATGTGGAGCCCAAACACCAAGATTCCCCGCGCCCCCCGCATTTCTATCTGGGATACTTAATGCTTGTTTGCTCGGAGCTCAAATACCTGCAGAATGATACTAACACCGTTAGGGCTCCAGTGAACAATCTTACCATGGTCAGGCTCGGCATTTTTGTAGCGACAATCCTGTCGTCTACGGCGCTGGCCTCGGAACTGTACATCGACACCACGAGTGGTCCAGTAGAAGGCTTCTACAACAGTTCCTCCGTTCGTGCATTTCTAGGCATACCGTATGCCGAGGCAGCTGGGGGGTCACGTCGATTCAAGCCACCCGTGCCCAAATCGCGATCTAACGAGACGGTTCAGGCCGATTCATTTCCACCGACATGTCCGGGGCAATACACCTTCTCCAACGAGTCTATCTGGAGTGTCCTGCCCTACATGCCATGGAACACGAAGAGCATGTCAGAGGACTGTCTTGCGATCAATATATGGACCCCCCAAACCAAGAAAGAAAATGGTAAATTAGCCGTGATGATGTTCATTTATGGTGGAGGGTTCACCCAGGGCGGGTCGGCGATCCCCTTCTACGACGGGACGAACTTAGTCGAGGATCACCAAGATATAGTTGTCGTTACGTTTAAGTGAGTGCAATCTAATTGTGGGAGCTTCGCAGCTTACCATCGGCTCATAGCTATCGCGTTTCTATATTCGGGTATCCTAACGCGCCGGGCCTTGAACCCGGACAGCAGAATGTTGGACTTCTTGACCAGGTACGCCGCCAGTCGTATGTCGCTCTTCTATGGATGAAGAATTAATGAAGTCAGAGACTTGCCGTTGAGTGGGTGCAGCGTAATATCGCGCAATTTGGCGGAGATCCTTCACGAATTATGCTGTTTGGCCAGAGTGCCGGAGCAGCATCGACAGACCTGTACACTTACGCGGTTCGTATATGGGTCAATATGGACGGAAGCTGAAACTAACGCTGTATTGACTGGCAGTACCCGAAGGATCCCATCGTACACGGCGTGATAATGCAATCGGGTGCCGCATCCATCATTATAAACGAAGACACAGCCCACCAGAACTGGCAGAACCTGTCCCGGGCACTAGGTTGCAGGACTCTGAAGTGCATGCAGGACAAGCCGTGGGAAGATATACTCGAAGAAGTGTCTTCTGGGTCCTACAGATTTAGTCCGGTGGCAGACAACGTAACTGCATTCGCTGACTTCGAAGCTCGTGCAAACCAAGGGGGCCTTGCTCGGCTGGTAAGCTTTCTATCGGTCTACATACGGCCAGTAACTGATTCTTGCAGCCAACATTGATCGGCGGCGCCGATCGTGAGGCATCAGCGTACATGAATCTTAGCTCCAAGTCTATCAATGAGACACTGGTCTACACAGCCACTCAGAACACATTTAATTGCCCAATTGTTGAGACAGTGGCAACCGCCTCGAGCAAGATATTCCCACCTGGCGATACCTTTACCACGGTAATTGGTCTGGGTTGAGTCCAACCCCATGGCTTGGAGCGTATCATTCTAGCGATGTACCCATTGTCTTTGGGACATACAACGAGACAATTGTTCAGCCGCCCTCCAGCCCAGAAGAGGTTGCAGCGAGCAAATACATTCAGGGTACTATTATTTACCACGACTTTCCCGGATCCTAGCTAACGGGGTTAGGCGCATGGGTGGCATTTGCCAAAGACCCTTGGAACGGGTTGAGTGACTATGGGTGGCCCCAGTTTACCTCACAGAGTATGTTTGATCGCCGCCCGTATTGATTAATTGCTAATAGACAACCTTCAGACCGGTCACTAGTGAATTTAGCTCTGGAAAACCGTATCCCGGCAACGATAAGCTCTGCAGAGAAGTGGGATTCGCATTGTCGTAGGGGGAAGTTTAGCCCCTAGGGTATGGCTCGTAGATTCGTGTCGGAATTGAGTACATGGCCGAGTGAGAGATGATTATGAACTTACGACGATATCGCTGGAGGACAAATCGCAGGCTGAGATGTTGTATGCTCTGGGTGACGGAGGCGTGGTTAAATCACGCACATTTCTTTTTTTTTGGAATGCTAGGAGAACTGGCTATAGGCAATAAATAAATGAATAAAGTCCAATGAAGCTCTCTGAAACGGATCTGCCTAAGGTTCGTCTTTCTTCTATTTATATGTCCTACTTTTGTATGGGAGCTCCGCCACAACCTGGCCCGTAGGATTGGAGTAAGATTTAGTCTAGGCCCAATCAGTTTCTAATTCAGCCAAGAACAAACGGACTAGCCAATTAGGTTAATTGAATACCATCTGGATGTGTTAGCAAAGATACTTTATGTGATCTCCACTCATGAACGAGCCGACCAGTGATAGTACACGAGTTACAATGATGATATAGCGGAGCTTGTACTCCGGTAAGGCGTCCATCCAGCAATTCATACTTTCGGAGAATATCACCAAATAGCAGTGAACCCATATCACTATAAAGCACTATCGTTCTCCTAAATGATGTCGATTCCTCATCACGAGTCATTCGTGCTCAAGTCTAGCCATCATGCTATTCCTACCGTCTATTCGAGCTCATCAGCTTCTGCAATTAGTTTCGTTTTTCTTGCTCACTGCTGCTTATTCTGAAAATTCCTGCCCGCTACAGGCCCCTTTATACCATCCACCGCGCGATCCTGTCTCCAACGAGAATGTCAAGGCGGCTTCCGACAACCTCACCCAAGCGATTGAAGCAGCCCTAACTACTGGTGCTACTGATCTCGGCTCACTGCCTATCAACACAACGACATTCGCTATCAAAGTATTCTCCTCCCACACGGAGGACTCTATCTATGAATACCTCTACACCTCACCAACGTACAGCCCAAAATCGGGTGCGGGTGTAGAGAATACGACACTTGATAGCGTTTATCGGGTGGCAAGCATTTCGAAACTCCTCACGGTATTAACCTTGCTGGCACATGACGGATATACTCACTGGAACCATCCAATCACGGATTTTATCCCAGAGCTGGACGCAATACCTCGTAGTCAAAATTCCCGGATTCGATGGCGAGATATCACCATCGGTGATTTGGCTGCACAACTGAGTGGTGTGCCCCATGATTGTATGTTGTGTCCACTCCCGAAGCCTGGCCATCGATGAACTAACTGTTGTTCATATAGACGGATTTGAGGATCTCGCCGGTAAATATAGTAACGAGCAAATGATGGCCATGGGGCTTCCTGCAGTTCCAGCCAAGGATATCCCAACATGCAATCAGGGCGAAGGTCTAAATGGGGGTAATCCGTGCGACAGAGAAGGTGCAGTCAAGCGATAGATTCTCGTAGTTCTCAAACAGCTAACAGGGCATAAAAGCCTTCCTCCGTGGCATCGTCAGTGAAGATCCAACGTTTGCTCCTGGCACCACGCCCGCATATTCCAATGCAGCTTACCAGCTTTTGCGCTACGCGATGGAGAACATCACCGGAATCGAATTCGCGTCTATGTTCGATGACAGCATAGTGAAACCCCTCAATCTCAACTCCACAAGCCTTCTCACCCCAAAGAATGATAACACTGGTATCATCCCGGTCAACGCGACGGCCAGCCTGTGGGATTTTAATCTGGGTGACGGTGACGCGTAAGATGCCCTACACCCTTCCGAGTGACAAAACTGACAATACCCTAGCTTTGGGGGTGCATACTCCAGTGCCAATGATCTTGCCGTCATTGGTCGTTCCATTCTGCAATCCCTCTCTGGCTCCTCAGCATTGAATCTCTCGGCAACCCTGACCCGCCACTGGCTCAAACCGCTGAGCCATACCACCAGCTTTAGAACATCCGTCGGGGCGCCGTGGGAAATATTCCGCTACGAGCTGCCGAACCGACCCAACCACGTCATTGACGTCTACTCCAAGTCAGGAAATCTAGGAGCATACGCCGATATCATTGCGCTCATTCCAGAGTATGAAATTGGTTTTTCGATCACAGCCGCTGACCTCCCGACGAACCCGCTGATGAATGTATGGGGGCTAGCAGACCTAGTCATTGACCGGCTCACTCCTGCGTTTGACAAGGCCGCTCGCCAAGAAGCAAACAGCACCTATGCAGGCACATACCAGGCCCCAGGGGGTAATTCCACAGCTGATTCGTATGTCACCATTACCACGGATCACGACAAGCCCGGTCTCCAGGTAACTGAATGGGTGAGCAATGGCATCGACTTTCTTCAGTCTCTGGCAGGTCTTTCGGGGTTTGAAGGACTAGCCGTCACGTTATATCCCACTGGTATTGAGGAGAGTGTACATGGCGACAGAGTGAAACACGTGTTTTTCCGCAGTGTATTTGACTACGATACGTCTGGGTCGTCAAAGGGCTTTATCTCGGCTTGTCAGTCTTGGCTGAATGTCGATGGCTCTCGAATTGGCAACATTGGCGTTGATGAATGGGTGTTTACGGTTGAGAAAGGTCAGGCAACCATTGCTGAGCCTCGACTATTGAGAAAAGAGTTGCGCCGAGCATAGAAGGGACTTGTTGATTTTGCCACTGGTGTTCTATGCAGCATATGCTACATTTTGGTGTAGCTATAGATGTTCTTTTCTTTCGTAGTATTGTTTACTTTCGCTTTCGTTATATCCGTTCGGTCTTTCAAGGAGCTTGCGCTGGCTGAGAATTGATAAGCTGCAAGCACATGGTATTTCTGTTACCTGACCATATTTGCATCCGCAAGGGAGTAATGATCCTTCAGAAGAACTTGGAAGGGACTTGTCCCATTCAACATTCTATTAGGGACAAGGAATATGCTCACATTGTAGAGCGTCTAGAAAGGCACACTAATACCAATTCTTCTCTGCTGAATGCCATCTCGGCAACTTGCATAGATATTCCTCTCACGGGTAAAACCTCAGACTCCACCGCTGGGGCATTGAAAGAATTGCAGCATTCGTACAAGCCCTATACTCGGAGATGATGTGCGGATGTAGGTGAGTCACGGCCTCCGAATTCCGGTGACCCCAGATTGATTTCCGACTGGCTGGTCTTCGAAACTCGGGCCTCCCCGAGCGAGATATCCATGATCAGGGTCATGAGGCCGGAATAATTAGCTAATCGCACATCCAGCAAACGGAAAAACAGGCGTAAGGCGATCCGGAAGTGGCCATCCGAGGCATGATATCCATGCGCTCGGCGTTAAGAAGGAGAATTTTCCTCAAGGAGTTACGAATTACCCCCGAGCCCCGAGACCACGGATCTGATAACGGAATCATGCCGACCCCGGCTGCCGTTGACCAATGGTGGCGCATGGCAGAGTCTTTTTCCGCTTTGCCTCCCTTATCTGATCGAGTACTTAAAAAGAGGCGCGTCCAGGTACCCCAGTCAACAGTTCATCTTTTTTTCCAATTTCATTATTGACACAAAATGGCCAGTTCTTTGAGAAATATCATTGTTGTCGGAGGGTCATATGTGGGAAAGGTTCGTCATGGCTGAGTTTCTACCTGTTCATTCCTGATGCCTAATACTAAATTTGAATTTAGACCACAGCCCAAGAGCTCGCACAAGTAGTGCCGAACACGCACAGGGTAGGATCCTGAGTTGACATACTATTTGCTTTAAGTGTCTGACCTTAAACATACAGGTGCTTCTGATTGAGCCACACAGTCATTTCCACCATCTCTTCACCTTTGTAAGCATGCATGGTATCTCTGTGCCTGATTCCAACTTACTAATGTGTCCTATTGTACAGCCCCGGTTCGCAATCGTTCCCGGACAAGAACACAAAGCCTTCATTCCATACACGGGAGTCTTCCCTAGTACCTCAAGCCCAGTCAGACATGCCGTAGTGCAAGCTAGGGCTCTATCCGTGCAGCCGCAACACGTCAAGCTGGATCGTGAATGGCAAGGTTCTAGTCAAATTCCCTTCGAATATCTCGTCGTCGCAACCGGCACCCGTCTCGTACAACCGGCCGGTATGAGGCATGACGACAAGCTCTCCTCCGTCGCATATCTGCAGAGCCACCAAAACGACGTGAAACGGGCAAAGTCCATCCTCATCGCGGGTGGCGGTGCAGTCGGTGTCCAGATGGCGACCGATCTAAAGGAGTTCTACCCCGATAAGGAAATCACAGTGGTACAGTCTCGCCCCCAGTTAATGTCGGGGTTCCATGTAGGCCTGCATGATCTTGTCAAGGAGCGGTTTGATGAGCTTGGAATCAAGTGAGTACAACATGATCCTCGGCTACAGACGTGTGCAGTGGACTAATTATAATTCTTTACAGGTTTGTGACAGGAGCTCGCGTCAAGATTCCTGCCGAGGGATATCCTACACAGGGAGGTCCATTCAATGTCGAGCTCACCAACGGCACGCAATTGTCGACAGAATTTGTGATCTGTGCTACTGGCCAAACACCAAATAATGGTCTCATCAGTGAACTGACCCCCTCAACGTCGGAGTCTCTGATTAACCCCGATAATGGCTTCATTCGGATTCGCCCTACGATGCAATTCCTTGACCCCAAGTACTCCAACCTGTTCGCCGTCGGTGACATCGCCGATACAGGACTGCGGAAGGCTGCTCGACCCGGCTCAGCGCAGGCCGCTGTGGTCGCAAAGAACATCCAGGCTATGATCGAAGGCAAGAATCCCGAGGACGTCTTTCCCCGGATGCCGGCAGCGATCCATCTGACTCTGGGAATGGTATGTTGACCTGATAGTGGGGTCTTTGGATTAGTGGACCAGGACTGACCATTTCCAGAAATATAATGTCGTGTTCCGCAATCCCAATGTCGCCGAAGGGCAGACTGAGCCCACCATCATTAAGAGAGATGAGTGAGTGTCCCTGTTTCTACCGGATATTCACTTACTAACAGGATGTGCAGTGGACGAGAGGATATGAACGTCGAGGCGTTCTGGCAGAGGCTAGGGGTTTCGATTGA